TATACATCTTTCTGTGTACAGTACTTGTAACTTTACGAAGACTGGGCCAAATTTCTTATCATTTTGATGATTCCAAAACCTTGCAGTACACACCAATACGTATATGCTAGATGATCAACCTTTTCTGATCGATTCCACAACGTTTCTTTCACAATGCAATCGCATGACCATAACTGGTCTTTACCTTTAAGGTCTATCCATATGAAAAATTTCAACTGTGTAGTATATTGACCCTTATGGATCTATGGAAGATAGATTGAGACGATATATGACAATTGACCCCATACAATAAGCAGTTACACCTTTGACCCTAATTGACATAACGAATAATGCATTTTCACAATTTCATCTTCTTCCATGAAATGCTCTACCCGTCATGTTTACCTAGATTGTGCTGCGCATAGATTCAATCGGATTATTTTGGGCCATTACAAGAAGTGGGTTATTGATGTGGACAAATGCTCATGTATCCTTTAAGCTCATATAATGTATTTTATTACCAGAGGAAAAAAGATTGGTCAGTCACTCAATAGTGTCTGACAGTAAAGTATAGAAAGTAAAGGGGTTTCCTTGTTTAATTTGAATACTAGAAAACTGCTAACGTTTATATTTCACAAATAGGACAAACGTGACATATGCATAATTCCTACAATGTTCTACAAAATTTGCGAATTTAACTTTCAATTGAAAATTGTGACATGATCCCACCATCTGATCAAAAAACAAAAGACACAACTTTTATAGCCCATAGTCTCAGCTATAATATACCAAAATTTAGGAGAACATAGAGCACAAATAAGCTAGATAGTGCTCAAAGATTAATGTCATGTAGATCCATGATTTGAACTAAATTGGCACCTTCCACAGGCTTAACACGCAAATTAAGAAAATCTGTCAAGTTACCTTTAAACGCAATTTTCACTATGATGATGTCATCAAAATGAAAAATAATATGCAGTTAACTTGTAGACAATTGCCTCAACTACAAGATATCAACATTAAGAAGAGAATCAATCAATATTTACAGAGATACAATCAATTTTCCATAAATATGCTGACGTCATAATATGCAAATTCGTATTTTGAGTTCCAAGGTCAATATGATGATGACACGATATACTTAATGGCCAAATGAGACATGGAATCACATTTCCGACTCATACTCTATCCGAATATGAAAAACAATTGTGGGTTCCTGTCCATCCCAAAGAGTCAAAGGGTTTTGTGTAGGCATGTTGTTGCCCATATATGCTATGTATTACATGAGCACGCGCGCACGGACGTTTATCTTGAACGGACGCTCATTCCCTTATTAATGGTCATAAAGAGATAAACATGGTATCAAATTGTTCGGGAAGACATGAGGAATACTGTGTCAAAAAAGAATCTAGGATGAATTATTTTGCGTTCGGCCGTGACAAACGAAAACGTGCGCGCATGCGCGTGCGCGCGATTCTTTATGAAATGCTTTTGCTAATAATGGCGTACGCTCGCGTTTTTTGACGTGAAATTGACCGGACTGATATTGACCTTGATCCTGGTAAATATGAATGAGAAATGTCTTTTCGTTATGAAGATATGATCATATTTTGATTTTCACAAAATTGCGCCTGGATGACGTTATCAATCAAGGTCAAGGTTGAAAACCTTATTGTGCTCTTTCCTCATGCCTATACATATGTGTGTCAAATTTCAAGGCATTTGATTTAGCCATTTTCAAGTTATCTTGCTAACAATAAAGTGGTTAGAAATAAGAAAAATATTCTAACGAAAACATAAGGTGATCTGTATTATATAAAGCCCACCTGATAATACATTACATTTATAATGCGCTTCATACAATGTTTCTAAACGCAAGAGAAAGAATAAAGGATAAGGATGTGGGAGGAAAAAGGAGTTACCTCGAAGTCATTTCGAATATACTGAAATAACTTTCCATCTATCACTGTACGTCCCATATGATGTACACTGAACACTCATTCCATGTCGTGGGAAGTTTTTTTTTTAAAGTAGAGCCGCAAGCCACATTCCCCAATACGCGCATACCTCCTAGTTCGCTCATCAATATGTAAGACCTGAAATGACCTCAATGCAAGCAAGCACATGCATCTTACTAGGTAAACCATCTGCAAGTAAAGCATTACAGGGGCGTCGCCAAAGGGAAGGGGGGGGGGGGGGGTGTGGGGGTGCGACACCCCCCCACCTCTCAGGATATTATCGGTAAAATTGCGCTGCCGTCGGGAAAAAGAGAAAAGGGAGAGGGAAAAAAGAAAGGGCAAGGGAAAGAAAAGAAAAAAGAAAAGAAAAAGAAAAGAAAGTAAGGAAAAGAAAGGAAAGAAAGGAAAAGAAAGGAAAGAAAAGAGAAGAAAGAAAGAGAAGAAAATAAAAGAGGGAGGAGAGGAAAGAAAGAAAAAGAAAGAAAAGAAAGAAAAGAAAGAAAAGGAAAAAAAAAAAGAGAAAAGGGAAACAAAAGAAACGGGGGGTGTGAAAGAGAGGAGGGGGAAGGTAAGAGCCTGAGAAAGCAGGAGTGGGGTAAAAGAAAGGGGGTCGTTGGGTGGAGTCGTCTCGTCAAGGAAGCAAAAAAGACACGGGTAAATATGTTGCTGTGTCGGGTCAGCTGTGTCGGTATTTTTGCTCGATCCTCGTGTACTATATCAATGCAGAAGTTTGAAGTCGGTGAGATGTATATTGTCGGTCGGCCGACAATTTTTTTTCCCTACGAACTGTGACTTTGTATCCGCTGTGACGACTTCGAGAGTGACTACAACTACAATACTTGTATTTTCTCGAAGTTTCACTTTCCTATAATATCAGCAAAAGAAATCAGAGATTTAACATTTTCGGGGAAACTAAATTCAAACAAGGATTAAGAGTAAAAAACGATACGACGAATCGTCTTCCTTTCTCTATATTTTGATGAAACGCCAAAATTTCCGCACTTCGCGCGGGAGGGGAAAACTTCATTTAGACGGGTCAAGAACGATACAATAAATCGTCTTCTTTTCCTAATAATTTAGGGAAACGTCTAAGCTTCCGCGCTTCGCGCGGGAGGCCTAACACCGACACCCTCTAACGAGCGCGCTTCGCTTGCTCACTACCGCCCCTCCCTAAAATAAGATCCTAGCTCTGCGCCTGCATTAAAATATATAGCTATGATGTTGACTAAGTTGACAAAATAATTCGTATATTTATGTCGTCGAGGAAATTGATCATTTGCGCATACGCAAGTACTTTAGATAGTCCATAGGAAAAACAATTTAGCCTTCGGCCCCGGGTTTATAGGGTTATTTGTAGATATTGAGACACTTAATTTTGTCGGTAATTGGTGGCTAGTTTTGTCGGTAATCGTTGGCCTCTACACCAACCCCCCCCCCCCCCACTGAAAAAGGTCTAGCGACGCCCCTGATACAATGTATTAGTCATCGTGGAAGTTCTAGAAAGCAACAGGGGAGGGATCAAAATAAGCTTTGAAGGGCACTTATACGTAAAGAAGAGAACCCTTTCAGACGGGAAAATTAGATGGCAGCCTTTCTGCTTATTCCCATTGATACAAATCATTTTGTTGCAGTTTGATGTCAGTTCTTCACGATAAGCCAATTGCTCTTCTTCCGGTGGTTCCGTGAGTCCCTTAAAGTCAGTGAAAACAAAGTACTCAAATGAGACGGGGTGTTTTACACACTAATATATATATATATATATATAGTAAAAGCTACATACACTTAACTGAAGGAAAGAAACCTATAGAAAACGGACTGGATATTATTGAAAATACTATTCTAAACAAGAATGTACTCCTACATGTACTACATTACGTTACAATTTCACGAGAGAAATAGAACTCGAGAGGGGAAGAAAAGAAGAAGTGATGAAAATGAGAAGACTAGCACGAGAGGAAAGAAAAGAGCTAAGAAGACAAGAAAAGGGTGTAAAAAGGAAAAGGAAGAGCAAGAGAGAGAGAGAGAGAGATAGCCTTGAGCTTTTGGATCGGCTAATGAGTAATAAATGAAACAAATTTTGAGCGGAGTAATTATCTTTCGCCGGAGAACTTGCATAAGGAGCTAAAACTTGATGTTTTTTTAAATCAAACATGGGGAATAGCAAACAAACGGTTGAGCATTTATTGCACTAATTGCCAGAGGAGCATTCATGTCTTCCACGAGGCCGCACTTTTGGATCAGAGAGCAATTTAATTGTCGGCGGAGCATTGTCTTTTGCGGGGCACTTTTTTAGCGGAGCAAATGTCGGCGGAGCAATTGTCGGCAGAGCAAATGTCACCGGAGCAATTGTCGCGTTTTGCGGAGCAATTGTCGGCGGAGCAATTGTCGGCGGAGCAACTGTCGTTCGAGGAGCATTTGTCACCGAAGCAATTGTCGCGTTTTGCGGAGCAATTGTCGGCGGAGCAATTGTCGGCGGAGCAAATGTCGGCGGAGCAATTGTCGGCGGAACAATTGTCGGCGGAGCAAATGTCGGCGGAGCAATTGTCGGCGGAGCATGTGTCATGGAACCATTATAAGCAATTGTCGGCGGAGCAAATGTCGGCGGAGCAATTGTCGGCGGAGCAAATGTCGGCGGAGCAAATGTCGGCGGAGCAACTGTCGGCGGAGCAACTGTCGCGGAGCAATTGTCGCGTTTTGCGGAGTAAGTGTCGGTGGAGCAATCGTCGGCGGAGCATGTGTCATGGAACCATTATAAGCTATGAATGACCAAAATACGGTAACTTGTCTCCGTTGCAACACACCATTAGTGAATATTATCATGCTCGAGTGCTTTTTAAATAAGAAAACAACAAGCAACGACACAAATACAAACAAGGATATATAAGCTAGGAAATATTGAAATAGTTTTTTTCTTTAAAATTATATTATTTTTTTTGTTTAGGAAGTGTTTGTCAAAATATGTAATTTTCGTCATTTTCCTTATCAATTACATGATGTAAATTTGTAAAGCCAAAAAGTATACTGACTTTAAGGTTTGTTGTTTGTATTTCTTTTGACTAATAGCCTGGGTTCAAGGCTGACGCATTTGTGACTAAGGTTGAAACACAGAACTCTCCGTCGTTTGCGAATTGTTCCTTCTTCCACGTCTACAAGAGTATCATCAACGGGTTCGCCGCCAAACTCACCACAAAAGGCTTAGAAGAAGTGAGTATAATATTCCATGTGGCGATAATATTGTAATCAAATGATACAACTGCGGTGGGTGGATCTATGAATATTTTGAATCTTTAATTGATTTTATCAGTTTTCTTTATTTTTTTTCAATTTTATTGATGGATAAATAAATTAATAAATAAATTATTCATTAATTTATTCAATCAAAATTCATTTATGCGTGTGTGTGTATGTGTGTGTGTTTGTGTTTGCGTGAGGTCGTGTGTGTGCGTGTATGTGTGTATATGTTAAAAACTATAGGCCTATAATAAACACGGACTATAAGAACATTTCATAGATAATGGCAAAACGAATAAAAGAAGTTTTGAATGATATTATTCATTCAGATCAAGTGGGTTACATAAATGTTGGGCATATTGGTGAAGCTATACGTTTGATAGATGATGTGATTTTTCACTGTAATAATTACTGTGAGGAAGATATATTCCTCATAGCAGTAGAATTTGAAAAAGCTTTTTATTCTGTTTCACATAAATTTCTCTTCAAAGTACTAGATTTATTTAGGTTTGGACAGTCTTTTTATTCTTGGGTTAACATCATGCATAACAGAATTAGTAGTTGTGTAATGAATGGAGGTTTCTCCACTGGTTATTTTGTTACTAAGAGAGGGGTGAGGCAGGATACTCTCATCGTATCTGTTTTTGCTAGTAATAGAAATTTTGGCTCATGCAAGTTCGACAAATTTTGTATGCCAATGATATGATTTTGTTCGTTAAAAATGAAACATCGATTACAAGAATACAGGATATATTCCGAGCTTTCTATAAGTTAAGCGGTTTAAGGGTTAACATAGACAAAACTAATGTGATGAGGAAGGAAAAAACAGAGGAGAGTCTGGAACATTACCTATGGGCAATATAGTAACGAGAATGAAAATTTTAGGAGTATATTTTTTCATTGAATAAAGAAATGAGGGAAGATTAAATTATACAGATATTTTGAGTAGAATTAAAAGACTTTTGGAATGGTGGAAACAGAGAGATTTAACAGTGATGGGGAAAGTACATTTGCTTAAAACATATGCTTTGTCAAAATTGAACTTTGTTTCCTCATCATTAGTTGTTCCAAAGTGAGTAGTAGCAGAGATTAAGAAAATTTGTTTTGATTTCATATGGAATAGAAAAACGAATTAAAAGAGCTATTGCACCAGCACTACGGGGATGGTGGCTAAAGGATGATAGAGTTTGAATTAGTTGTGAAAAATCAAAGAGTAATGTGGTTAACACGGCTACTTTATGGGGAAAGGAAGATGGGATGGAAGCTTTACTTTGACTATAGCTTTAGAACAATGGGTGAAAGGTTTATATCCCTGTGTGTGTAATTATGATGTTAAATTATAGACTTTTTAAGCACCAATGTTTTATTAGAGATTTTAAAGGCTTGGCAAGATATGGAGAAAAACAGGAATTTTCTTGTAGGAAAAGCTAATCCAATCTTTTGTATTAAAAAAGATTACCTTTCGAAAGGTAAATTGATTTTTGATGAAGACTTACTTAAGAAAGACATTTATCTAGTAGATCACATGTTAGAGAAAAGGGAAGGTGAAAACAATTGATTATTTTCATAACTTAGGTTTAAGTAGTGAAAATATTATGTAAATTTGGAAGATAAGTGATGCAGTTTTGAAAAGCGGAAAATATGAAGGGAACTTACACGAGTTTTACTCAGTTGATGTACACAAATAGAATATTTCGTTGAAGATTTTTGAAAATATCATTCTATTGAAAAATGTACCATTAAAAAAGGTTAACGGAATTTTTGTAACAAATCTACAATATTTATATACTTTACGAGTAAAAGATGGCCACACTGACTTTGAATTCTCTAAAAAAGAAATCGCAGACATTTTCATAAGACCTAGAATCACAACAATTTTATCAAAAGTTATAGGGAATTTCAGTATAAATTACTTCATGGAGCAATATATACAAACGAACATCTCTTTAAATTTGTTTTGTTGATACTAATTATTGTTTCTTCTGTAAGCAAGATTTAGAATCGTATGAACACATATTTTGGGATTGTGATGATTTCAAAGCTTTATGGCAGAGAGTATTGAAAAAAATTAGTTTGGTAAAGCTTAAAAAGGGAGAGTGAAAAGATATACATGTTGGGATTACTGGAAAGGACCTTGAAATCCAAATTTGTAGTACAGCAATCTTTTCAATAAAATACATTATTTTCAGGTCAAGGTCGGAGGGTGTAGTTCCTACTCAGGAGGAATATTTTTAGAAGATAGTAGAATATCGAAATGACGAAAAGGCAATAGCTATGAAAAGGAATAGGTTAGACAAACATTTGTTAAAATGGGAGAAGTTGTATGAAAACAGCAGGACTGAGGGTGGTATTCAAAATTAAACATGGTTATGCTCCATCATATTTAAACGACCTTCTCAAACCTATTGTTCCATCACGTTCATTACGGTCAACTACACATGCTAATTTCCAATACGCCCCTGGTCCCCGAACAAATACCCGTTACGGAGATCGTAGTTTTGCCATTGCAGCCCCTAAATTATGGAACAGTTTACCTATTATTATTCGTCAATCCCCATCTGTAGAGTCTTTTAAGGCAAGTTTGAAGTATTTTTTGTTTACCGGTAATAGTAATTTATAGGGCAGTTTAATTATCTGTAATGTTATTATTAAAATTATGTATTATTATTGCTGTATGTTTATTTTACGTTGTACCTAATTACTTGTATGTTAAGCGCTTAGAAACATTGTATTAAGCGCTTTATAAATGTAATTTATTATTATTATTATTATTATTATTCACGAGTGGGCGAGTGTGTGAGAGACAGAGAGAGAGAGAGAGAGAGAGTGTGTGTGTGTGTGAATGAGGGGGGGGGGGGTAGGGGGTTCGGGTGCAGGGAGTCCAGTACAATGTATATGCAATAATATGATATATATTGTTTCCCTTGTTAATGGAGGGGGAGGGGTGGGCTATTTTTATGAAAAGATTTCATTCAGTGCTTAGCTTTGAATTTCAGTTATTCTTTTATAGAATATTTTACATGATAATGTGCTTTATTTGTCATACACTTTCATTGAAATGTTGATTTATGATTCATTTACATGACATGTATTATTATCGAGTGAAATCAAAATAAAGATCATTAAAAAAAAGTATGTGTGAGGGGGGGGGGGGGGGTGGGTTAAGTACGCTCAATTGCTCTCATCCAAGAATGCACATAACAGAACGAGGGGGTAATAGCTTACCCCGATGATTGTGCTGTACTTCATCTGGTGTTGGTAATCTAATTTACCTCTCTTCCTGAATTTTCAAACCTTTGAACTTAAGCTTCTTAGCCTTGAAGAGGTGTCTTTGGTGGAGGAGAACGGAGTTGTTCGAGCTCACCAAGCCTACCCTGGGTCGTGGGGGTTAGAACGGGTAGACCAGAGGTTCCTTCCACTAGATGGACGGGCGGATTTCACAGGTTTGACAAAATTGACCTTACATCCATTATTTTTTTGCGTTAAAATCTTTTTTCTACATTTTGAAATGAATCAGTTTTGAAATGTTTAAAATATTTAATATACATAAGCGTCAGAGAAAGAGAAAGAGAGAGAGAGAGAGAGAGGGAGAGGGGGGGGGGTAGGGTAGAGAGTGAAAGAGAAAAGGTCAGAGAAAGAGAGAGAGAGAGAGCATCATGGTAATAATAATAATCATCATCATAATAATAATTATACTATATATACTACTAATAACAAAGATAATAGTATTAATAATATTAATACTAATAATAACAAAAACAACAACAACAATGATAATGATAATTATAATAATGATAATGATAATGATGATGTTTATAGTCTATATATAGGTTTTATTCATTTCTTTTTAATGGGGACGGGAGCGATGCGATTTCTAAATGTTTTTCTCAGACAGTATTCATTGTTTTCTAAAGGTGACGGAAGCGGTGTGAATGCGTACATCTTAGACACGGGCATCTATCCATCTAACAGCTATTTCAACGCAAGAGCTACTGTGGGGTACGACGCTGTCGGCGATGGACAGGTATTTTCATTTGGATTTATTCATCTTAAATCATCTATTCAAATTATACGTATTCATCCGCATTAATGTAATATTGACGTGTTGAAACACTGATACATTTTTCAATGTAGTATATGCATCGAAATTGAAACAGCAATGTGACAAAATATGAATAAAATGGAATAACATTTACTAGCCGAATGTAATAAACTAGGGGGTCATTTCACGAAACCAAAGATCAACGACATCTCGACACTGTCGCTTGACTTGTCCGCTAAGTGTTCACAACACCGTCTTGAAAACAGTGTCGTTCTTACAAATTTGACAGGTTTGGAGTCGCGACAAGTCTCTTGTCGGGGACGTTGTCGCTCGTCTTGGCGAAGACAGTTTTGTGAAACACTTAGCGGACAAGTCGAGCGATAGCGTCAAGATGTCGTTGATCTTGAAGTTATGAAGGTTTCGTGAAAAAATCCAGTTTAATACCAACCATTTCATTCACCTGCTATGAATAATGAAATATATGTGGATTGAATCTTCTTTTCATACATTATTTGTTGTTATGTCGGGCAAGCATTTTACTTGCCATGGGACATTTTCAAAAAGTATGCATAGAATAGGCCATTTCCGTCACGTAACCAAATTTTTGCATATGCCTTTGTGAAGCCTTGAAACGAATTACTTCATATACCTGCTACGCATAAATTATTTTATCTCGATAGTCAGAATGCTAATTGCATACATTTGTTGTTTGGTAGGTATGACCAGGGAGTTGGAATGAACTCCCCGGTATGACAAAAATTATAGCTTGTCCTATATAGCAACACGTAATATATGCAATTTGCATTCTGACTATTGTATAAATTTGGGTTTATTGGCCAGAAGGCGAAGCAAATAGCGTACAGTCTTATTTGGATTTGCACGCACATTACGAAAATGGCCTATTAGTTAAAAGGTCTATATTGATATAAATGTTGTAAAGGAGGGCTGCAGCGTAAGCATGAAAACTTGACATACATGCGCTTGTAACCCTCATTTTAACTAAGAAAATAAATAAGACACATTATAGTGACTGTCCAAGAAAGATGGAGAAAAGGGCAAGGCGTTGGTTTCCAGCTGTAATAATGAATTATATGTTTATTTAAAAAAAAAACCTGCATTGCTTTATGTTATATGTACAACATGTGGTGTCGCTAGACGGAGGGGTTGATACCTCCATTCAAAATTTTCTGTCAGCAAAATTCGATTAAAAAAAGTGGAATATATGCCAGATTCAGATTCAGATTCAGATTCGGGTGTTCATATTCAGATTTATTTCATAACCAAAAAGTTAATACTCCTTCGAAAATCTGAGGGCCTTTTTTCTGTCGTTTTTAAGAAATAGGTTAATTTTATCGGCAAATTTGTAGGGCAAATATGTATAGTGACGCCTTAAATGACAAACTATGAAAGAGATACATGTATATCCATGGATATATATATATATATATATATATATATATATATATATATATAAACGATGTAAGATCGTCAAGTGATATTTGACATTTTAAAATAATATTTAGGACTTATATCAGTCGCAAAAAAAATATCAGGAAATCAACGTACGGGCAACAATTTGAATACCTCAACGTTTGTAGAGTGTAGGTCTACTACACTCTACAACACAAATGGGTGAGAATTTAAAATTTCTACAGAATGGGTTGAATTATAATATTTCAATAACATTCCAAAATAGATGAATCTTTCCGCATTCAAATAATACATGCATTATGGTACCAGTTTTGTTACAGTAATAACACAAATCGTTTTCTTTGAGTTTCCATTTGAAAAAACTAACAGATGTTGGTAAAATATTATACATAAATTAAAAGTTGAATTGAATCAAGTAGTTATTAATAATAATAATAATAATACTGATAATAATGGTAATAATACTGATAATAACACTAACGATAATAATAGCAATAATAATATCAATACTACTACTACTACTACTACTACTGCTACTAGTAATAATGATAATGATAATAATACAAATAATAATATTGATTATTAATAATGCCAACTCCATACTCAACAGAAAAATACGATAATTAAAATCTACCGGAAAGCAATGTTTATTAGATAATACAACACAGTGTTTAAGAGATATATGTCATTTATATGTTTAAAAGGTATGTCAATTGTGGTTGATTTGCTATACTAGGTGTGACGTTAAATTCTGCTGAAGTGACCCCAACAGTAGGCTTAAAGAAAGGACGACGACATCCAAGTTGAGATACGTGCATAAAATGCAGTTCATCTGTAATATTAATAAAACAAACAAGCAATCATAAGCATGTGTACAAATTCACATGAATAAACAAACATCTATTGTATCGCACAACTAGCTTGCCATAAATGACCTTAATATGCATAACTGAGTAAAGAAAACCTTCAAGAATAAACTATGTGAGTAAAGCTCACTTGTGCAAACACAAACTGTATAACTGCCTCATTTATCTTATTCTAATGAACTGTCTCAAATTCTACCTTTGTTTACAAATATAACCCTTACAAATCATACCTCTCTATCTTGTAGGTTAACGTCATACACAAATAAACCCTCGACCAGCCTTATTTCCTGCCTCTATCTTACACTCTTTACTTGGTTCCTGAACTAAATTCCTATTTGCTTCTACACCCTTGACATTCTTTATAACCAAGGAAAACAATTCATACTCTTTGTTTCATGTCAATTATCATCACTCATTACACACAAATCTAGATTATCCTCAACACAAACTGATATATGCACAAATTGTGCATTCACACACGTTATCCTACGTTTGTCTATATGTGGTGCTACATGCACAGACAACATTTTAACGTACTTTTCATCTTAAAATTACAGAAAACTAGATTTATATCTTGTGCCATTTTTGGCCTCATACAAACAATTAAAGATTGATTTATACAAATAACAGCTTTATAGTACTTACAACATTGGGCTTGTCTCGATTGTCGGGGATTACTGATGGAATCACTGTCCACAAAACATTTCAAATTTCGTGACTTTTAGGCTGGCGAACTACAAACGCCCTCTTACGACCAAATGAAATTATGGTAAATCTGAACCGACGTCATGACAGAAAACTTTCTAAATCTTACATCCCGGCCCCTTAAATGCGTAGCCACAGCAAAGCATTTATCCAAATAACTTCAACTTCCATTCAAATTGTCTAACTTTTCTGTTAATAAAACACAACTAAACATTCAGAATTTACACTCAACTCTGCATAGCACATTCCATTAATTTCATTTACACAATGTAGTACATTACAGTAAATGCCTTTAGGCGTGAGTTTTCAAGCAAAATTCAGTAGCCCACCACTAAGTACAACAGGGTTACACACAAAAAATGATTTTCAAATTCAGAAAATGGTGCTTCTGTGATTAAACTTTCTCATCATTCGCAATCTTGAGTAAATTGTCAATTTACTTCCGGTATACAAAACTTTAGTTCAACTATCCCCTTCATATCAAATATCCTCTTTTGGGTCTATGCATCAAATATCAACACAATTCGGTTCTTTAAAGTTTCAACTTGAACTAGACACTACATATTTGTATGCTCATGCATTGACCAAATAACATGTTATCATGACAAATGATTCTCATTTGTAGTGGTCAAATATTTAACTCCTGCTCTTAGGAAAAAACATGTAAGAAATTACGTATGAATATCGTTCGAACAAAAAAATCTTTCAGCAATAGTCTCAGTTCAATACTGAAATGAATACATGTATTCTGAAGTCCATTATAGTCTTTCTTCAAGTATTGACTAATAAACATAATATGACATAGTCTATAACAAGGCTGAAATGTTTATTACTCTTCAAGAGTAGAGTCCACTGTCCTCAAATATAACATGCCCGATTTACCTCAAGGGCACAATGTTACCGCAAATAGTCTTGTATAAAGTCTGGGGACTGTTTTTATCAATTTCTTGCGCTTAAACAAGTTTGTTGCTGTAAACGAGTTCTGTCTTGCGTCGACGTCAGTCTAACTTGAATATGATGATCAGGATCTTTCGCTTGTCACGGATCAGGATAATCGCGACATAAAAAATTCACAAGAGGCGGCGCTAGGCTCTCACCTCGCACGTTTAATTCATCGTGCATCAAATATAATTATCTCACATAAGAAACTAATGCTCCAATTTAGTCGTTCTTCGCTGTGGATCCATTTAAATTGAGATCGCTCTCCACGGTTCACCAATTTACGCTCTTTGCTTCTTCCAAAACTGAAACATGATGATCAGGATCTTACGCTCGTCACGGATCAGGAAAATTGCGACACAAAAATTCACAAGAGGCGGCGCTAGGCTCTCACCTCGCACGTTTAATTCACCGTGCATCAATATAATTATCTCACATAAGAAATGAATGCTCCAATTAGTCGCTGTGGTTCACCAATACGCTATCTGCTTCTTCCAAAAGACATAGTTTCTGCACAGGCCTGACTAGGATACCGGTGCTATGTTTCAGCTTGACCGATCGGACGAGCTTGTCCTTCCCAGGATAGGTTTCGATTACTCTTCCCGTCAACCACTTGTTCCTCGGCAGATTGTCGATAATCAGCACGATGTCACCTTCCTCCAGATTTCTCGTCTCTTTCAGCCACTTCTGCCGCTGTTGTAAGGAAGGTAGGTATTCCTTCACCCACCTGCGCCAAAATAAGTCTGCCAGGTATTGAATCTGCCGCCAGCGTCGACGTCCATACAGATCATGTTTCTGGAACACATCAGGTGGTAGAGCATTTTTTGACCTCAGGAGCAGCAGATGATTTGGTGTGAGAGGCTCTGCATCCCTTGCGTCATCAGATGTTATGGTGAGTGGACGCCCATTGATAATTGCCTCTACTAGACACATAAGAGTCGTTAAGCCCTCATCATTCAGAACCTGCTGCTTCATGACTGCATTCAAGACCTTTCTCGTAGTTCTGATTTGTCTTTCCCATGATCCACCCATATGGGATGCTCTCGGTGGATTGAATTTCCAATCAATTCCTTGTTGAAGGAGATTATCGTGGATCTTCTCCTGGTTCCATCGTTTCAATCCCTCCCTCAGTTCACGTTCAGCACCTATGAAATTTGTACCATTGTCGGATCTGATAATCTCTGGTTGTCCTCTGCGTGAAATGAATCTCTGAAGGGCATTCAGAAATGAATCCGTCTCCAATGAATGCAGTACCTCTATGTGTATTGCTCTTATAACCAGACAAGTGAATATACATCCATATCTCTTCACAGAGCTCCTTCCTTGTCTCACCATGTATGGGCCAAAGCAGTCAACTCCCACGTTACTGAATGGAGGTTTTTCTGGTACCACTCTATCTGCCGGCAAATCTGCCATCTTCTGTTCCACTGGTTTTGCACGTTGACGTTTACATGTGAAACACTTGTGTAGTACATGACGAACTGCTAACCTCCCTCTGATTATCCAAAATCGTTGTCTGAGTAGGGATAGCACATACTCCTTCCCTGAGTGACCACACATAATGTGGTAATGTCTCACCAAAAGCTGTACTACATGATGCTTGGAAGGCAAAATCACTGGGTGTTTTGTCTGCTCTTCTAGTGGTGCATTGTGTAGTCTTCCTCCAACACATATCAATCCTTCGTCTGTGAGTTTCACGCTCAATTTAGATAGTGGGCTGGATTTTGCTATTCGAGTGGGTGACCGTTGTGTAGTCTTATTTTGCTGTAAGACTCTGTACTCCTCAGCATAGGTCTGTTGCTGAACGTATCTGACAATTGCTTCTTCAGCTACAGTCATCTCATCAACTGTTACTGGCTGCTTCATATCCAGTAAATTCATATCTTTGCGTGCCTTTCTTCTCAAGCACTCCTTGACCTTCAGGATCCATGCAATACCTTTCTTCAGCCGGAACCAGGACGAGTAACTTTCAAGGAGTCTATCTGTCGCCTTGACTTCAGATTCGGCTGCAGCAAACACTCCAGTCTTGTCTTGCTTTACCTCTGGGTCATGCTCTAAGCTAGACTCATTCACTCTCAAGCTTTTAGGCCAATCGCATTCTTCTGACCACAAAAATTTTGGCCCTTCTTTCCATCGTCCAGTCAATTCCTCAGCTGTCAGTCCACGCGAGGCATCATCGGCTGGATTGACATCAGTGTTAACATGTCGCCACTGCCTTGGTTCAGATCCCTCATGAATGGTTGTAATTCTGTTTGCTACAAACGTATGGAAACGTTTATCCTCATTCTTCACATAATGAAGTACTATTGAACTGTCAGTCCAAAACACTGACTCTTGGAGCGGCAGATCCAGTTCCCGTTGTATCATACTGTCTATAGTGACAGAGAGTGTAGCCGCCATCAGTTCAAGCCGTGGGATTGTCATCCTCTTCAGGGGTGCAAGACGTGACCTTGCAAATAGTATGCTGCAGTGCACCTGACCCTCAACATCCTTCATCCGCAGGTAGGAAACGACTCCATAGGCTTTCTCTGAAGCATCTGCAAAGTGATGTAGCTTATACTCTGCTACCTTGCCAAAGTCGTGTGGTTTGATGCATCTGTTGACCTGGAATTCAGTCATCTTGGGTAGTTCCTGTACCCATTCATTCCATCTCTCTATTTCCTTGCTTGGAATCTCCTCATCCCATGCAAGTTTAAGTCTGGTTAGTTCCTGCAAGATCATCTTAGCCTTTAGGATGAAAGGACTGGCGTAACCGAGAGGGTCGTAGATGGAAGATACAACACTCAAGATACCCCTCCTGGTTTGGGGTTTGTCCTTGGGTCTAAATTTGTACAGCAAACAATCAGTTTCTACATCCCAGCTGATTCCAAGTGCTCTCTCGACTGGAAGAGCATCATGATTGAGATCCAGACCCCTCACATCTTTAGCTCTCTCTTCTTCTGGTATGGATTGCAGGACAAATGGGTTGTTACTGACCCATTTGGTTAATCTGAAGCCTCCTTCACTGAGCAAGACCATCAAGTCCGCAGCAAGTTTCACCGCTGTTTCTTCATTCTCAACTGACACCAGGCAGTCGTCCACATAGAAGTTTTCGAGAATGGCCTTAGATGCTTCCACTTTACCATTACCATCACCGTTTCTTGCTGTCTGACGAAGTGCATGGCTGCACACACTTGGGCTCCACGTACCTCCGAAGAGGTGGACGCACATCCGGTAGACCAGCGGTTCCTTGTTGAAGTCTCCGTCCTTCCACCACAAGAATCTCAACACGTCTCGATCTTCTGGAGGTACCCTCACTTGGTGGAACATTGCCTCTATATCTGACATGAGTGCTACTGGTTGCTGGCGGAATCTAAGCAAAACTCCCATCAAATTGTTGATAAGGTCCGGCCCCTGTAACACTGCATCATTCAAAGATACCCCTTGGTGCTTGGCCGCACAATCGAACACGATTCGCATCTTGTCTGGTTTTTGGGGATTCAAGACTGGATGGTGGGGCAAATACCAAACAGGGGTGTCCTTGGGTTGCCTAGTCTCCTCACTAACTTCCTCTGCATAGCCTTTCCTGAGGAGATCCTCTATGCCCTGTTTGTATTTCACATACATTGCTTGATCTCTTTGCAATCTCCTTGCCAACGATTTCAAACGCTGTTCTGCACTCCACTTGTTATCAGGCAAGTTAGGTGGTCTCCTTCTGAAGGGCACCGGTAGTTGGAAATGTGCACCTTCCCGCTGGATGTCCCTCTCCCATATTTCCATTACCTTCTTGTCATTGACTGACATTGCCTTGTCTTTCTTAAGCACATCTGTAGCTTCGATCTTCCAGAATTGGCTGACTTGTTCCTCCAGTCTATCATTACTGTCAATGAAGCTAGATGTAGCTTTGGGTACACCATCTGAACTGGAACCTACAGGTCCACTCACTGACCAACCCAATTTGGTCCTAACAGCATAAGGGCCATGCTGTCCTCGTCTCACCTCGATAGGTATCAAGGCTTCAGGTGAATCCTGCCCTATCAACAGTCCAACTTCATGTCGTTCAATGATCGGGAGGTTGATTCCTTCTAAGTGATGATATCCTGAAATGTCATCCACATTGGCAATGTGTGTGTCTCTGATATTAATGGCGTCTCTGGTATACACACAGGGTAGCTTCACACAGTCTGTATCTGGTCCCGTGTCTGCAATCAGACTAATCACTGAGGTCTCTATGGGGCTATTACGCTTCTCCAGTGTTGTCAGGCTTAAACTTTGCTTCCTTCCAGTAGCATTGAGTTCTCTGGCCAAAGTGGCTGTACAAAATGTACTGGTTGAACCAGAATCCAACAGTGCATATGTATTCACAAATACATTCTCTCCTTGAGCTCTAACCCTCACTGGAACAATGGGAAGCACACACCTTCCGGCCCCTGTGACACACTTCTTAACGAACCCATTCTGGACTTGATGGACTTCGTTGTTCTGGGTTTCAACTGGAGCCTGTGTCGTTGTCATCCTTCCTGCAGATGAAGATGCATCCTGTGCAAAATGGAGAAATTTTGTGTGTTTTCTCTGGCATCCTTGTACTGAGCATCTTCTATTCAATCTGCAAAACCTACTGGTGTGGCCAGATTGCAGGCAGTTGAAACATAGTCTGTTGTCCTGAGCAAACTGAAATCTCATCTCGGGTGCCATGGATTTAAAACTGTCGCACCCAAACAAGGAATGTTCTTGCCTACACTTCAGGCACTTCAGGTTGACTGCTACTTCTGTTACCTCTGTAGCGTACATGTAGTTACTTCTTGTACTCTTCTTGTTGAAAGCTGGGTTTGAAGTTTCAACTCTTTTTGTTGTTGCTGTCAGATCTCCAAAGACAGGATCATTGGCTTCCTCAGCAGCGTTGGAGACAAACCTTGCCATGTCAGAGATATCGGGAGAACGCTCCTGCTGTCTGATGTCTCTCACCAACTTTAACCATCTACCTTTAAGGTAATATGGAAGTCTCTCAGCCACCTTCAGCAACTCTCTCTGACTACTAATTTCCTGCAGTAGATCCATTGCTCGAAGAGTTTCCATGCTGATCTTCAACTCATCTGCAAACTTCTGCAGCCCCTTCCGGTCATTCCCATGGCAGATTGGACCAGTGGTTATACGTTTGATCCAGGCTTCTCCTATCTTGTACTTGCTGCCAAAGCGTTCCACCAACAGCTCTCTGGCTCGTTGGTACCCATACAGTGGTTCCATGACCATACAGCACTGTATGATGCCCTTAACTTCTCCTTCACAGCAATGATATAACTTCATAAGTTTTGTCCCACTATCGAGTGAAGATCGACCAATTAAGTTGTCGAACGACATCATAAATTCATGGAAGTGCAAAGGACTCCCATCAAACTTCATCATCTCTACATTAGCCAGACTGATAGCTTCCAACCATCGTTGTTGCTGAACTTGGGTCTGCAGATAAAATTCTCGGTCGTCTCGTGGTTGATAAGCTTGACCTGAAATGGGAGATGAAGCCATTTGCTGAGCTGGAAAAGGAATAGTCTCTTGTAGGAGCGCAGGTTCCTTGACATCATGATTGCTGACATGATGATGATGTTCCGTAGCATGCTCTGCACTTTCATGCACCTGCTTGACATTCTGCTGACTGGAACTCCTATTCCCTATACTCGACACCTTACTGCCACTCCTGTGTTGCTCATACAAGTCTTCTTCTGCCTCTGCTGCGCTGAGCTTGGCACGTAAGAGTAACTTAGCCTTCCTTTGCTTAAGGCGTATTTCTTCGAGTTCTATCTCTTGTTCTTCCTGAAGAACTGCTAATTCTGCTGCTATTGCAGCCCTCTTGGCCCTGGTCCTAAGTCCAGATGACGTGGTGGAACTCTTCCCAACCTGACTTGCAGAATCCTCTGGATTGACATCATCAACACCTACTTGACTCATGGTGACGAATGCTAAAGCTGTTATGAACTTTGTGTGACGTTAAATTCTGCTGAAGTGACCCCAACAGTAGGCTTAAAGAAAGGACGACGACATCCAAGTTGAGATACGTGCATAAAATGCAGTTCATCTGTAATATTAATAAAACAAACAAGCAATCATAAGCATGTGTACAAATTCACATGAATAAACAAACATCTATTGTATCGCACAACTAGCTTGCCATAAATGACCTTAATATGCATAACTGAGTAAAGAAAACCTTCAAGAATAAACTATGTGAGTAAAGCTCACTTGTGCAAACACAAACTGTATAACTGCCTCATTTATCTTATTCTAATGAACTGTCTCAAATTCTACCTTTGTTTACAAATATAACCCTTACAAATCATACCTCTCTATCTTGTAGGTTAACGTCATACACAAATAAACCCTCGACCAGCCTTATTTCCTGCCTCTATCTTACACTCTTTACTTGGTTCCTGAACTAAATTCCTATTTGCTTCTACACCCTTGACATTCTTTATAACCAAGGAAAACAATTCATACTCTTTGTTTCATGTCAATTATCATCACTCATTACACACAAATCTAGATTATCCTCAACACAAACTGATATATGCACAAATTGTGCATTCACACACGTTATCCTACGTTTGTCTATATGTGGTGCTACATGCACAGACAACATTTTAACGTACTTTTCATCTTAAAATTACAGAAAACTAGATTTATATCTTGTGCCATTTTTGGCCTCATACAAACAATTAAAGATTGATTTATACAAATAACAGCTTTATAGTACTTACAACATTGGGCTTGTCTCGATTGTCGGGGATTACTGATGGAATCACTGTCCACAAAACATTTCAAATTTCGTGACTTTTAGGCTGGCGAACTACAAACGCCCTCTTACGACCAAATGAAATTATGGTAAATCTGAACCGACGTCATGACAGAAAACTTTCTAAATCTTACACTAGGAAGGTATTGATTGTAACGGCCATGGTACTCACTGTGCTGGGACGGTAGGCTCGGATGTCTTTGGATCGCTAGAGGTGCATCATTGGTCGGAATTCGGGTCCTCAACTGTTTCGGCAAGGGCTCTTTATCACAGATCTTAGATGGTATGCTTATTTTCTTTCTCTCTCTTTTCTGGTCTGGTTCAGAATTTATTCTTATCTCAAAGATAAAGTTGAGTTCTGGTCATGCGATTGCATTGTGAATGAAAAGGTGTGGAATCGATCAGAAAATTTGATCATGTAGCAGATAAGTATTGGTGTGTACTGCAATGTTCTGGAGTCATCAAAATGATAAAAAATCTGGCGCAGTTTTGTTAAAGTTACAAGCACTTTACACAGAAAGATGTATATGGGACTGCACAAACATGTGGCATAAAAATCAGGCCTTACTTTTAATATTTTTAAAAACATGAAGGTATTTGAAGAGCCATGCTTTTCAGGGAAGATTTTTTCCTCTGATTTCCTTCCACGCTTGCATAATATCAATGATAACGCTCACAAATTATTTTTCACCTCTCCCCAGAACTCAACATTTTCTTTAAGCTTAGAGCTATAACAAACATATGTTTTTTTTAAACAGTTAAACATTTCCGACACTAAGCTGTACAATCACGACCATAATGAAGGTGTGAGCAAAGTCTGAAAACAGTGTCAAAACAAACAAACAAACAAACAAACAAACAAACAAGACAAATATGTCATAAAACGATTAGATGTAAGGTTATATATCGCGTTAAAATGGATTATACTGTCTCTTTAAAGTTAAAATTACAAATGTGTACATCAGCATTATTGTTTATTTTCTACCAAACAAATTTTATTATTGTCTTTATTATAATAATTATTATTATCACTATTATTCTCATCATCATTATTGTTATCACTATTATAATCATCACCATTACTATTTTTATAATTATTATTATTATCATTATTATTATCACTTGTATTATAATCCCTATTATTATCATCAATAGTACTATTATTATCATCAATAGTACTATTATTATTATTATCATTATTGTTGTTGATTAATTTTGTTGATACAAGGTCTTGATTGGGTGCAAAACAACGCGCAGAAACCAGCAGTGGCGTCCATGTCTCTTGGAGGCGGGGTATCCACACTCCTGGATGCAGGTGTGACGTCACTTATTAACAGTGGAATCTTGGTGGCGGTTGCAGCGGGAAACGACGACCATGAAGCCTGCTTGAATTCTCCGGCTCAAAACCCACTTGTAAGTATTTTCTAATAACGTCGGTAGAAAAATTCAAAAATGTCCTCTTTTTTGAAGGGGGGGGGGGGGGGGGAGGTTTGGAACAAATTTTCCGACAAGGCCAGTTGGAAAAATTTCCCATCAGTGTTAATAATGAAGAGGTTATGTCGGGGGAGTGGGGGGGGGGGGGGGTGGTGGAAAGTGTGGCACACCTTGAACATCTGTAAAATAACTTTTTGTGTGCACTTCTGAACAATAGCCACTTCAAGTATCAACAGATAATTGTTGACAGCTGGCCACACCAGCAGTCCGTGTAAGGAGAGTACCAAATATACCAATCAAATTGGTTCGCTGCTGCTCAGATGATGTTATGTTTCACTAATTTAATGAAAAATCAAAATTGTCTTATGAATTGTTATTGGGGTGGACAGGCATGGGGATTTTCAAAGTGACCACAAATTCTATAAAAAAAAATCAAAACAAACAAGGGAACTATGTAACAAAATAAGAACGCTCTATGTTCTGTGGCTTCTAAATTCGAGGGTGTGACAGAAAATTTCAAAACGTGTCGAAGGGTTTGGAAGACGGTCAATTACTTAAAGGAGAATAAAACTCAACCCTTTAAGTCTCATAATCCTGTACAGAGTAATATTATTTCCATATGAAGTAATTGTGATCTTTAGCAAAATTGTGTCAACTTCCTTTTATTTTGATTCCAAAACCTTACAGTATACATCGATTCTTACAGAATACATTATCAACATTTCCTAATTGCTACAATAAGAGTCGAGGTATAGTGGTGTATTCACTTGACTCTCAATCTGTTATGGTTGAGCCTTTGAGGGTTCGAATCCGAGTCCGGAACTAACATTTGGCACTCTCCACCAAGGTGTAAATACCTGCCATGCAGTTGCTGGGCTAATAATAATTGTAGGGCCCTCTGGGAAAACAGTATTGATAGTAATGAGGCTTAGGTAATCATTATTAGTATTATTATGATAGTTGTTGATATCATTATAATTATTATTATGATTGTTATTGTTATTATAATTTTTATTATTATGATTATTATTATTATTATTATTATTATTACTATTATTGTTATTGTTATTGTTATTGTTGTTGTTATTGTTATTGTAATCATCATAAAAATGATACCTTTCCAGGCTGTGACTGTTGGTGCCACGGACAAGCAAGATAAACGATATAATCTCTCCAACTACGGCACTTGCCTTGATATCTATGCTCCAGGAGTAGACATCACCAGTACTTGGTACGGTGGACCTACCGCTACCAACACTATCAGCGGTACCTCTATGGCGTGTCCTCATGTAGCAGGTGAGAAATTTGTTCTCTTCTGTTTTGTTATCATTCTTCTTCTTATTATTATAATAATCATTAATCTCATTATTATTATTATTATTATTACTATCATTATTGATATATTATTATTGTTTTAATTATTGTTGTTATTATAAATATTTTTTAAAAATTATTATTATTATTATTTCTAGTATTATTGTTTCAAATATTGTTATTACTGTTATTATAATTGATATTATTATTATTGTTTTAATTATTGTTGTTATAAATGTTATTAGTATTACTATTTTTATTATTATTGTCTAATTATTATTATTATTATTATTATTATTATTATTATTATTATCATCATTATTATTATTATCAATGTAATTATTATCATTATAATCATTATTTATTTGACCATAAACATGCAAAGATATACATACAAAGTATTAGATAAAAGATACAGAGTAAAACAAGGAATGGCATGTGGGTCAGGGTTCACAAAAGCGACATTCCTACTTGTTGCCCGTAGGCATTTGAACCCTCACATGTCATTCCGAGAAATATGATAAATTAGATATCACACGGTACACATACATAATTATGAAGTTGAAAGCAAGCAATCATCAAGGAAAGTGCCAATGAATCATTAAAATTGCCACAGTCGAATCACATCCATGCCAAACTGAATTAAATTGATCATCGTTAATTGATTCAAGAACTGATGTATTCTCTTCATGCCTAGAAGTAGAAACTGAAAGAAGAAAACAAATTTAATTTTGTTTTTCTTGAAGTTCAGTGGTGTATCCAGTCCTGGGCCTCAAGAGGGGCAACCATCTCATCTTAAGCCATATTCAAGTATAAAGCGGTAAAATCGCGGGGGCTTTTTGTTGTTGTTATATGATGAAGTAAAGCGTAGCACGCTTCACATGTCTGTATCTTGTAACACAGAGCGAAGTGAGTACGCGTAGGACATTAGATACTCGTAGTTGTAATTCATTTTCATACACAAAAACGGCGGTCTTTTTTTTTGCTGCAGTTAACGCGCCATATCTGAACAAGCCTTTAGTCTGTCCTATAATCTCACATATTATTTCGTCTGTCATCCCTCTTGACTCCTAATACACACAAATAACACAATAATACACTTCAATTATTGTGGAATAGCCTGACAACGACTACTGAGAGCCGGCCGTTTATTCAGTATGAATGTTTAACAAACATTTCTTCTCGTTTCCTTCACTGGAAACCGTTTCCTTCACTGGAAACCGGACCTATCATGGTCCAGGATAAAAAACCAGAGATAAAACTCCATGGCCCGAATTCACAAAGGAGGTTTGTCGACAAACCTTGGTTTTCGTACGTCATATGACGCGTTTTACGCGTTTTTTACAAACCTGGTTTGTAAAGAACAAATTGAGGTTTGGCGAAACAAAAGGAGGTTTGAGCTCAAACCTTGCTTTGTCAATTCGGGCCAACGAGCATAAAAACTCTTGAGAACCTTATTCAAACACAGTCATGTAACACTACATGACACAACGCACTTTTATTGTAAATAAAAGTTGTCTCGTTGAAAGTTCAAGCTAGAATGATTCAATTACACACTAATTCATGCCACGCCCTCGTCTCCGTGGCAGAATTAGCTCGCACACCTGTACGAGCTGCCTATGCAAATTACATTCCATCGGGGCACAGCCCCGGACCCAACATAAGTATGCATTCATTAACGATACAAACAACATTTGTCTGCTATACAATCGTACCGCAGACAAATAATAGTCTGTCCTATAATCTCACATATTATTTCGTCTGTCATCCCTCTTGACTCCTAATACACAAAAATAACACAATAATACACTTCAATTATTGTGGAATAGCCTGACAACGACTAGAATTCAAAGAACGGGAGCAAAAGAGAACAGAAGAGAAATGAGCAATCTAAATTTAAGTCATGCCAAATAGACTCCCAGATAAATATATATTTTAACATTGTTTAATACTAATGGCATTTCTATAGCGCCGTCTATCGAGAAATCCTATTCTGAGGCGCATTAATAATATTACCCCGGCTTTACCCTTGCTGCCGTATATCACAGAGCTCCAGCATTTCAAGGAACTAATATTCATGCAAGCTATGTATCCATTTACTTCACCTGGGTTTACTATAATGAAATCTGAAAGTTAGTACCCAACTGACAAACGAGTCCAATTTGGACTAAAATCACTACCTTGCTCGTTTAAACTTATTACCTTTTTTTAATACAACCGATTCTAAAGTATTATGTTTCAGGAATTTGCCTTTCCCACTTAATACATAAGCGTACAGAACACTGTCATTGAATAATTTGATTCATAACCATGACATTCTAGATCCGAAACGTTCTCTTTCAAGAAAAAGTTGAAATTCGAACAAATGCTCGTTATATTCAAATATGAACAGGCAAACCTGTGTACGAGACAAGACCTCGTTTTCTTGCCCTTCTTTTGATAATTTTTAAAATCCTGTCCGTAAGGTGAAAACACCATCAATGCTAATAATATGTCATTAAATTCAATTAACAACTCTTTGTTCAGGCAACACTTTGTTGGTGGCTACCTACGAATATTTGCGGTCTTGTTTAAACCAGCTTTGTGGAAAAATATCTTTTGTAATTTCTCCCAATCAAAGTTTATAGAGTAAATTTTATCACTTACATCCAAATGAATATCATGCATTTTGCGTATCTACGCTCACTTGCAGGTCAATCCAATTTGTATTGAACAGGAATAAAGCACTAATTCAAATGATTACTTTTCCTACAATATGTGAGTGATGGTGCTGTTTTCCCATCCGCAATCTCAAATCATATTCAATTTTGATAAATCTTGGATTGATTTTCCTTCCACATTGAAACGATATTAGCAATTCTCCTGAAAGAAAAATTATTATGATTATTTAATCATGTCACATGTTTGAAGTTAAGAAAAATAAATTGCCCAAGGCACAAACATGTTCTGAGAATGAACAAAGCAAAACTTATGCTTATTTTATATTTATTTAGCTGCACGACACTTTGTGCTATTTCTCAAATCTAACAGAAAAAGCACTTTTCACAATTTCAAAGACTTAATGACCAATAATTTGTGCTCCAAACTATCGTCAACATTGCCATCTTTTGACTTCTCACTGCTCTTTCGCCCGTGCCTCTTCCAAAGCCTATTTGGCACGGAAGCTCTGGCATCGGCGGTATAGCCCCTCCTGCTTTGAGGGAGTAGGCCCAAATTAAACTAGCCTCTTCCACGCATACCTTCCACAAACGAGCAAAAACTGTCTCATATGCACTGGTATAACTTGACTGTTTGTTTTCTATGACAAAGTCTTATTACCTTTGTTCCAATAAACTGGTCTGAATTGAATGGGTCAGATTTTTTGAAAATACCTTCCTTTCCTTTGCCACATACATTCTCGTAGAATTTCTACTGGACAATTAAGTACTTCATTTACCATTACTCATCAAGATGGTATTGTGCCTGCGATACTGATCTGACTTTCACTTCTCCGCCAACATATTACGAATAAATATGAGCTTTCAAACACAATGTCAGAAACGAGAATATAAACGAGATCTCTTGAAAGCTCAAACATCATCGCATCCTCCGTAAATCACTGTAAAAAACACTGCGTCCTTCTTGACGACGAGTCTTGGACGTCCCTTCTCCCCTTCGGCTCCGATGATTGTCAAGCCATGACGATAAGATTCTCAGATCAAACCCTCGCTTCGTCCACCGCACCATGTATGGCCTTCTTGACTCCTAAACCTGGAGAGTGTAAATAAAAATAACATGGTACAACTAAAAGTCTTCAATGCGACAAGCATAAATCTGCTTCGAGGGCTTCCAAAAGTTCAGTTTTGGCCCTGTATCCTCCTCACCAGAGGGTAATATCTCAAATTCTTCAATAAAATGAATAGAACTTATCACCATCCCAGATCATGGGCCCAATGAAGCAGACTTCCAATATGGGACTATATTAGTGAGCCCTTGCTTTTAATATCCGGCACCAATTTATCAACAGTTTTGGCCATGAATCGAAGTGGTGGTATACCTACCCACCTATCGATATCTCACTCTCAACTCTGAGAAAAAACACAACTTGTCCCATTACACCATTTGGAATTAAACTTCCTACTTTTGGTATTATAATGACAAACAATAATTATTCTGTCAAACACATGAGTCCTCCACTTCTGATCAAGCCTATGTTACAAGCCTCAGTTTACATATGCCAGTCGTCTGACGCCCTATTCAATCCATCAACCTGCCTGTTCTCACGTCTAGATATCCAAACGGGATAAATATTTACATTGTTTTCTTCACAAACAATTCGTATTTCCAAAGCCTTTTCTTGGCAGGCGGAGTTACCACTCCATTTTATCACGGTGTCCACAACATTCTTGTTGTCCGCGTGTACCAGCGTACACTTCGCCCTTCCAGGCGATGCTCGAACAACACTTGCCGTTCTCACGACGGCTTCGAGTACTCTCCACGAGGAGCTTTGAATCTTCTCCGACCAAACTCCCATGAGTTCTATGTTACTATTTAACTTGTCTACACTCAATCTATCAACCTGCTTGTTCTCACGTCTAGATACCCAAGCCGGATCAATTTTTACATCGTTTTCTTTACAAACAATTCGTATTGTCAAAGCCTTTTCTTGGCAGGTGGGGTTACCACTCCATTTTATCACAATATCCACAATATTCTTGTTGTCCGCGTGTACACTTCGCCCTTCTAGGCGATGCTCAAACATTACTTGCCGTTCTCACGACGGCTTCGGACACTCTCCACGACGAGCTTTGAATTTTCTCAGACTCAGACCAAACTCCCATGAGTTCTGTGTTACTATTTAACTTGTATACATTTTCCCTGCAAAAAACCGAACCCTGCCAGCATATCTCATGTTTACCGAGATAGGAGCATTCCAACTCTTTCTGTTCACACACTTGAACGACTCCATTGTCTTTAATAGACCAGTTCACGGTTATCCACGGATCCTCAAAAAAAATGAAGAGTTCCCACTTAATACACTTTGAAATAATCACTCCAATAGCGATGGAGGTACTATATAAATAGCCTTTGTATCCCCTTTTCAAAGAATTCTTCCACCTGTGTATCGTGGAATGCAGTTGCTTGTGCATAAAAAGAATAATGATTACATCACTTTCATGAACACTATCCAGTATTTTGACTCCGTGTATTTCACAATTTGGTCTGCAATGACCTTTATCTACTCATGCTCAGACTGCAGCTATGAATTGACACACCGATTATCCAAACACGATGTGCATTGACACTTTCTTTCCCACTACCTTCGCTAGAGACCTAACGAGCAAAAAAATACCAGACCTTCGATCTTTAGAAATTATAGTGGAAATAGAAACCTTAAAATCGTTAATGCGTTTCTTTGCGATTCGCTCTCGTTCGTTCAGAAAATCCCATTTTATTCCTAGCCAGGAAGTATTGCCCACTGACATTTTTCTTCAGCAAGAAGAAGACCTAGACCTTAGGTTCCTTTAGCACTGAGACACGTAGAGAATCAGCCCCTTTCCTGCTGTCATGTCCTGCAATTCCGTGTTCAGGAAACATGATTGCATTATGACCATGACCACGCCAATAAGTGACAACAAATCTCATCACTTTTAATGGTGAACACATACCCCAAGGTAGAAATGCCTAAAAAAAAAAATACCTTATTTCACCGAAATCCCAGGCAAAGCCTAATATATGGCTTTCCTCATTAACCCTCTCAATGTGAATGTATTAATGCCAACTTCAGGCCGAACGTGAACACATAGTCACCCATTTCATCTTTCACAATTAAACATCTTCATATTTCTCTTTGTATTAATTGAGATTGACGCTCATTCAATCTCGAACTTATCTGCACTGTCCTTTGTAATCGGACACAGAATTCATTACAAGAAGCCTCTCTGCAACCTCGTCAATACATTTTCTACTCTATTAACAACAAAATGAGATGTAAAGGGAAATTGTACCCTTGTTCTACTATCACAGACGTATTTAACAGCAATTCTCCCCCCAAAACAATTCCTTCTTCTCTCGTAGTCTCCCTACAGGAAATGGTATATGCCAGCTTCGAAACTCGTTTCACACTCCAATGCACGGTGATCTTTACTTTCCTTCAACCTCCTCCTCTTATTCAGTTATACAATCCTTCTCTACCAATTTACCCATCTCTCTCTCGACAAATTTCGAATGGTCTTTGGCAAAAAGATTATAGGGCAAATTAATTCCTATAAAGGAGTTGAATGTACGGGTAATTTGTACCCTTGTTCGATTATATCAGACATAATTATCAGCACTTATATATATATATATATATATATCAATACATTTCCCAACATTCCTTCTTAATTTTCTCGTAGTCTCCTACAAGAGGTGCTATTTTGACAGTTACGAAACTCATTTAACACACCGTTTTAGTACATGGAGAATCTTTCCTTTTCGTATTACCTAATACACTTCTTCTTTACCAATTTACCTATCTCTCTCTCGAGACAAAACCTTTCCAAAAAGATTATTGGGTAAATTAACCCCTATAAACGGGTGAATGTAAGGATAATTTTACTTGGCTCTGTATTGTTAAGAAAATAAATGAAGACCTCTCTGTCGTCAACTCTCCAATGCCGTGCTTTTCCACACGAAAAAACACGATCCCGGCTTTCTGATTGCTATTAATATGCTGCTGAAAAAACTTCTTAGAAGTCAACGAATCGGGCTGGCCTGGCAGCCCGTTTGGTTGTCTCGCATGTCCGCGTTCACGAGATCGATAACTTCGGTCGGCTCCACGGTAGTTGTCTCGTTGAAAGTTCAAGCTAGAATGATTCAATTACACACTAATTCATGCCACGCCCTGGTCTCCGTGGCAGAATTAGCTCGCACACCTGTACGAGCTGCCTATGCAAATTACATTCCATCGGGGCACAGCCCCGGACCCAACATAAGTATGCATTCATTAACGATACAAACAACATTTGTCTGCTATACAATCGTACCGCAGACAAATAATATTCTCCATGCGTACGAGACAGTAATGTAAATAATTGCTTACTTCTGTTTTTGTTTGTTCTTTATAGGAGCGGCCATCATAGCACTTGGAAACGACAACAGCCTCGCTCCAGATGCTCTCAAACAGAAGATCTTGAACGACGCAACACCGTATGTAGTTCGTGACGCCAAGTTAGGGTCACCAAACTTGCTGCTTTACATACCCTGAATTGATCTGCGCATGCGCTATGCGCTAGCTACACCTATTAGGATAGCAGTGATGAAGAAATTGTTACGTAGCGCATGATGAAACAAATCGCTGAATGTTTAGCAGAGTTAATGAGTGTTTAATGCAATTACGCCTACTTATAGTGCATTCATAGTATATGATATCATTTTTTTAGATCCTAATATTTTTTCCTTCTATTTACTCTGTTTCGAGGGACTTTATTTGTTCATATCATAAAATAACAGCTATTAGCAACAATGTTTATATACATAATTCATGCAAATTGTAACATATCATATATAGTACAAAACATAAAACTAATGTGACACAATCACTAACTAAAATATTGAAAATATTAGTGTTATTTCGTTTGCATCGAATTTCTCATATCGAGATGGGTGCGAATTTCTACCTTTAAATCTTTCATCAAATATACAGCATGTATCCTGTGCTTTTCACTTCCAAAACATTCTCTAATATAGTTTCTATAGATAATAAACTGAGCGAAGTTTAAAATCAGATTGACAAGATTTATTTCTCTTCTCTCTAATTCATGACGTATTAAAATAATTTTTCCGTTCAAAACGATTCTTAAAATAAAAATCGATTAAGTATCGATTAATTTGGATATAATCTTCCAAAAAAAGCGAAACCTTCTTACAAGCCAGGAGAAGGTGGTTTGTTGTATCTGGGATCTTACAGATATCACACATAGCTTATTATTTTTGATATTTCATTTACATAAATTGTCTTTACTAGGTAATATTCTATGAATACATTTAAAATTAAACTGCTTAATTCTGTTGTCATTTATAAAGTAAAATGTATAATGAATCACCGTCTTCATGTTAAACTCATTAGGTAAATCAAAATAAGCGTTCCAAAAATATGTGCAGATATGACACCTCAATCACGAAAAATGAGCTAGGAATACCAAAGTTCTGTATGATTGAAGTAGTGCTTGCATTTCCATAATTTCATCAAACGAGCTCGTTTTCACTGGCTGCCTGCCTCAGCAACAAACGGAATTAACAAAAGACTTACCTCCGTTTCGTTGACAATCGGCCGTAGACGAAAGACTTCATGCATGGCTGATTGTCAACGAAACGGAGGTAAGTCCTTTGTCAATTCTGCGTGTTGCTTCGGCAGGCAGCCAGTGAAAACGAATTCGAATTCGTATGCTGGAGCATACACATTCAAACATAGATACATTTGATCTTGTTACGAAAATCTAAGTGCGATAGACCTACCTTCACTTTTGAAATATATGTCGATGATAGTAAATAGGAAGATTTTCCCTGACTAAAATTGCTACACCTTTGGAATAGTTTGTACCATGATCAAACAAGCAAAGTCCTTTCCATTCTTTAGATACAATGTTTTCTATGTTTCTTGACAAAAACAAATCTCATGCAAAAATGATATGTCACACTTTTGGCGATGGAGCAAAAGGAATATTTTCTTTCGCTTCAGCACTTGACGTACCCCTCGCACATTTAACGTAATAAAGTGAACATTGTTAGCATTTTTTTTTACAGTTTCACAGTTGCTCTGTCCTTCGTTCATTTTTGCTTCAGTATAAATTTTCTGATTTTTGTAGTCACGTTGTACTGGTATTTATTTATTTTTCTTTCTTGATTTCTTCTTTCGTTTCGGATAACAGAAATACAATAAGAACAACTTTCCAATCTTCACATGCGTTTTTTCCTTAAAAGTTCTCATGTATTTTGTATTGTATTGTATTTATTAAACATCATTGATGTACATCAATATTCTGTTTATAGACATAGTTATAATCACTTTACAATGTAATGCAACAATCGATATATAAAACATAATATAAAACATTTACAACACCTTTCTAAATAAACAATAAGTCATGCAATACGAAATATGTAAATGAGAACTAAAACAAAAGCATAAGATTGTACACGACTACTTTGTTATAACATATAGTATCTAAAAATTACCCCTCATTGCAATTATGTTTTTGATGAACAAAGAAAAACTATCTATTACAACTTCATTATCTAATCTCATTATAAATATGAATTTATAACATCGATATCAATAGTAGTTCAAGTTCAAGTTCAAGTTTATTTGTCTTTCAGAAATCACATGTAACAAAATATAATAGAGTATAATCATAACAGTACAAAAGTGTCATATATACACTGTAATGTACATCACAACGTGTTCTTACGTACTGGAAGGGAATAAGAAGGAGATATAACTTTCTAATTTGGCAAATCTTGAGGTGTTTTACAGAAATAATAGGAAACGTGTGATATATACGTGTATATTATATAATCATAAGTATTCTGTTATAAAAATGTAGGCTGATGTCGACGCGGTCTGCCATAACAAAAGCCCCTAATATTGGTGTCGAAATTGTATGGTAACATTGTACCTTTCTTTGCATGCAAATGGGATCTCGATTTATTGAAGAAAGAAAATGTTTCATTATGTAATACGCGGGGTTGTATCGATGTTCCATATTTATCTACTTGGTGAAAGTCTTCATACCTACATAATGAAAGTAGTTTTGCATTCTTATACTCGTTTCTTCATCATTTCAAATGTACAATAACAAATAATAACTCTTCATATTTGAACTACATTGTATTTTTCTACACACAGTAATCTGTTCATAGAAAGAGATGCTTTTAAAGATCTAAACTAATAAATAAATAAAAATGTCCTGATCGTAGTTATATTTAGGATTGTACAAAATGAGAGGAGAGATAAAAGGAGATCGGAGAGAAAGAGAGTCAAGTAGGAAGATAGAGGGAGAGGGGAAGAGACGACAGATAATGAAAGAGCGAAAAAGAAGAAGAAGGAGATAGAGAGTGAGTGAGAGAGAGAGAGAGAGAGAGAGGGCAAAGAGGGGGTGAGATAAAGAGGAGAGAGAGAGAGAGAGAGAGAGAATATGATATGCAGAGGGATTACAATGAGAGAGAGAGAGAGATAAATAGATAGAGAGAGAGAGAGAGAGAGAAAGAGGGAGAGGGGGTAGAGAGAACAATGTCAACAGTTTGACACGGTCGCCGAGTTAAGCTCCCAGAACCCAACCTTTCGGGTTAATTTTCATCGAATCTTCCCCACTGTTCCAAAATGATATAAAGTATACAACAAAAAAACGAAAAATCAAGGGAAAATTTCCGTGTGAATGATGATTATCCGACTCCTCTTAATGGTTAGAACCCCCCCGAAAAAAAAAAGCTGTGGATCCAACGTTTTCAGATGGAAGAAATGTGACCGTACGTCCAAATAGATTTTAAAAAACTATTCCATTTGGAATTAACGGGTGTCTTCCCCGCCAGGAAAAGGAAATGTTTTTATGAGTTCCATTAATATCTGTTCAGCGAGGTCATTCCAAATGCCTGCTGTGGTGTACAGGAAACATTTCGTTTTAAAACCATTACTGTTCAGTCAGCATTACTCTTCTGTTATGTATAAATGTATCAGTATTATTCTTTGCATTGTATTTTTTGCAAGTGTTGTTGTTAAGAAATTCAAATTAAGGCCGATGGCAGTGATTATGAGCTTGTGAAAATCAGTAAAAATGGAGAAATTTTTCCTTTTTCCTAAAAAGAAAAGAAAAAAGAAAGAAAAGAAGAAAGAAAGAAGGAATGAAAAAAAAAGGAAAGAAAGAAAGGCAGGAAGGAAGAGAAAAACTGAGTTGCAGAAGTTATGTGAACTTTATGATTTAACCAAAACTGCCCTCAGTCCCCCCTCCCGCATTTTTGTTTGTTTTTGTTTGTTGGGGGGGGGGGGGTTGGATAATTCGTTTGAGCTATCTCCATCCTCTAAACACCTCCCCCTCTCTCTCTCTTTTTCTCTCTCCTTTTTTGTCTTTCCCCTTCCCTCTCTCTCTCTCTCCAATCTCACTCGTTTTATTCCCCTTTCTTTCTTTCCCCTCTCATCCTCTTTCCCTTCCTTCTCAGCTTTCGCCCTTCTGTTACCTTGCCACATGATAACATGCTGCTAAAAGGCCCTACATATGGAAACGTTTGCTTGTGTTTGTCTCATAAAAGAAGTTGATCACAAACTGACTTCCATACGGTGTTGAGTGCTCAGGGGTCACAGGCCACTGGCTTCATCGGCCAGGTAGTTCCATGATGTGAATGGGTAATTTAACTATTACAAAATGAGGGGACACATTACATTGTACAATAGGGACACACATTGTTTTTATTGTGCAGAACATACTCTTTTATTGACTTACTTATTGCATGAAACTAAAATGCATTTTGTATTCTAACAGTAATTGGAGTACAAAGAATAACAACAGGTGAATGAAATGCATAAACACCACAAACACCTGGGGAGGAAGCATTCATAAATTTGAATACATATAGTTGATAAACGACTCCCATGAAACTATAAAACCAAAATGAAATTCGCGTTCTGGCAATTGGAGTATAAAGAATGACAGTGGCGGATCCAGGGGGGGGGGCCCGGGGCCCCCCCCCCCCCTTGAGAAAAAAATCATGTCAAATCACGTGATTTTTACCTTTTTGGGGGGTTGGGCCCCCCCCCCCTGGCGCTCAAGGGGGGGGGGTGCAAATTGAAATTTTTTTGAGGATCAAAAAAAAAAAAAATGCGCTCACTACCCCCCCCCCCCCCCCCCCCCCCCCCCCCCCCCCCCCCCCCCCCTACTGAGCGAATTTTTGGCCGGCGCGTTTTTCAAATTTTCGGGAGCAAAAAAAAAAAAAAAAAATTGAGGATCAAAAAAAAAGAAAAGTGCTCACTACCCCCCCCCACTGAGCGACTTTTCGGCCGGCGCGATTTTCAAATTTTCGGGAGCAAAAAAAAAAAAAAAAGTTGGGCCCCCTCCCCTAAGAAATCCTGGATCCGCGCCTGAGAATGATAGCAGGTGGATGAAATGCTTCAACAGCAACACAAACACCTGGGAAGCTAGGAAGCATCCATAAATTTGATAATTTAGTTGATAAACGACTCCACATGTGGACGTTTGTTGGAGCAGAAAGCAGTGGATTCTTAACAACACGAACCCATTTAACAGAATGTCGGAACGTAAATTAAATTTGGCGCGGTTGGAAAATGCATCTTTCTACCCTGCGACTTGAGTGGTACGATCCAGTAAATTAAAACAGTAAAATGGCTCTTATTTTAAAATTACTCATTAAATAAAACCCCAAACTTCAGTGATATCAGAAAAAACATGTTAAATCTTACTAATAGTTAAAACAAGATGTATAAACATTGTGAAATTGTCGCATTTTACGATAAAAGACGCCGATTTAGCGAAGATGACGTCATTAGTGCGCTTGCATCAGGGAATTTAAGGTCAAAAGGTCAAGTCAGACACTGATAAGTTATTGGTCGAGCCTTTTTGTTTCCTTTATTCCGACAAAATTATACAATCAATCAAAACAAGTTTAATACCAGAAGAAAGCTAACGATTAGTATTTTTATTAATCGCTTGCCCCAAAGTCGCTTGACCACAGTGAAACGAGTGAGAGCTTGCGAGAGCGACCAAAGTGTGATTGAAACTCGCTATTTGCTCTTCTCCAACGCAAAAACAGACGACATTGTGCTAGATAAATGTATTTTTTTCGAAAAAAGTACAGAAAATTTGCATATGGTCTTTTTATATTATACTTTATGAAATGTTACCCGAGTGACTTCCGAGCGCCCGAATGCTGGAAAGAAACGCACATTTTAGAAAACTTCACTTTTTCATGGAAAAATGCTTATTTGTTCTATGCACGCAAGTCACTTTGAGCGGATGATACAACGTTTCCATATGTACACTTTCACGGATCGCATCACGGATCATCCCGGATCTTAATCCGGGGTGTTCCGGGGTGCGACACCACGATTTCTTCTCGATGCCGGTGTGGATACGTTCCGAACTGGGTGTATACACGGGCAAGTACGGTGTCTCCACGGACAGACAAGGTAGCAACGCGGACCACGCCGGAAACGCATACGGAGCTAACACGGATTTCAAGGAAGAGCACGGAGGCTACTGGGTACTTTTACGGTCCTTACACGGAGGTGTACGTTGTCTATTGGGATATCTCCGGAATGTTGACGGGTGACTTGAGCTTGTAGGCGCTCATTTGATATACGGAATTTCAAACCCGGATGAAACCGGTGTTAATACGGACCTTCCGGTGTCTACACGGACTGTCCCGGATGTATTCGGCGGCTACACGGATGTACACGGTGCCTACATGGAAGAGGACGGATTGTTTCATCCGTGAACTCCGGGATGAAAAATTAAGCAAGCTTTATTTTTTCCCCGGATATGCCGGTACGCAAAGGATCACGCCGGATGCCTCCCCGGTGTATACACGTTAATGCCGGAGATAACACGGATGATCCCGGAGCGACGATCCGGGATGATCCGTGATGCGATCCGTGAAAGTGTAAAAGGGCCTGATCTTGCTTAACGCCTTCATACACTTAATTACCTCATTCGGATTTACTTCATGATGTACATGATGTACAAAATATATTAAGAGAAATGTCCTAAATTTTAACAGTCTTGACATACCAAAATTTATAAGAAACAATTGAAGACAATTTATATTTATATAGTCTTAATGAAGATCGATTTCAAGAATCGGCTTAAACTCAATGATATATCATCATAATTGCGCTTATTTAGCATAATCGTGTTTCATAATAGTCGGACAGTAACTGCGTGGAACGCACTTTCAAAGATCACCCTTGACGCTACTTCACTGGAGGGCTCCAAGGGAGCGCTTCCACCCAGCATCTAGACCAAGAACTAGATAGTTTATTCCTCAGCACTATACATCCTGACTTATGGATCCTGCTGAGTATCGTCGTAGAAGTAGAAGTATTGACATTATACTGTACTTTGATATTGAATAAAATTCACGAGTCGTCATCATCATGGTAACATTGTTATAAGTTCGTAAAGCTTCGTGGGCTTTTAACAGTCAATAATATCTTCTTCACAAAAATGACTAATAGTATCCGCCCAGCGCTATGATAGCAACATTTGTTAAATCATTTATATTCCGATGTTCTATTTTATTTTAGTTGCTACAGCGTTCCTAGGATGATGGAATTTTCTTCTTGACAAAGTAATTTTACAAGCATGTACTAAATCTTCAAGTCGTGATAAATAGTTGAACATTATTTTCTTGCAGCTGTCTTGTACTCTCACAACTAAGGGAATAAAAGGATCACAACAAAAAACCGTAAACAAAAGTTGTATCCATCTGTGCTTGCGTACATATATAAATAGAAATAGGCAGTGATTATGGTCTAATATTGATCTATACGTATCTCAAATATAACAAATATGGCATTCTCTGTATGACTTATCTAAATATATAAATTCAAAGCCCAGTAACATAGGATTTGCAAGTACGTTAAAGATAAGCTTGAGTTCTGATACTGATAGAAAATAAATTCTCACAGAATCCAACAAAACTCACACTGAATGTTCAAAATTACAAATAAATGACATGTGCCACACGATCTTTGTAGAAAATGTATAGGTGCTGAGTAATGAGCATAGAATGATTAAGAAATCCGGGTAAGTAGGCCCGATACCATGTGTTTAACCATGGACTTAATACGGATGGACATTCAACGTGATTCTTTCTTTGATCCAATCATAGTCGCCGCCTTCTGATTATGTGCAACTTAATGAGAACATTCAGCTGTTTTAACAATAACGACTGCGTAAGCATTTTCGGTCATTGACAAAGGAGCAGTTTCCCTCTCTTGGGTTTTGTTTGGATGGTGTGCTCTGTAAGAATGTGTCTTAAATAAAAGCATCCTCAATGGGGAGCAGTAAAGTTGAAAAGCAGACGATTTTGGTGATATGAAATGTATTATTACTGATTCGCAAACTTTCGCACACACCTATGACCTTATAAAACAATTAGAAGGCCATGATCTGTATCAGCCCTGTGCGTTGTAACTCTGGAATATTATGAGGAAATAGGGGGAAACGGGATTTTTAAATCCAACCAAAAAAATAACCTCTATCTGGTAATATCAACATGTTTTTCCCCCCCAAAAAAATACTTGTACAGTACACGGAACAACAATTTCCGATTATAAGCCAGAACTGCACATCTATTTTCCATGATTTAGGCGAGTAATTATCTTCTGCGCATGTAGATTAACATGTGTAAAATCACTATTTTGATTCTGTCCCGGCTTTTCGCCGGCGATCATGATGAGACCAAAGGGAAGAAACATGTACGGAATGTTAGTGAGACGACATTGACGGAGACAATCACGATGAATTCGTTAAGAAAACGATGAATGTCCATCCGTAATAGGTCCATGGTTTAACACACGTCACTATTATGTGCAAATGAGAGTTTTTACTGAAGATGATTTCCTGCAAGTTTTTGTGAGGTTGTTTTTATTTTACTGGTTCAATCAATCAGTCTTCTGCAGGATAAACAATCCAGAATACATTTCTCCATATATCCATCTTCTCTCGACATACGATGCCCATACCAGAGCTCAATACTAGCTTTAAAATTATAAAACGGCGTATTTTTCATTCTCGATTACAGGCTATTGACAGATAAATTGCAGTCAATTTAGTCCAACTAAATAATTGTGTTGTTGTTTCACTTGTTCGTAGAATCCCTGTCACATTTCTTCTTAGTTGATAAAAATTGTCCATATCCTAAAGATGAAAAATTGTCGGCAATTTCGTAAGGTCACTAATTAATTGTTCGAATGTCTTTTTTTTTTTGGGGGGGGGTAAAATAATTTATGATACACCTTATACCTCATACACTAAAATTTATTGCTAACTCCAACTGAGGAAGGTTTAAGAATCATAAGAATAGTGACAACTGATTCATTTTGTTCCACAGATTTTTCGAAAATGAGACAAGAAGATTAACGTGTACAAAGATGACAGGTCAATAACAATATCGTTGCTATTTAAACCTCTAATTATGTAACATTAAATGAAATTTTCCTGGATTTGTGATTCATTACATGTGTTCTTTAGAGATATAATCATGCACAAACGACGAAGATTTATTCGCATCTAGCCTGGTTGTTTTTAAAATACTTTGGATCAAATGAAAGACTGAATCAGTTTTCAAATAAGTCGTCCTGTGACTAGTTGATCGTCGGCTTTCTACAAAAAAAGGACACATCTCTGTTCTCTGCCATTCTAGTGCACTATTATTAAACTGCAGTGTCATTCCACACCATGTCTTTAATGTTCTCCTCCAAGTTGGTTCTTGGTTTCCCTCTTGGTCTAGTACTTTCTTCTTTATATAAATCCCCATTAAATCTATAAAGAGATTCAGATCTCTTTTGATTTTGCCTTCCTTTCTTTAACTAATGGTAAACCATGCCATATGAAATAGTTCTTTGTTAGTTCTCAGATCTTTCCATGCTAATCATATCACATTTCAAATGGTGTGATTTCGTCCATCTTTATGCATGTTATTATAACTTGTTTGCCACAAGCTCTTAACCATTATGGTCATAACTGAGACACAAGTTCAATGAGGTCCAGTAACCTAATACGCGACAAAGGTTCTCGATAGACACATCTCTCTCCGATATCTCTCAGATCTTCATTTCCCATATCATTTCCCATGATGTAAATAAGCTGTCCAATCTGATACACATCGCTCGCTCGAGTCGTGGCAGCGTTATCAAAAATCAGTTCTGGCGCGTAATGAATCGACAATGGATCATCGTCGTAATAATCTCTCTCCGTCTGTCCGAAATCGTAGATTGCGGAGAGGAATGTCGTCGACGCGTTACCTAGATCGATGAGGTACCCACTGAATAAGTCGTGATCGGATTGTTTGACGATCACGTTATCACCTTTGATGTCGTTATGAAGGATATCCATCGAATGTAATGCCTTCAACGCAGACAGGACGTCGAGCAAGACTGTCTTTGCGTGGTGGATGCTGACGTGTTCCTCATGCGTCCACGTGTTCAAAGTCTTGACTTTATACGTGCTATCGTCACCTAGAAACTCCATTGCAATGGCGGTATCGTTTCCCAGACTCCCGACCCCATACGTACGTGGGAACACGCCGGTTCCCGCGAAGAGTCTGATAAGGCGCGCTTCAAGAATGATCTCCTGTCGACGGACTTCGTAGTCGTCTGCGTTCGAGTGTAGTATTTTCATCGCCACGGTCTTTCCTTGTCGTCCGCGTTTCTGGCGGTATGCAAACACCCTCCCGAAGGCACCGCCACCGAGAGTGATGATGGACTTGTTCTCGTCGACGATAGGTTCGTACTTCTCGGTAATGTTCACATTTGCAATGGGAGTCGTCTTTCTGAGTAAAGCGAAGTGGATTTCATTGAGGTCCTTGAATTCACTGTCCGCGGTGTCTTTCAAAAGTCTGTGACAATCCAAAATATAAATAAAAATGGGGATATTTTTAAAACACATTTTAAATGTAGTAGCTTTATCTGAGAAATGGGGGTCGTAACTATCAACTGATTTATAAAGTCCCTATATGTGATTGCCAATGTCATCTATGCTCTGATCCTTTCCTCAGTGAAGTGCCATCTATCAATGAACAACTGTGCATTCATTATGTGGTCAAGTATGTGTTTAACTTCCTAATTGTTACTTATTGTGACCTGATCAAGAAGTTGCATCGATAAATAAAATGCGATAGATTTATATTAAAAATACCTGCTGAGTTCTTTTTCCAGTTTCTCCTTTGCTTTGGTAGCCTCATGTACAGACACATCAAGAAACCTATCAGAGTTTAAAAGAAGGGAAGTGTTAGCATGTTATAGTAAGTAATTTCGGAGCATGAAATAATTATGCTTAATAAAAATCGGGAGACAGAAGCTTGCGATTGTATTTGAATTTGTTCTTTGTTTTGTATAATTTAGTACCAGTTCCATGGTAAACTTAGTTCTTATTTTTTAGTGAAATGATTTTTAGGACACTCAACTATCTAATTAACTGACTAAGTAACTAACTTGACCTTATTATTGTCATTTAATTTTTTTTTACCATCAATAATTCTTATCCGACGATGAGAAAAACTTTCAATGATGTAATACGTGTTTGCTCCCCTCCCTTATATTAACGACACATCATCTATATGCGGCTACATTTAGAGGGGAAGGGGCAGGCTACGGGTACTGTGATTTCTTAATGGAAATTATACATTTTCTTCTTTAATAGGTAACCAGGTCAGAACTCCGAAAGAATAACTACTTTATACTGGGCCAAGTTTGAACGCCGTCAATTTTACAAACATACTTACTCGGCATCTTCCTCCTTCTCCTCGAGTTTCAGCAGAACGTCGTCGAGATCGTTCTTGTACTTCGAATTTTCATCCTGTAATTAGAAATGAAGAAAAAATAACGATGGTCGATGGATATATTAAGTGGACATCAGAGTGTCATATCAAACTTGCTTTATATAAATGGCCTACTGAAGATACGAATCATTAAGTTTTAGATTCATTATAGGGGGCTCTATACCGACTTGGATTGAACCAAGACTGTAATTTGCCCCATATCCCATCGTTTCTATTAAATGTAAGAAAAATGTACGAAATGTGTCTGTTTCCAATGATTAATCAACTTTGGTGATACAACTTACATCCTCTATGCTTGTTAATTTTCCCATGTTTTGAAGTATCACACCATTTTGTCTTCATACTTAAAAAACTTATATACAAAAGAAATCAAACATATATTTATTTCTAATGAAACCGAAATGTATTGAAATGGTTAGAATCTGTCCTACATTTGTTGTTTCCTTGGACAAAAGAAAACAAAGTAACACAAAATGTAGGTAAGAACTGACCTCCAGTGTTACAAGCATCTCTTTCATCCGAACAAGCATATCTGACATCTTTTTGATTTTCTTCTCGGCTTCTCGCTGTTGATCAAAATAAAAATAAAACATTATCGTAATGATGGGCACCCAACGTTATTTATGACTTGAAAATGAACTAGCCTTTAAAAAAACATTTCTTACTTAATCTCATATTATACCTTTTATTCCAAAGAGGAGATGTGCCACGAATCTTGTCTCATCGTTCTTTAGTGATTTTTTTAAAAATGAGAGGTGTACATTTGGAGGCTTGATTGTGAACGGAATTGTCGCACTGGCCCTTCATTATAGTTCTTTATTCAATTAAGCATGAATCGCTATGAGCATTGAAAAGTAGGTGTTTTATTGCGTTTTTGGTTTAGGCAGAATGCCCGTTCATACCCGTTCACAAGGCAGCTACTCAGACATTGGCGCTCTTGACACTATAGGATCAATATTCATAATGTTCTTTTTGCAGCTGATAAAACGGGTTGTATCGATATTATCATGATTATTGTGGAATAAATACCACTTCCTATTGCTCACCTACCTTTTCACGTTCAAACTTGTTCGCCCTGTTAAACTCGCGTTCCCACTTCCGTCTCAAAACACCCGATCTCTTTCTCTCCTCTCGGAGCCTGTTCTCCAGCTTCACAGTATTCTTTCGAACATCGAAGAAGTTTTCTACTATTTTCTTCCCGCGGCGTTCTGTAGTCTTGCGGAGAGCGTCGTCCCTGGCCAGCCCGAGAGCGATCTTGGTCTCGGCCAAAATCTTCCGTCGAAGCTCTTTCTGACTTGGTTGACCCTAAATGGAATGAATAAGATTTAGAAAAATGGCCTCTATATGATCAAAATTACCAGCGAAAGCAGATGTTGGGAGTAAACACATTATTTTAGAAGTAATTTCATGATAAAAGAACGCACAATCATAGAGCGAGAAAGGGAATGAATAAAATGATCGAAAATAGAAATCCGCGACTGCCCCTTAGAACCGCCGCAGATTGATTTTGTCCTTTTTTTGGGGGGGGGGGGGGTGGAGGTGGTCATAAATTATGGACCTCCATAATGACAATACATTTGTACTAACATCCGTTAGGTCACTACTAAATACATAACGTGCTTGAATGTTCTTAATTGCTTTAATTTGTCATTTCAATGCGAATGATCAATATCAGCGCCATTATACCCTATTGTAGAGATAATTATGGTAGATAGATAGCAAGAGAGAGAGAGAGAGTGAGAGAAGAGGGGTAAGTGAGTGAGGGAGGGAGGGAGGGAGGGGGAGGAGGAGGAGGAGGAGGAGGGGGAGGAGGAGGTGGAGGAGGAGGTATTACCAACCTGGCATAAAAGGATTCTTACATCTTTGTTATCTTGTCCATTTGACTGACTGATAGTGAAGACTTGTCGGCAATATTCCTAATTACACGAGGAAAAAAGAAAGAAAAAGAAATGACCAGATTTAAATTTAAAGATAAAAAACATCACAAAAATAAACTGTATTCAATGTCTAGTATGTGATTATAATTCTTAAAATATAATATATTTTATAATAAAAATAATTCACACGTTATATTATTTCTCAGGATGAAAGTGGGGCATCAGTCGGAGATTTTAATCTGATTCTATTGATGACACACCATTTATTTCAAATCATCACTAAAATGTGTACGCATTTTCCATTTCACCTTTCAGACACTGCACTAGTTACGCAAGTGCCCCGGAAATTCATGAAATTCCTGTTTTCTGCTACCCACACCTAAATGATTTAAACATATCGAAGAGAAGCTACATACAACGAATGGTATACTCTTTGGATCTTGAATTAATATGTATGAAAGGAGTTTTTTTTTTACATCATTGTAAGCACGTATCAAAAGAACTCATTTCAAAACATCACATACATGTACCTTTGACGACCAGAGTTATCGTGGTTATGGGTCTGAAGTACACAGAGTTACAATATAACAAAGGATAACGGCCAAGGAAAGTATGGGGATCAAGGAAACTCCCTAGATTTTGTTTTCGCTACAATTATGATGGTGTGCCTCTTTTTCCCCGGGGATGGGGTGTTCCGTGTTTATTTAAATTGTTTAAACGTTTGTATACCCGACCCACTTCCTCCTTCACCGAGAAATGACGGTAGGTCTGGAAAAGACAAAAAACAATCTCCCCCTTTGAGGAAATACTGGCTACGCCTTTGACCGAGCAGTATTCAACATAATAGAATTCCATGGTAGCCAAGGTGTGGGTCAACTTGTATGTGAGGTCTATGTATAGAGGAATCGTTTCCGGTTGATTACTTCCGCCTGTCACATTCATTTTGCGCATGATAAATAACTATGGACGTTGGTATATACCGGAATTTCGTTCAACATATCTGTATGACTCAAATTAATAAAACATGAATTAAAAAAAAAAACACACGTTACAGAACCTTTAATTGGTATCACAAAAGAGTGTCACATTCAGGGGAATTAAAGAGTCGCTGTCGCCTTCTTTGAAGAAAACTGAGAGGGTGTTAAACAAGCTCCTAAAACATTTTTTATTTCTCCGACTATTCTAAATTTATAGATTGATATAATTTGTTATGTTGCGACTTGAAGCCCTATCCAATACCTGTTATCGTGCACGTTCCATGAATTATACAAACATATCAATTGTCACATGAAAGTATCTTAGCCAATAACCTCAGTTCACTTCCGTATACACCACTAGCACGTACATGTAGGAACAAGCTTTACATCTTTCTAAATAATACGTATACAACACAGAAATATCGATGTCGTTTACTTGAATCTAAGAGCTTTATTATTGATGATAACGAGATGAAAATGGTTTTAAAATCCTACACAAGTCGGACCGAAATCCTACCGATATTAGACCAATCAAAAACAAAATTACACCGAATGATCAAGATTAATTGATTATCGGTCGGTTGGAGTCAGTTTGACTGACTCCAACACGGAGACACCAGCGGTTCTTCTGCAAATCAGTGCTTAAATAAACCACAGTTACTACGTACATAAGAAAGATAAGGTACATAGAAAATAATTATTTCATCTTGTCAACTCTCTCTCTCTCTAAGTGCCATATCGGTTGACTTTGGCGATCATGCTGTTCCACAACCCTCGGTTTCTAGCCTTCTGTATTAGTACCACTCCCAGTTCTTTCACTCCTCTCTCTTCCAACAATTTCTGCAGACTATCCATCCAAAGTTTCCTCCTTCTTCTCCTGCTCCTTCTTCCCACAATTTTCCCTGTCAAAGCAAGATTCTCTAGGCCTTCTTCACGTGTACTGGACCCATGAACTTCAACTGCCTAATCAACATCTCACGTATCATTTTCCTTTGCACTCCAGCTCGTGTAAGAACTTCCTCATTACTAACTTTGTCAGTCTATGGGATTTTCATCATTCTTCTTAAGAACCACATTTCGCAACTTTCCAAACGCTTTTTAGTATCAGAGGCTAAAGTCCACGTTTCACTACCATACATAAGTACTGGGTAAATGTAACATCTTGTCAACATCTCCGGAAATTATTATAAATGAGCAGAGTAACAAACCGCAATTGTGATATTGAAATTTGCTCTGAAATGATATTCTCGGCCTATAGCTATAATATTCCGTGAAAGATTTTGATCTGTTTTTGTTGTTTTTGTTCTAACCATACGCGGAAGGTTAATGCCTAATGCGGAAATTCCTTCCCACAGACCACCTTAACACATATAAAATCCCTGTTTCCAGAGATAATATTTTGTCCGTGGATTGCGGCGACCCATGTTCGAGAAAAGACAAGGCTAATCCTTCCTTCTACACGCTTTAACCTCGGATCATTGTGGTCAAATATTGACACCTCCAGAAAACTAAAATGACCAATTTCAAAACCATGCATGCATGACTCACTTTTATGCGATTGTAGTACGCCGACATTCGGTTGACGTCTGATTCTGGTTTAGGCCATGCTTGTGGTGATGGGACAGTCGTTTTCTTGAAAAGACTGTGATTCTCCATAAGGCCAGATGGTAGTAGGTCGTCTAATAAGTCTCGAACAAGACTAGCGAGCAATAGACATTAAACATGGAACATTGATAACAATGATATGTGAAAGAAAAAAAAAAGCAATATAAAAATACTTCTAATAAAATCATTATATGCTACTTAACATCTAAGTAAAATGTAAAATGCACATGTAGCCTTTTAATGAAGAAATAGAACCCTACTTTCCAAATCCAAACACCAAAAACACATGTATGAAGGGTAACTTGGTAATGTTTAAAAAAAAAATGTTTTTCATATTGCTGAATTTGGCATTATAATGCTTTTTCGGAGTATTACCCTAAGATTTGAATTAAAACGTTCATTATTTTGTACTAAGACAAATAATATTACAAAACCGTATGGGACATGTATGGGAAATATCAATACCTTTGCCTGTATTAGAGCTGATTAAAAGAAAAGTTCACTGATATGATAAATGTGCAATACAAAATAAAGCATGTGAAAAGTAACTTATTCCTCGATGCTTGAAATATTTTAGACTGACACAAAATACAAGAAAGTGATATTTGCAATTTTCTTCAATAGCTATAGGACAATCACTTTACAGCAATGTAGTATATATATATATATATATATATATATATATATATATATATGTATATATATAATGAATGCGTGTTTGATCTCACAAAAGACTTGCCATTTATATAAAGAAAGATCAAGCGAATATACATTAGAAACAAAAACAAAGTAAGATCAATTTATTAATAATACTAGTAAGGCAGTTGAATAATCATAAAACACTATACTCTTACTTTTTATGAAAGTGTTTCATGTTTTATCCAGTGGTTATCTTGCAAAATGTGTTTTATTTGAAGTCAAATCGGTTATTCTTGTTATAACTTGTTATTCACCTGTTATATCACCCGTATTCAATTCGTTTCCGTCCAAACTAGCCCATGGAAAGTCAATCTCTTACTTTCGGAAGTTGGCGTTTGGTAGAACTTTTCCTGGTTGGCACAACAATATTGGCATCGCTATCAGGCGTTGTTATGCATGCAAGGCACGCGCATAGAAATGGGTCGACTACATCAGATAGGTATACACCACATAATAACGACCTGTTGATATACCACGCACTGTGTCAATATTTTAAAGACTTTAAACACACCTTTGTTTGTTGTCTGCAGTTTGTGATGCAGGTTAAGAAATAACTTACCTCATAGTGATGGCAATCAGGTTTAAATATCCATTAAGTCAGAAGTCCAAGGGCGGTCTATTAGTTACATTATCTCGCAGTGTGATTCGATGTTATATCCGTCAACAGAACAACCTGATTCATCTGATCATTTTCGTGGAGTTGCTACAAGGGCGCTGTCTATCCTTGGTATATAAGTGTACCTTTTGATCTGTCGAAACTTGACAACTCGCATGCGCGTGCGCAGTCTGGTACAGAACGTAAACACTGTTAAATGACGCATGTGCGTGCTAGTCAACATCAAACGAGAGAAGCGTTTGTTGCTACACGTAATTGTTTGTTAATTAATTATATTGCGAAAAGTGTCCGAGTGAAAATGCAGAGTTAATAAATGACAATCACATTTACTCTGATATATCTTGGTGGAGTTGCTACAAGTGCGCTGTCCTATAGGTCCACAACTCCAACTGAACCTTTTCTTCTGTCGGAACTTGACAACTGGTTTAAATTAAATGCGTGCGCGAAGTCTGGTAGAACCATGACGCATGTGCAAGTTAAGTGCAAGTATCCCATAGAAAATGCAATGAGTAGATAATTGCAATTCGCATGAAAACAATATAACCTGCCCCACAACGTCAGTCAATTCACAAGGTGATGTTAATTCACATTTCATAGATCGAGTAATACAGGTGCCCCCCCCCCCCATGACACCAATACCCTCACAATACATGGACTAATGCTATGCTACTGGGTCAATGTACTCTGTTGTTAAGTTTTTAGGGTGGATTTAGCGAACATTCTGAACATACTGTATATCATTTTATACTATTTAATGATAATAATAATGGTAATAATAATAATAATAATAATAATATACTTATAGAGCGCAGAAACTATCCAACATTAAGTGTATATTCTACTGCGCTACAAGAGCTGCTGATATACTTAGATTTACAGTTAATTGAAAAGATGTGCTCACATTTTATCCTCACATTTCGTTTTATATCTACATGTAGTTTCACTTGTTTTGTCTACTTTTATACACGTATGCAAAGATAATCAGTATGACTTTCTAAGGGTATTTTTTTGTCCTTGAAAAGTACCCTGATATTTCATATCACATACTTATCTGCTTAGGTCAAGTTTAATTAGATGTTGATAATAACCAGAGCTATTGGACGGTGTAGCCTACACCGTTCACTGTTAGATCACCACTGGATTAAAACAAAACGAGGAAATGCGCCGTGAACCGAAAGGTGAAGGTAGTTTCCTACCAATGTTTTTTTTTAATCATATATCAGCAAGTCTTTTCCAATCAGGAAATATGTTTTAGGGGAAAAAGTGAAAGACAAATACAGAAACAAAAGAAATGAAAACAAGAGAGAGAGAGAGAGAGGGAGAGAGAGAGAGGGAAAAAAAACAAAGCAAAGCAAAGCAAAACAAAACGAAATATCATCCTTCCTCTGTACCCTTTCCACCTGTCAAACAGCCAATGTACACAAAATACAGGTGGTGCATGGTGATAATGATGTTGGCGATGATGATGATGATGATGATGATGATGATGATGATGAAGACCGGAAGAACCACCTTATAAAAGGACCTAATGTTCATATTTCATGTGGCTATATTTTAGTTTCATGGTCTGATCACTAATGATTCCCTTGTATGATTTCATTTTTTATCCCACAGTAGACTACCCTAAACCAATCTTTCATTTCAGTGAAAAGCGGTATAACCAACATTAAATTGAATACTTGGTATCTTTCGAGTTGTCACTTCGCAAAGATTTTCGAGGATTCATCCTTAGGCAATTCCAATAGTCGTTTCCGTCACCCATTGAAATGTGCAAACACTGCAATGACTGACGTGTATTAATTTATCCGAACACGATTTCTATGGGATACTATACATTAGGGTCCAACATGTATTTCTTACATTTGTTTTAAATGCCTATGATTGATTTGTAATGTTTTGTTGGAAACATCAAAAAATTGAAGAAGCAAAAAAAGGGTCAATATGGTATTGAAATTGCCCTCGAGTTGATTTCTCGAAAGTCGTTATCAAGTAGTATTCCTATTAAATAACCACATTCCGTTTTGTATTATCATGTCATGTTTATCTTTAACGAAAAAGAGGACGAAGTCATTAAAAAAAACCATGAGGCAGATAAGTTGAAAACCCAAACTGCTTTCCTTAGCAAAAAAAGGGTAGGTTTGATATTGATCTTGCACTTGATATTAAAGTTATGTAGCGCCCTCACTCCAATCAATTCTCCGTGTTTAGCTTTTTTTTATCTTGCATGGGGAAGAAATGTACCAAATGGACTATCATGTAATTAGATGTTTGAATAAAGCACATATGTACGTCCTTCCTGAATCAACCATGCTTATCACTGAGAAATGAAGGTAAAAATTACAGAAGTTACCCATAAGGGACTAACTTTTATGCCATTTTGTCAACTATTGTTTGATTTTTTTTTTCATCTACCTAAGAATCGGTGAGAATGAATTTTGCCCGTACGAGGTCTTTTTATTCCCTTTTTATTTTTGGGAAAAGTTTCACCATCTTCTGACACGAATGAATGAAATCATAACATCTTCAAGGTTGAGGTTATCAGGAGGTGAAAATAAACCTCATCATTCTCCCCCTCATCTCCATAATTCTTCACACACGTTCTTGCATAAACGATTCGCGTTATGGAATTTAAATAATCCTTTATCATCTAACCAGCAGTGAGCTGTGATAAAAGAAAATGTATGGACTTTGATCAGCTTTCAGGCTTAAAGACTCAGATGTCTGTTCTGTTCTCATAACATAAGACGACCCTCTTCTGAAAGGTAAGAATATCTTCACCCACTCCACATTATATTTACTTCGTCTCTACGTGTGCTTCTAGATATATAAATATACGTGTTTTAATAACTTTAAGCATGTTTGACTTTATTTCAAATTGATGATTTTTTTACTTTGTTTTATGTAGTTTAATGACCATGTATTTCGATAAGTTCTCATACATGACAAACCTATAGGCTACCATATGTGTAGTTATTAAATTTGCAATATTATTATATTACACAAGAAACTAGCAAAATCTATCTTGGGAAGATAATGACATATTTTCCTATTTTACAAGCTCATCACTATTTCTGAACATTAAAAACGAACGACGATGATAATGGAAATAGAATCGAATTAGGAAGTATTCTGCGATAATTTTAAATAAAGAAGACATGTTTTTTTTACCAGCTTTGCGATCATTGACAGATGAATGTTTATAACAAAACTTCTTAACCTATAGTAAATCGCAGGCATTATGACATTTAATCTGTTCATATTTCACAATCTGCAGTCATTGACCCATGTATTCCAAGATGTACTCAGTCTTCATTCTCACCATCTTCCTGTCGACGGTTATGCCATGTCTGTCGGCCTGGGCACCTCTCTATCGTACCGCCGACAAAACACCAAACAGCTACATTGTTGTGCTAAAGGTGACTTTTTAAACAATTTACTTATATAAATTTAAAAATTTAAAGTACAGAATGTTCTAAGGTTAATAGGGAACGAAAATGTATATCAACTAGTATAAAATACCCCAACAATAAACAACACTAATTCGTCAATGTTGTTATGTATATAGTTAATTTAGTATTCATTAATTTATCAAAAAAATTTAACTGCCATTTTTAATTACTGTATGAATATAATTATGCACTACCTGGCTTCCTGGAATCTTAATCCATCATTCCTAATTAACGAAGCGAATTAGACGATACATTATCAAGATCAAAGATTATTTTGGGGAGAATTGTGAATTTAATGGTACAATACACCTTGTATTTAGACTGATAATTCATTTTGTAAACGTGAATCAAAGTTAAATTAAAGAAACACCAATGTGACTTTACATTATCCATTATTTTCTATACCTACCTAATATCTCTACAGAATGGCATAAACGTAGATGACGTGTCCTCCTCTTTTGCTACCATGGCAACCGCATCCGGCTCCTCCTTAGATGTGACACACAAGTATAGATCCATTTTAAATGGATTCTCAGTGACCCTGCGCAACGAGGAAATCTTATCCTTGGTAAATACATGGAAATGTTGATTGTTGAAAGTTGTAATCACCATGGAAATTTCAAATTGGAAAATCTGAAGTCATTGTGATATAGTGTCGGACATCTGTACACACACGAATCACTAAGATGTCACTTTTCTTCCAATATGATCACTACTGACCGTGATTCTTTTGTTAAAGGAAAACAGTCTTCGAGGAGCTTGATAAAAATGTTTGCTCTGTGATTATACGATTCATCGTTTGTATAAGTAAAATAGAAAAATAGTCGCACGATTCATAAATCTTCTTTTAAGTGCATCATGGGGCATACTTGAAAGTTTCAGAAAAATAAAGATCTTTGTATATCTTGTTTAACCGAAGTAAAAGTCTGCCCTTGTTGTATTCCTTGGTTTTCTCAATAATTGGTTATTTGCACTTGGGTAAAGTGGTTTAGAATCCATACATATATGGGGGACAAATATTTTCTGTTGTTATACAACCTGTAACTTTACAAGAAGTTCTGATTGATATCAGAAATAGTTAATGTACCTATACATTCCCCTAAAATATTATATTTTATACGAGAGATAATGGATAGAAATTTTTCACAAAACTGTTCTAATGATCATGTAATCAATATGAGTTTAATTGTGTTGATGATTTATATACCTTATTCTAGATCCGTTCTCATGAAGATGTTCAGTACGTAGAGGAGGATGGGATAGCATATATTGACGAGACGACTTGGGGCTTGGATCGAATCGATCAGAGAGATTTACCTTTGGACGATTCATACACGCCTTTCGGTGAGAAAATTAATAAAGCAACTTTGTTCCCTCTACAGCACTGAAACAAAATAACCAGTAAGAGAATCTTTACCAGTAACATTAAATAAAACACTGACTAGTAGTAGTACCATCGTTATTTTCATTGTAAGATAATTGTAAATGAAGAAAATTGTTGTCGTTAAATGTCTATTTTCTTATAATGTTTACGTTGCATCGCGCGTATGCTGTAGAATAGAGGTAAGTTTTTACCAGAAAATACATCAATATGAAACAATAATCAAATAACTAACAGATGTAACAGATATTTTGTTCCATTTTTAGTTCATCATTTGTACTACTGTTATCATCGCAATTGTCCCATGTTTCACCCATATCCTATTTCTGAAGTCATTTTTCAATACAACTCATATTGCTATCTACTAATACAGCTCTGGGAGAAGGTGCACATGTGTACATTTTAGACACTGGACTTCGAACTACCCATGTGGAATTCGAGGACCGTGGAACATTTGCTTATGACGCAACAAAGAGAGACGACGAAGTAGGCTGATTTAAAAAAAAGAATAGTCGAATATTTTTATACTAAATTGTATTGTAGTATGAACTAAAAACAGTCATGTATTATTAAATGTGTTGAATTTGTTCAGATGTCTATTAGTGATGAATAGCAGATTCGTTGTTCCAAAAATTATATCTGTTACGGTGATGCCACACGTATCTCCTACTAAGGAATAATATATAAGTTTGTTTCTCAATAATTTAGTACAAAGGGGATATGGGGATAAGATGTTATGAACCATAACATGCAAATTACTTTTTTAGAAATAGAATAAAGTCATAATTATAAGCAGTTCACATCTTTCATACTCTTTTCACACTGGTTTTGCTTAACCCCGTACTTTGCTTAGCCCCATACTATCCTTAACCCCGGACTATTTTTTTGGCTTTTCACACCCGCTGTTTTTAGTCCCGTACTATACTAGCGCCTATTCCGGAATAAGAAAACCCCCGCTATTCTCACTGCATTTCTTTAACCCCGGATATCGTTAATGTTATGATTGGACATACTTCGCATCTGGCCAGCTGTGATACGCTCCATTGCGTAGTACCGGACTATTTTTCGTTTCTGTTCTCATTCATTTGCTTAGCACCGCAATTGCGGGGTTAGCAGGAGTTAGCACCACAATTGCGGAGTTAGCCCTGCTATTTTGCAGGGTTAGTTAACCCCGTACTATAGGTGGGGTTAGCCAACTTTAGCCCACTTTGGTAAAAACCAGTCTGAACAGAAAGTGGAATAGGCTTAACCCCGTACTATAGGTGGGGCTAAGACCCCCCCCCTTAACCCCACCTATAGTACGGGGTTAAGCAAAATATTGCCAGTGTGAAAACAGTATCAGAGAGTAATGAAGATTCATAATAACATGATCAGAGTAATACAGTATTTGATTCATATTGAATCCCTGGCCCAAATGCAAAAAAAAAAACGTTTAATAGTGGAACATATTCATTTCCACACAAATAAACGGATTCATAATGGAACACCCATTTTTAAATCCAATTTGACATGAACTACATTTTAGCTGTTTTATGATTTGTAGAACTTCGTCATAGTTATACAATTTATTCAAGTTATCAATAGGCAAACATTCATATCAGTCAGTTGTAAAGAGGATAACGATTATCTCGAGATTATCAAAAGCCATAACATCTGTTTTCTTCTCACGACTTGTAAGCGAGATATCGGTAGATTATGTTATGCCAGGTCGGGAAGACTGTTAAGTCCTTATTAAAATCGTCTGCTGAGAGCCAGAAGGGAGTAAACCCTGTGTTAGATCCATGTATGATTTTTGACCTACCACCCTTATGGCTATAATAAGATGAATAATTGATAGTTTTAACATATGTTAATGGGCTATTTCAGGTAAAATGTTTTGGCATAGAACCTTCTTTATCTTTCAAACATCAGTATTCTTATGTTATGGCATTAGATTAATGTCATGAATAAATGTTCTACTTCATTAAAAAGTACAGATAGAGTTGAATAAGGACTCTCCGGTCCAACTGAAGTTTCCAATAAAATAATTCGGTTTGTATTCTGTTAACATCAAAACCCAACATGGGTTTTAAGCTAAGTTTACCAAAGGAAGTTTAAGGCCTTTGTGATGATCTTTATCCTTGCGTCGGGTTGACTTGAAATAGTAAAATACGGATCTTCATTCAGTGGAATCTATCAGAAGCGATTTGATTTGAACCGAGTATTTGGTTTTCTTCCCAGGGTAGTGGGACTGACTGTAATAGCCATGGAACTCACTGTGCTGGGACCGCCGCAGGAAAAGACTACGGTGTGGCACCAAAGGCCATGATTTATGGCGTTCGGGTCCTCGGATGTACCGGATCCGGATCATGGTCTGGAATCATTGATGGTGGGTTAACAAATAACTTTCTCTCGAAGATAGCTTAATTTAGCCTGAAAGTTGGACCTTGAAGTACACTATCTATATAATAGTTGAGGATATAAATATCAACGTCATTAAGGATGTCTGTTAATTCTTCAATCATACGATAACGAGACCGTCACCAGACAGACAATGGACCGAACAACATTACGATACCCGGAATTGTATGAAATTGGTCAGTTAAGAATCGGTTTTGAGTCGGTTTGTCGGTTAGACTGTGGAATAATTTGTTAGTCAACAGGCTTTTAAGGGAAAGAATCGGTTGTTTTTTGGTCGATCTGGAGTCGGTTTGGGGGTGTGACTAAAAGTTTACCCCGTAAAACTGAGAAGTCTATCCCCTTCCTCAGATATAGTATAATTATCAAATTGATTCAGGTCAGTGCCGCCCATCTGCCCAAAATGTGTAGGAACGGATGGGTCAAACAATACATTTAGGGAAACTATTTCGACGTAAATTTCTTGGGCGTTGCAAAATATAGATAAATGGTCCTATCAAAAGTACATTTAAGAGCAGGGATTCGAACCGAGATGGAATCTTGATACATAATCATTAGACCATGACAGAACACAACATTCATTTTTTAAATGAATTATTAAAAAAAAAAATGAATTTCACGTCTCTTCGTCTTTGTCAGGTATGGAATGGGTTGCGACTAACGGCAACCGACCCGCTGTCGCCTCCATGTCCCTCAGCGGCACAGCGACGGGTACTGTCGTAGACCAAGCCGTATCCGGTATGGTTGCCGCTGGTGTGACGTTGACTGTTTCGGCTGGTAACAACGACTATGACGCTTGTCAACGCATGCCCGCCAGATCGATGGAGGTAAAGTAGTTTTAATTGCGTCATTGTTTACGCTTATCAAGCAAATTAAAGCAATAATTGCAGTGATTCAATCAATTTTTTGAATTTTCAACCTGCTTTGCATTTTTGTTCAATTGGCTCTCTCAAATGGCGCCTCGATGACCGCGCCAGTGACTGATTTAGTCCTATATCAGTATATTCAATAATACCTCGTGTGCAGCGGACATAATGTCGGTTTCTCAATGATTTTCTGTTTTGCTTTGTCTCACTAGTCCCTTGCAATATAATACTTAACACCCTCCTAAGGATATACCCCCGGAAAATTAACCTATCAATGAAAAGAAACAAAATGAGGTGAATTCATCACTAGACATCAAAGTAAACAAAATCAAAGCAAAGGAGAAATATTGTTGAAGAACAAACAAAAAACGACGCTTGTGAAGGGGAAAGTTCGATTTCCTGACAAGGAAGTATCAGGCGTCAATTCGATTGCGTTATTACCTGCGCTAATAAAGCTCGAGAAGACAATAGTGCATTAGCCAGCAGTTCAACCCAATGTTTCTTCCGTTCATCTGCATTCACGTTTTGCATCACTCAATCACGGTGCGCCATTGACGCTGGCGCAGCCTTGCGTCATCACATCAAGCCTCGTGTGTAACGGACATTAATCCTTTCCGTCCGTTCAAATTGTCGCCTATAGGCCATCACCGTTGGAGCGACGGAGAGCGATGATACGAGGGCATACTTCTCCAACTATGGCGGATGCGTCAATCTTTTTGCCCCAGGGCGGTACATCGTCAGTGCGGGTATCAACTCAGATACAGAGTACACCTCCAAGAGTGGAACCAGCATGTCAACACCTCATGTAGCAGGTGCGTTCCTGATCTCTTTAAAGTTTTTATAAAATAATCATCATGGAATATTTTTCTTTTTATGTTAGGGGCTCCAGATCGCCATATTACAATCAAAATATGAGCTTCAAATAATTCTTCTAAAAAGAGATATATTGCAATTTAAAATACATCTTCACTAGACACACATACAAAACGAGTGAGTAGAACCGTACGTGTTTGTAGTAACAGTTCGACTTGCGTTCCGTACGCGCTGTTTTAGAGAATGAATGGGGAAGATCAATAGATCGCAATGATTTTGTTTAAATTAAATTATATTGACTTCTTAAAAACAGAATTGCATAAACCAATAGTGTGTTAACCCTGTGATAATTCAGTATACAATGGAATCTATACAGAGTTATTTACCAATATTTTGTTTACCAACTCAATAAAATTTCCGGGACAATCTGCAAAAAGTAAATGCATTTCTCTCTTTTGATCTGTGTTGTTTTCACCAGGTGCTGCTGCTGTTTTCCTTGGTGATGATCCAAGCCGGACACCCCTCACGATCCGTAACATGATTTCTAATGAAGCAACCAGGGATAAGGTCACCGACACAATGGGTACCCCTAACCTACTCCTTCATGTTCCGCAGCAGTAAACAAAAGGAGTCAGGCTAAATGAATAATGACCGATACACACAAAATCAGTAAATCAGTAAGCAGCATTGTCAGATTCAAATCAGATTGCGAAATTTATCAAATTCAGTTATTCTCGTTTTGTGCAATAAATTCAAGAAATCAATTTAGACAACAAGTATATTTCATGACTTTGAAAATGATTTTCGTGGAGACAGGATATCAGAGCAGCTGTAAGACGGAGAGAGAAATAAGAGAAGGGGGAGAGAGAGAGATAGATGAGGGCAAGAGAGTGGAGGGGGGGGAGAAAGACACATAGAGAGAAATAGAGAGAAAGAGGGGGGAGAGAGAGAGAGAGAGAGAGAGGAAGAAAGAGAACGAAAGAAAGGAAGAAGGAAAGAAAGGGAGAGAGAGAAAGATATATATATATATATATATATATATATATATATATAAAGAGAGAGAGAGAGAGAGACTAAGACAAAGTGAAAAGAAGATAAAAGTAACCCCTCCCACCCGCCAGCCATGACGCCAAGCCCCGCCATGCAGCGGGACCCATGCTACGTCACTTGATATGAATACGGGTCCTTGTTTAGTATACCTTACACTTGGCACGGATCCAATTTACCCTTAGTTCTATACTTCCGAGGTCGTCAATTTCATTTTCAGATAGTCATTTAGTTAATGGTCTCAATTAAAAAAATTAAAAAAAAGGTCAATCTGTTTAATCAAAGCATGGACGTATCTTTGGGAAGACTAGTTTAAACAATCACATTACGACAACGATATATAATTGTTCTGCATGTTTACCAGTTCATTGCGATCGGATTATAATGAATGTATGAAGTAATATTCATGGATTCAGATTTTTCATGGTGTCAGGTATAAGTCATATGCCATTAAACAGCATCAAAACGTGTCAGACAGAGGGACCCATTACCAGTGCTTTCCATTCTCATTCATTGATAAACCCGGAACGCAAGTTGGATATCAGCATGGTCACTAACATGACAGAAATTGACATCGATGGTCCTGACTACGGCTTCGAAATCAAACAGAGAATCGGAATTACAGTCGTCTATTGTCTTATCTCCTTCACGGGTATTACAGGTATGGAGCTCTATTCAGTGTAGGAACTAACAATTATCAAAGGACTTTATTCTTATAATGTAAAATTCTTTTTTAATATATTTAGATTTACCTATTATAGACATAAGAATTTGATACGTAGAGCTGTTATGGGATGGGTGGCTGTACAAAAAGATATTATTTGTGATGAAGAGAGAGAGAGAGAGAGATGGAGTTAACGCCCTTGTGACCCACAACAGACGACATGTTAAACTTGACCGTTTATAATATTTGTACATTATGTATCACGTATTCCACCATGAATAATATGAAGTATTAACCGTGCATTGTCAATGATAAAACAATACCTGGGCTTTTTCTCTTTTCTACTTTTACATACGTGTTTGTAGTATCTATACACTATTACTTCCTTTGTTAATAATCATCATTGTTAATAAAGTAATATTGAAACAAAAGCTCATGTGCTCACTGTATAGGGTGTACCAGAAAAGGGTAAACCAAGATTAAGGGTAAATTTTTCGATAATTCCAAATTATCCTTGTTCAGTATATACATGTACATGACATCAAAAACTTTATCAAGGAGTCACGCATGATCAATTTCAGACAGCACAAAGTGGCAGTGTCTGAAACCCAATTGTCCAAACTAAGTCAATGGCTGCTATACGTTTGGTTTTGAAAAAATATGAAATGATTTTGAATTCATAATAGTTAAAAATACACATCATTTCAAAGCTCATATTTTCTTCTTGCATTTGAGACCATAATAATGATGGAAGGATCACAAATGACTGAGCAGGCAACATAATATGAAACTGATTACGCACATTGAAATGATCTTGTAAGAAGTGAATATAAAGGGAGCTGAACAAAATATGTCAATGTGCCTTATCAATTAAAAATTGAAGTTCAGTAAGGATATTGCCTTTTGGAGAAGAACTGACATAGATCCTCCATAAAACAGGCATGTAGTGCGTAGAATGAAACACAATACTAGAGAAATCTATAAACTTACAGTTCCCGGATAATTTGTTCAATAAATAGTCTTATTACCTCTCAAAGAGAAGTATACGGGTAGTACTTGTAATAATACTAATAGGAAGAAGAACAGTGGGTTCATGTAGCGCTCATGTCAAGACTTGTCACTCCTGCACCCAGGTCGAAATTCCAGTTGATACCAGTCGAAACCAGTAAGGATTTCCACCTGGTTTGAACTGGTTTGAACTGGTCTCAACTGGTACCAGTTAAAACCAGTTGATACAATTTGGAAACCAGTAGAAATACCAGTTGAAGTCGGACAAATATAGAATAGCAGTTGTCACTGGGTAGGCGTCTTTTTTTAATTTGTTTAAAAGGTAAAATTAACGTTACCACCCCCCCCCCCCATTTTTCGGCCGGGGGGGGGGGGGGGGGTTCGGACCCCCACCCCCTCCCGTGGATGGACATTCAACGTGATTCTTTCTTTGATCCAATGATAGTCGCCGCCTTCTGATTATGTGCATCTTAATGAGAACATTCAGCTGTTTTAACAATAACGACTTCGTAAGCATTTTCGGTCATTGACAAAGGAGTAGTTTCCCTCTCTTGGGTTTTGTTTGGATGGTGTGCTCTGTAAGAGTGTGTCTTAAATAAAAGCATCCCCAATGGGGAGCAGCAAAGTTGAAAAGCAGACGATTTTGGTGATATGAATTGTATTATTACTGATTCGCAAACTTTCGCACACACCTATGACCTTATAAAACAATTAGAAGGCCATGATCTGTATCAGCCCTGTGCGTTGTAACTCTGGAATATTATGAGGAAATAGGGGGAAACGGGATTTTAAATCAAAACCAAAAAATACAAAAATAACCTCTATCTAGTTATATCAACATGTTCTTCAAAATAAAATACATGTACAGTACACGGAACAACAATTTCCGATTAAAGGCCAGAACTGCACATCGATTTTCCATGATTTAGGCGAGTTATTATCTTCTGCGCATGTAGATTAACATGTGTAAAATCACTATCTTCATTCTGTCCCGGCTTTTTGGCGGTGATCATGATGAGATCAAAGTGTAGAAACATGTACGGAATGTTATTGAGACAACATTGACGAAGACAATCACAATGAATTCGTTAAGAAAATGATAAATGTCCATTCGTAATAGGTCCATGGCATCACCTATATATATATATATACCATCTGAACAATACAATATGTAATTGTTTACCTACAACAGCCTTGATTTAGGACTTAGGGGTGCGTTTATGAACTCGTTTATGGCCCAGAATCAGCACATTTGCATACGTCTTTAGATATGTGTATATTGAAACGCAGAAAAAGGTGCGTTTTGAATGTGAGAATGAGCCAGAATCAAGTTTCTGAGGGTGCGTTTATTGACCAAATTTTTGCCTAGAATCAGGTTTCTCAAACGTCTTTCAGGCAAATTTTGAAGTTGATAAACGCAAAGCCTTTTTTAAACGTCTTTAGATATGGGCATATCTAAAGAGGCAAAAAGGTGTGTTTTGAATGTGACATACAGCCAGAATTACGTTTCTGAGAGATGATAAACGCAAAGCTGTCTTGAACCCCACATAGAAATCGGACCTTCCCAGGCTAATTTCCGGTTCGGAGATAGCGCGCCGCGTTGTTGTACAAGCATGACTTTGTGTGCGTACTCGTCCATCTAGTTGACCTCCAAGAAATTGTCTGCTTCCCGGGTCAAACGGCGCAAAGCACCTGTGCAGAGACAAGGCCTTTATTTTGAATCGTGAAGAGACGATAAACGCGACATCCCGCAAATAACTATCGTATAGTGGGGTTCGATAGTGGGGTTCAATAGCGGGGTTCGATATGTACATATCTAGTGGCAAGACACGATAAACGCACCCTGAGACTGAGAGTCATTATTTTCCCACTTAAAGACATTTTCAAGCTCCACCTTTTTTAGGGAAGTTCTAAATTAGTATTATCTTTCAAATGCCGTTGGATTTTAACCTTTTCATTTTTGGGGCCTGCAAATGGGACATAGTACCTTTAATGTTGTACAAGCGTTATGTAATCGTCCATTGTTCATTGTTTACGTATCATGCGATTACGTGCTTCAAAAATATTTGAGTGTATATCTCGTGCAGTAATTTAGCAGCAGCATGAGTACCTATCGTTGAGAACATATTACCGCCAAAGACATGTTCCGAATACGAACATGTACTCCCGACATCATATTTACAAACACACGCAGACAACAATTAACGGAATTCAAAACGAGTCAGACTTTTTAAACTTCAATTTTTGAACGTGACAATATTACTAGTACGTAGGTACGGAGTATAGTTAGATCGAAATTAAAAAAAAAGCGCGCGCTCTAGTTGACGTCCGAGCAACTCTCTGCTCCCGGGTCAAACGGCGCAAAGTAGCTGCGCAGAGACAAGGCCTTCATTTCGAATCGTGAGGAGTTGATAAACGCGACATCCCTCATATCACGTTCGTATAGTGTGTTTCGATATGTACATATAGAAACGCTGTTTCTGAGTAGCAAAAGTTGTTAAACGCACCCAGGTTGTGAATAAATGCCGTCAAAAAGAACAGAAAAAGTCTACCTAATTCATTTGGTCAAAATTTAATGTGTATGAGTGTATATTCATATATATAATTCCTCATACTGATAAGTTTAGAGATTGATTTAATGCAAGTGCGGTCGACTTACATGACTCAATATCTAATTAATTAAAATATTTCCTACTGTACATCTTTCTTTCATTATCCATCCACAGGAAACATTTGTGTCTTCTTGGCGGTTCTGCTCTCAAAGAAGCTCCATACGCTCACCAACATCCTTGTGGTAAATCTCAGTGTGATAGACTTCCTGACTTGCTGCAGTATCCTCGTCCAATGTGTAGTTCTCTTGACCTCGGAACAGTTCCTCAGGGTAGTTCCCAGTCAGCTCTGCGTCCTGACCAGCGCTGTAAACTTTGTAGGTGTCGCTAACAGTCTGATGACGCTAACACTTATTGCTTTCATGCGCTGGTACGTCATAACCCGCAGCATTAGGGGTCACAGAGGACTCCACACTCCTGGAAAGATCGCGACGTTGCTGATCATCACCTGGAAAGTTTCACTGGTCTCCATGTTGCTTCCACCAGGACTTGGGGTAGGAACTTTAGGGTACAGCGCCGCCTATAAGCAGTGTCTGACCATCGATGGCAACCAGCTTGTTGTGTACTACAGCATGTTACAGGCCGGTGGTTGCTTCGCTTTTGTTGCAATGGCTGTATCCTTTTACATTGCCATATTCTTATTCGTTCGTAAGAATACCGTGGCATTATCGAAGAACTTTAGTAGCCAGAAAAACGCCAAGAACATCCAGGAATCAAAATCAAACCTAAAGCTAGAGAACATGAAGGATTCTTCTGTTCAAAGGTTATCGTATCATGTAGTAGATGATAGGCATCGTCGAAGCGAAGATCTGCATCAAATGACCGCGCTTTTCAGGAAACGTGAATGGAGGATCACCAAGAACCTTCTTGTTGTATTCTGTATCTTCTTGGTGTGTTTCATACCTTTCGCAATAACCCTCGCTATACCTGGGGGGAGCCTGTTTACCGTCTACACGACGACCCTGCTGTATACAAGCCCATGTATCAACCCTATAGTGTACTGTCTGAAACACGACCAGTTCAAGGAGGTCTTCAGGCCCATGCTGCGGTGCAGGTGGTCCAAGATTCCGCAACCTACTAAGATTTTGAGATGCTGTTTGCCTCGGTCAGATGATTTGCAGTTGACTAGTATTAACTTAACGAATGCAATAATAAAATAAAATGTAACTCAAACTCCTTGATTTGAACTGAACGATAGTAAGATACTAGACATTTGATTAGTGTGTGTGTTTTAAAGAGACTTACTTTTATCATTTTTTTTAAATATGTGGTTTAAGCTTCTTTCAACCTGAAGGTTTAGCAATTTAGCTTTTATCAACTCTGAAGCCAAAATACAGTTTCTTGCTGTCTGATGCCCAGAAATCAAAGTAGCGAAGATAGGTGGCTGGTGACAATGAGTATAAATATTCCATATTCAATGATAGATTGATGTTTTTAATCGAGATAGTTTCTTTCACGCTTCTTGATCAGAATCAATCTTTCACTGTCCTCTAAACAAAAATAAAAGCATCAGACCGTATGATTTTAATTTGACTGACGTTATTGGTGTGGAATTTAAAGTTTCAAACCAGTCAAGTCAAATCATATCCACGCGAAATATACGATGGCTTTTGTATTGGGGCGGCTCCATGTCTTACTGGTGGAAGACATTTGAATTAGGAATAACAAACTTGCCAAATGGCTTGAAGAATGTGTCACAACGAATCTTGTACTTTCCACAAACTGTTTGTTATTTTATTTTATCTTTTTTTCCATTAGGTTTGCACGAAATTTCCCCAGGTGATTAATTCAATTTCAATTTCAATATCATTTATTTCCACAGATTCGTAAAAAACAATATAAATTACAATCAAATATAAAAGCATTAAAACAAAAGATGAACCTGCAGAGGGGTGATAAAAAATCACTGAGGTTTGTCGGGGATCATCCCCTGCGTAAAATTACAATATTAGAATACAATAATGCTTTAAATTAAACAATAAACACATACAAATAATATATATATATATATATATATATATATATATATATATATATTACAAGCAAATCTATGTGTGGGATGAGTAGTAGTGGGGTGGTGGTACCAATAAATACAATATATAGAGGGAATGAATGATATGTAAAGAAAAATAGTGAGAAAAATAGTAAGAAACACCATACAAACTAAGTCTTAAGAGTTGGATAAGAAATCAAATGTTGTTTCAACCTTGACTTAAAAGAATGAAGTGATGAGCAACTGACAATATCACTTGGAAGTAGATTCCATAGTGATGGTTCACTAAAATAAATGTTCCTTTGGAAAAAAAGTTGTTTTAACAGAGGGCAAATGAAACTTGGAATTGCTTGGAATCTCTTTCTCGATGTTTTATAAATGCTTCTTGGCGGTCCATCATGTACTGTAACGTCCATTTAGGATCTTTATTCCTTTAGGGTACCCGTTTAACAATTAACTGCTTGTTGCCTATTAATATAGGATGGGCTTTATGTCTACCACGTCCATTTCTGTTTTGCTTTGCCTAGTCTTTAATCCTTTGCAATACAATACTTAACACCAGTGGCCCCCTCCCCTGGCAAAAAACAGGCAAAAACACCCTTTTTTGTAAAAAAAAAAAAAGAGAAGACGGGCCCCCTCCCTTGAGAAGAAAAAAAAAGTCACTAACCCCCCCGTTGAGCAAAAAAAAAGAAGAAAAAAAGTGCTACTTACCCCCCCCCCCCCCCACTTATTCACCGGCTGGCTGATTCGCTGCTAAATATTTTCTCACGAATTGGGCAAAAAAAGAAGAATACAAAAGTGCTCCTTGCCCCCCCCCCCCCCCCGCTTATTCACCGGCTTGCTGATTAGCCGCTACATATTTTCGCACGAATTGGGCCCCTTCTCTGACCCCCTCCCTTGTCGCCGGCTGGATCCGCCCCTGCTTAACACCCTACTGAGGATATACCCCCATTGGAAAATGAACCGATCAATGAAAAGAAAAAAAATGAGGTGAATTCGCTACGAGACATCCAAGAAAAAATATTCAAAGCAAAGTAGAAATATTGTTGAAGAACAATAACAAATCGACGCTTGTGAAGAGGAAAAGTTAATTTTCCGATAAGGAAGTCTCTTTGCATATCTCAGGCGTCAATTCGATTGCGTTATTACCTGCGCTAATGAAGCCCGTGGAGACAATACTGCATTAGCTAGCAGTTCAACTCAATAGTTGAACGTTTTGCACGATATCACTCAATCACGGCGCGTCAAAAACCACACCAGTTCCTGACGCAACCTTGCGTCACTAAATCAAGCCTCGTGTGAAACGGGAATTAATCCTTTCCGTCCGTTCAAATTGTCACCTAGGCCGTTGGAGCGACGGAGAGCTACGATACGAGGGCAACTAAGGCGGATGCGTCAATCTTTTCGCCCCAGGGCGACATCGTCAGTGCGGGTATCAACTCAGATACAGAGTACACCTCCAAGGGTGGCACCAGCATGTCTACACCTCATGTAGCAGGTGCGTTCCTGATATCTTTTAAGTTTTTTACAAAATAATCATCATGGAATATTTTTCTCTTTATGTTAGGAGCTCCGGGTCGCCATATTACAATTAAAATATGAGCTTTGAATAATACTTCTATAAAGAGATATATTGCAATTTCAAATACTTCTTCACTAGACACACACAAAACGAGTGAATAGAACAGTCCGTACGTGTCCGTCCGTACGTGTTTGCAGTAAAAGTTCGACTTGCGTTGTTTTATATAAATCCTTATTTACTTCATACTTCGTAAACGTCAACCCAAAAATAATTCCAGGTTAACTCTTTGACGTGGATTTCAAATATTCTAGCTGTACAAATAATTGTTTATGTGATCGGTACACTAAATTCTATATTTTGGAACATCAAAGTTAAAGGTATGTAAAAGGAAAAAAGAAAGAAGTTTGAACATAAAGACCTGAAAAAGGCTGTAGAGGGATTGCAAAAATGAATCCGAAGTAACGTAAAAGGAGAAAGTAGTTGAATGACTGCAAGAAAAGATAATGTAAGAACAGGACAAAGGCAACTTTACAGAGGATTACAGGATGTTCGGAAAGAGCAATAGATTGCAATGATTTTGTTTAAAATAAATTAGATAAAATCCTTTAAAAAAAGACTTGCATAAAACAACATCGTGTTTAAGCCTAAGACAATGCAGTAACAAATGGAATCTTTACATAAATAATTACAATTTTTTTTTTACCAACTCAATAACATTTTTCAAGATAAGCTGCAAAAAGTAAATACATTTCTCCCTTTTGATCTGTGTTGTTTCCACCAGGTGCTGCTGCTGTTTTCCTTGGTGATGATCCAAGCCGGACACCCCTCACGATCCGTAACATGATTTCTAATGAAGCAACCAGGGATAAGGTCACTGACACCATGGGTACCCCTAACCTACTCCTTCATGTTCCGCAGCAGTAAAACACAAAAGGAGTCAAGCTAAATGAATATTGACCGATAAAAAAATGTGTTTGTCAGTTAGTAGCATTGGCAGATGCAAATCAGATTGTGAAATTTATACAATTCAGTTACTCTGGTTTTGAGCAATAAATTGAAGATATAAGTTTTATAGAAGACAAGTATATTTTATGACTTTGAAAATAATTTTCGTGGAGACAGGATATCAAAGCAGTTGTAAATTAAGACGGAGAGAGAAATAAGAGAGAGGAAAGTAGAGAGAGAGAGAGAGGGAGAGGGAGAGAGAGGGAAAGAGAGAGAGAGCAAGAGAGTGGGGGAATGACAGAGAAAGAGAGATAGAGAGAGAGAGAGAGAGGGGGAGAGTGAGAGAGAGAGAGAGGAATAAGATAAAGCGTAAAAAAGATGAAAGTACCCCTCCCACCCCCTCACCCGTATGACGCCAAGCCCCTCCATGCGACATGACACACGCTATTAAAGTCACTTGATATGAATATGGGTCCTTGAACTAACACGGAATGTAAACTGAAACGGATGTACCCTTATTTCTATACTACCGATGGCGTCAATTTCATTTTCTGAAAATCATTAAGTCTCAATTTATTCTTATAAGAAATAGATATATCCGTTTAATCAAAACATTGACGTCTCCTCGGGAACAGAACTAGTTTAAACAATCACATTACGACAACGATGAATTACTTGTTCTGCATGTTTACTAGTTCATTGAGATCACTGTTTTTCGGATTATAATTAATATATAAGTAATATTCATGGATTCAGATTGTTATGGTGTCAGGTAGCCTATAAGTCATGTGCCATTAAACAGCATCAAAACGTGTCAGACAGAGGGACCCGTTACCAGTGTTTTGCATTCTCATTCATTGCTAAACCCGTATCGGAAGTTCGATATCAGTATGGTCACCAACAACATCACAGATGACTACGGCTTCGATATCAAACAGAGGATCGGAATTTCAGTCGTCTATTTTCTTATCTCCTTCACGGGTATTACAGGTATGGAGATCTAGTTACTGTATGGATATGAACTAACAATATAAATGGACGTTATTCTTATAATGTTAAGTTCTTTTCGTGTATACATGTATTAAGATTGATTTATTATAGACATAAGAAATTAATACGTAGAGCTGTTATGGGATGGGTGGCTGTACAAAAAGGTATTGGTTGTGATGAAAAGAGAGGGAAGAGAGAGAGAGAGAGAGAGAGAGAGAGAGGGTAGAGAGAGAGGGAGAGAGAGAGAGAGAGAGAGATATTTTTTAACGCCCTTGTAACTTCAATCAGACGACATGATAAACGTGTCCATAAATAATATTTGTACATTATGCATCACGTATTCCATCATGAATAATACGAAGTATTAGCCCTGCATTGTTAACAAAAAACATTCCCTTGGCTTTTTTTCTTTTCTACTTTATATACAATTTTGTAGTATCTATACAATTATACTATTCCTTCCTTTGTCAATAATCATCACTGTTGATAAAGGGACATTGAAACAAAAGCTCATGCGCTCACTGTAATCATGGTATTAAAAGCAAGACAGGAATAGGAGTTTTGAATGGTGTGTATTTCCAAAAGTCAATAATCCCAAATCATTTCCCTTTCTTTGAAGTCCATAAGGAACTAAAATGAAACAGCCATTCGCTCATTTTGGAAAATAGGGTTACCAACAAAGCCACTTCTGACTGTGTGAAATCGTTCATGCGTGATTTATTTGATCATATTATTTCTGGGGGGTGTTTCACAAAGATCCTAAATTGAACTTATCTCTAAGTTGGACTTAAAAGTTATGGACAGCCATTGGAGCCTTAAAATGAAATATATTCAAAAGCAGAAATTCAAATATTTTCAACCTTTTATAAATTCCACATCAAGAACATGAAATAACCCTGGTGATAGAAAATATGAATGATTTGAATCAACATTTTATGCCTTTTAAAATTACTTTTACAAAATATTTTTTCAAAGATGCTAATGGCTTTCCATAATTGTTAAGTCCAACTTAGAGATAAGTTCAACTTAGGATCTTTGTGAAACACCCCCAGGTGTCATAATAAAAGAGGAAAATGAAACTTTTCAATGATGTATATAAACCAAAAAAACGTAATTTTAGATTGTTGAGTAATTTAACATCAAACTTTATTTTCAGGAACACACTGTATAATAATACATTTTGAAAAATTGGCGGAAACTATCCTCGATTAACGAATTTCAAGATAATAGAACTGGGTAAGCATATTATCCTGTGTTATCAGGATTATCAAGAGTGTTTCGCTGTAGACGACATGTGATTAGCTTTCTTAGTCTCCGTAGAAGCAACGTGGTTGAACCTTAGTAAGGACATTGCTTTTTGGAGAAGATCTGATATAGATCCTCCATAAAATAGGCAAGAAGCGCGTATAATGAAACACAATACTAGATAAGTCTATTAACTTGCAGTTCCCGGACAATACAATGAATAGTCTTATTACCTCTCCTAGTATGCGGGTAGTACTTGTAAAAATAATAATAAGAAGAAGAACAGTGGATTCATGTAAAGCGCTTCTGCTACTCGACAGGTATTATCCCGGCTTTAGCTTGACTGGCATTATGGCGCTCTAGCATTGATCATTATTAATTAATTCCTGCCAGGTATCGTTTACCTTACCAGAGTCGAGTCTGGTAACTCTAGATTGATATCTTTTTAAAAGGACAGTAGTGATTTCACAGTCTTGATTAAGGACTGTAGTGTGTGAATAAATGCCCTCGAAAAGAAAAGAAAAAAGTCCACAGAATTCATTTGGTCAAAATGTAATGTGTATGAGTGTATATTGCATATATTTAATTCCTCATACTGATATAATGCAAGTGCGGTCGACTTACATGACTTAATATCTTCTTGATTATACTCTTTCTTATTGTACATCTTTATTTCAATATCCATCAACAGGGAACACTTGTGTCCTCTTGGCGGTTCTGCTCTCAAAGAAGCTCCATACGCTCACCAACATCTTTGTGGTAAATCTCAGTGTGACAGACTTCCTGACTTGCTGCAGTCTCCTCGTCCAAGGTGTAGTTCTCTTAACCTCGGAACAGGTCCTCAGGGTAGTTCCCATTCAGCTCTGCGTCCTGACCAGCGCTGTAAACATCGTAGGTGTCGCTAACAGTCTGATGACGTTAACACTTATAGCTTTCATGCGCTGGTACGTCATAACCCGCAGTATCAGGGGTCACAGAGGACTCCACACTCCCGGAAAGATCGCCGCGATGCTGACCATCACCTGGACAGTTTCGCTGGTCTCCATGTTGCTTCTACCAGGACTTGGGATCGGAACTTTAGGGTACAGCGCCGTCTATAATCAGTGTCTGACCATAGATGACAACCAGCTCGTAGAGTACTACAGCATGTTACAGGGCGTTGGTTGCTTTGCGTTTGTTGCAATGGCTATATCATTTTACATTGCCATATTCTTATTCGTTCGTAAGAATACCGTGGCGATGTCGAAGAACTTAAGGAGCCAGGAAAACGCTAATAACATCCAGGAATCCAGAACAAACCGAAGGCTAGAGAACATGAATGATTCTTCTGTTCAAAGGTTATCGTATGTAGCAGATGATAGGCATCGTCGAAGCGAAGATCTGCATCAAATGGCCTCACTTTTCAGGAAACGTGAATGGAGGATCACCAAGAACCTTCTTGTTGTATTCTGTATCTTCTTGGTTTGTTTCATACCTTCCGCAATAACCCTCGCTATACCTGGGGGGAGCCTGTTTACCGTCTACACGACGACTCTGCTGTATACAAGCCCATGTATCAACCCTATAGTATACTGTCTGAAACACGACCAGTTCAAGGAGGTCTTCAGGCCCATGCTGCGGTGCAGGTGGTCCAAGATTCCGCAACCTACTAAGATTTTGAGATGCTGTTTTCCTCGGTCAGGTCATGATTTGCAGCTGACCAGTATTACTTCATTGAATGCAATAATAAATAGAGTGTAACTCAAACTTCTTAATTTGAACTGAACGATAGCAAGATATACTTCAATATATGGGTGCGTTTTAAAGAGATATATTGTTATTTTGTTTTAATATGTGGTTTAGGCTTCCATCAACCTGGAGGCTTAGCAAGTAAGCTTTCATCAACTCTGAAGCTAAAATACAGTTTCCTGCTGTCTGATGCCCAGAAATCATGGAAGCGAAGATAGATGGCTGGTGACATTTAGTATAAGTATTCCATATTCAATGGTGTATTGATCTTCTTAATCGGGATAGTTCCTTCACACTTCTTGATCAGAATCCAAGACTGTTTTCACTGTCATCTAAAAATTAAGAACGTCTCATAAAAGGTATTAGACAATATGATTTTTTTTGACTGACGTTCTCGATGTGGATTTTAAAGTTTTAAACCAGTCAAATAAAATATATCCATGCGGATTATACAATGGCTTTATATTGGGGCGGCTCCAGTCTTACTGGGTGGAAGACATTAAAGTTCGGATTTACAAACTTGCCAAGGGCTTGGCTTGAAGAACGTGTCACAACAAATCTTACTTTTTTCTCAAACTGTTTGTTATTTTATTTTTATCTTTTTTTCTATTAGGTGTGCACGAAAGATTCTCAGTTGATTAAAGGAGCTACACAAAGAAAAATTTACTACAACTGATAATTAGAACAAATTACATATGGATGGAAAGATTTTTTCTTGAAAAACACGAATAATTTGCTGATAAATCATATAGATATCATGGAAAGGCGTAAAATGCAATGTTTCAAGACCCTTCTTAGACCCCCGAACGCCCCTGAACGTAAGCCAAACACACGAGCGTAGCGAGCTCTGAATAGTGACGTCACACACTGGACAAACAGCTCAGTACCGGCCGCCTACCGGAGTCGCGCGTGTATTAGTCTGCAGCTAGCCAGCCGTGTCCCGTATGTGACGTCACAAATATTTACGCTCTACAAAGGACCGCTGAAGGCAGAAAACCTGGACCTCGAAACTAACAATTTTGAGAGTTGATTACTGCGGGCCCCAAACAAATTTTGAAGAGGAGAGTTGTTGTATTTGATCAGTAAGGCTTTCCCTTCGCAATGATATGAGTTTTGCATCAATTCAAAACACTTTTGATTCTTCGTGTGTCTACTTTAATTGCATAAAGTCTCTTTCTCGATATTTTATAAATGCTTTTAGCGGTCCATAATGAACTTCAACGTCAATTTAGGATCTATGTTCCTTTAGGGTTATCCTTTTAACAAATTACTGCCCGTTAATATAGGATGGGCATAATGTACCACGTCCATTTAAAATTTCCGTCTAAAAAAATAAAAAGGAGAAGTTGAAAAATAATGAGTAAAGAAGGAAATTCTCTATTTCTTTAGGGCTATCATTTTAACTATTTACTGTCCGTTAATTAAGTATTATGCTTCCTTGGCCAATATGTTCTTAATGTGTATTTTATGTTATATATCTGATTGTTATATACTTATATGTAGTGTTGGCGTTTTAAATGAATGAAATAAAATTGAATTGAATTGAATTGAAAATTTCGGGAAATATTGACTTTGACGAGGGTGGGCTCGGGCAAAGAGTTAAATACACATTGTGTGTGGATAAGCACTGAATCCAATGACCGGGGTAATAATGTATTTGTAAAGCGCTTAGAGATATTTGTATTAAGCGCTATATAAAAATTAAATATTATTATTATTATTATTATTAAATGTAAAACTTAGTATCAGTGTTACCCGGGCCGGGGTAAATAATATAAATTCTGAAAAGAAATGAAGAGGCTGGTCAGAATAAGTGTTTACTGTGAAGCATCAGGTATAAAACTCCTTTAATAACATAAACAATCAACATGGAATAACATATTCCACTAATAAAACTAAATACCAGTAATACGGACTAAATATAAATATGAACACAGCTAACTCTAAATTCATAAACAACATTGGCATAGGCATCTGACTGCTTATCTTCTAATCTGAACACGGCTAACTTTAATTATAGACCAAGGTGAACCAGTTAAAAGTCGTTTTGTGTCTTTTTACAGAATAACCCAACTTTCTACAATATCCCGACCTGTCTATAGTCGCAGTAACCCTAAAATCCTTTTCTAAAATAATACACGATTACTTTCTCAATTCTAGCAAAACTCTTCTCTATTTGCAGGGACAAAAGTAAAATAAAGGATACAAGGAATATAATCTAACAAAATCACACTCAATCTTCAAACATGATATTAACAGTTAAAGAAAGAAACCAGAAATGAGAGGGAGTAAAAGAGAGAGACATGAGAGAAAGAGAAAGAGAAAGAGAGAGAGACTACAATTGCATAACAACTCATTTACAAAAGACCTGAATCTTGAACTATGAACTCAAATCCTCTCTTTTCTACAATATTCCCTCATTTCTCCAGTTGGTGGACTACTGCTGACCACAACTCATTAGTCATAGCATGTCACAGTTATCTCTGATAAAGACCAGAGAAACTTCTCCCAACGCACAGACTATTGAATTGGTATCAGGATTAACTTTACTACTACTTTTGTATAGTGGGGTATGAACTCGTGTATGAACTCGTCACTATACATCTCACATTAAGCATACACACATTATGAGGTGTGTTCACACTAGTTGGTTTAACCTGACTTAGTATGAATATATAAAGATTGACTACTTCTACTACATAATAATATGACCATTATATAATCTAAATGCTTCATAAACATTGGTATCAGGATTAACTTTACTACTACTTTTGTATAGTGGGGTATGAACTCGTCACTATACATCTCACATTAAGCATACACACATTATGAGGTGTGTTCACACTAGTTGGTTTAACCTGACTTAGTATGAATATATAAAGATTTACTACTTCTACTACATAATAATATGACCATTATATAATCTAAATGCTTCATAAACATAACTAACACCATACTATAGACACATGTCACGTAGATACATATGTTAAGCCTGCATCTCTCATGATCAGTCTGGTTTGATAAAATACACTTAATTGGTTCTAATATCACTAATAACATTCACTTCATCATTAAACACGAGTTGCAGCACAACAATGTAATATATGAATTGAACAATAATAATTAACTTAAACAGACAGAATTGAAAGAGATTAAAAGTTGTAATTTCTTACCTGAAAAGAAATGAAGAGGCTGGTCAGAATAAGTGTTTACTGTGAAGCATCAGGTATAGAACTGATGCTATCAGGCAGAAACCACTGACATGACCAACGTCTTCGATTTGGTTTCGTTTTGGGGAGAGGGCACAATATGAGTCACCACTTCTTGGAAAACAGGGGTTGGGTTTCTGCATCTTTGCAGCAAGCAGTGAAGAATGTGTAAACTTTTTAAGAAACTGGTGTGTAAAATATATGACAATACTAACAGGATATTATGTATACAAAATTTTGAGGGAGGCCTATTTTCCAGGGCCTTACACCAGTATATGAGAGTATGCATAAAAAATGAGGCACGTGCCTTCTAATAATAATAATAATAATTATAATAATAATAATAATAATAATAATAATAATAATAATAATAATAATAATAATAATAATAATAACAATAAGATAATTACAATAATGATAATAATGATAATAATAATAATAATAACAATAATGAAATACCCTTTTTTAAAAGCGCTTTCACAGCAAACTGATCAGGGCTCTGTGAGAACAAGAACCAATGTACACAAATTATGTTTAGGAATAATCGTAATACAGCAAAATAAGCAAAATATAATTTAGACATAGTGTTAGTGAATATGCAAAGAATGACATGATACTTAAACACTCATAAATAGTGGCATATGTACCTGCAGCTACTTCTAGCAGAAGCACCAGCATGTTTTGGATCATACAAAGTCTAGATTGATGCCTAACCTTGATCTCCAATGTTATATATAGGAAGATACAAAACAGAATAGTGTTTTTTTTCTCACTGTGGTGCAGCTTTGAGTTATTGGGCAACGTGCCAACTCCCTTATTTAAAAAACAAATGCGAAAGGAATGAAAGGAGGACAAGACAAAAGAGAGACAGGTAAAAGGAGAGAAACCTTAAAATTAGATGATACCACCCTCCCGCAACTTTTCCCTCATCGATGGCCATGTTAGTTCGTATTACTTTTACCTAGTAAGACCGACGCATTTCCCTCAATAGCTTAGCCAACGCTACGCCACTGTTGTTTTACATACTTGACAAAGTGCAGTGTCATTATCACGTTTATATTGTGTAATTCATTTAAAGTAGTGTCGGTTACCGAAGCAAGAAGAAATTCGTTAATCTGCTACTGAATATTGTGTGTTGTCATCTCTTATGCAAATGACACTGTTGCTCATAAAGTTTGAATGAATTTTCCTTACCTATTTTCACGAGGTGATTGTGAGAGTATTCTTTTTTCTTGATATAATTTATGTATAAATCAATCTAAACGATTCTCCAAACTAATCAATACATTTCTTAGGTGATGTAAGCTTTATCTCTCAAGAAAATTGTCACAATCATGTCACGAAAACTGGTAAGAAAATAATATTTCCAACAGCTTAAGGGCAACGGTGTACACGCTGCTTCCATAAGCCTTATTAAAAAGATGAATTGTATATCATCTGGAGTACAACAGCAATTAATAAGCTGTAAATCCATTGAGCGAATCTGTCGTACTAATGCATTCTTTTATTGTTCATAAAATATTCATTACGCTAGGGCACAATGGTATATATAAAAAAAATAATCAATAGCTTTTAAAATACATCCCTTGGAGAACTGAGGTGTTGTCTACCTGCAGGTTCGTCTATGCCAGGTTTAAACAAATATAATCTTCCTTCTGATCCGAAGGGGCAAATGTAATAGGAAGATCATTCATTCAGGCAGGACTTGCGTTTTATTATCTTGTCGCAACACGAGTCAGAAATGTGAAACCCGGCTATACTGAACAGAGACATCGTCTGGCATTATTATAGTTTTTTTCATTACCTTTTTTCATGAATTGATTATGAGAGTATGTTTTTTCTTGATGTAGTTTATTTATTTATCAATCTCAACGATTCTCCAAATTAATCAATAAAGTTCTGAGGTGAGGTCGCAACACGAGTCAGAAATGTGAAACCCGGCTATACTGAACGGAGACATCGTCTGGCATTATTGTAGTTTTTTTTAATCTGATGCGGTGATGACAGGTCAATTTCTTACTTTCCTTTAGTAACTAAAAAAAAAAAAAAAAAAAAAAAAAAAAAAAAAAAAAAAAAAAAAATCAAAGTTATTTTCTTTCATCATTATTTCATCATTATTGCCAATTACGTCTCTTAGCACATCGATATATCTTTCATCGTATGGAACAGGCAGCGAACAGATTGGAACTCACTGTCCAAACGAGGTGCAAAACCTAGTCAAGAATCTGGCCTATTTAATTTTGATCTCCACCACACCAACACTTTTTTTTCTCCCTGCTTACTTGATACCAGCATAATTCTGGACTATGCAAAACCAAGTACGAGTTACAAGGGAAACTCGTGATATTTCACACTGCATATAATAATCAATGCAATCTGATTTAATGAGGCTATTTGAAGCAGTAAAACATAAAAGCTGACAAGTGGACACGGCCTAAATATCCTTGAAATGATATTATTTATTTACATGTATATAAGGTCAGCTAATTGCCATTATGGAACGAATCGTTCAATACGTGAATATACTTTCTGACCGATTGTCCGAGGCGTCCACTTTGCAGTCCCAAAATAGATTTTCCTACTTGATTTTTGGGATTTGGGCCATTAACTCATTACGTCGAATTCACTTAATATTGGTCGACAATGCTTTTGAGTTCATGGTTCGCATATGCCGACTTAAGTTGTATATAAGCAGGCTAATAGACTAACCAGTGACCAGTGTCAGTTTAACATCATTTAAATAGCGTCGAGCGCAATTGTGTTCATTATTTCAATCTGATTATAGGCCTACTACAATATCGAAAAGCTAATAGACCATAAATTCGTTCGCCTCTGTTTAAGCCTGTCAAGTTATCAATTAAATGAACGTGGATGTTTAGTGAAATCATGGTGGCGAACACCACAGAATGGTACACGGGTGATCAAGCGGGGACTCCTGGCATGACTGGGGAAGATTACGTCTTCGGCTTCAAACAGAGAATAGCTGTTTCTGTGGTATACTGTCTCATCGCCACAATGGGTATCCCAGGTATGTTCTTTAAGTCATAATTGAATTGATTTAGTTTATCCAAAAGCAACATGACATGCAGCTCAAGGCTGATATTGTCTGTATAGGGAAGTAATCAGATAATTTAAAAATTAGGTCTTGTTTAGACAGCGCCCTCATTATCAATAAGGTACTCTCTAAATGTATATAAATGAGGAGAAAATCCACTTTTTTGTATTAGGGATCACTTCGTTTTGGAGTGGAAATCAACTACAAAGACTACTTTAATCACTCGACATCATCATCATCATCATCATTATTATTATTGTTATTTCTAGTAGTATTATTATTATTAAATTTGCTATTTAAATTGTTATTATAAATGATATTATTTTTTTCTTTACTATAAGTATTTGTAACTATTCGTTATAATTATTATTATTACACATTTGCCTCGGCGGTTTGGTACGGTATACAGGCTTAACTTTGCATTTACATTTCAGTTAATTGTTGACTGGAAAATTGCCTCTACATTCGTAAAAGACGTATTTAATGTTCAGTCAAGCCCTTCACCATCAAAATACGATCTCTCTTCTTTTTGGCTATTTTTTCAAATATAAACAGTGTTGATTATTCTGCTTGACCTTTGATACAGGAAATGCATTTGTCATCTTGGCTGTCCTACTTTCAAGGAAGCTTCACACACCTACCAACATCCTGGTGGTTAATCTTAGCGTCTCAGACTTCTTCACTTGTTGGACCATCCTCATCCAAGTTGTAGTTCTCTTGACATCAGACCAGATCCTGATGGTAGTTCCCAGACAGCTCTGCGTCCTTACCAGCGCCGTCAACTTCGTAGGGAACTGCAACAGTCTGATGACGCTAACGCTAATCGCCTTTATGCGCTGGTACGTCATAACCCGCAGTATCAGAGGTCATCGAGGACTTTATACTCCTAGAAACATCGCGGCAATGGTAGCGGTCGTTTGGACATGTTCGTTGGTTTCTATGTTGCTTCCACCAAGTCTTGGACTAGGAACCTTAGGTTATAGCGTCGTCTACAAGCAGTGTTCTACCGTGGATGATAACCTTCTCGTCATATATGACAGCATGATAAAAGGCTGTGGTACCTTTGTCTTCGTAACAATTGCGATTTTCTTCTACACTGCTATATTCTTATTCGTTCGCAAAAATAGCCAGAAGTTTTTGAAGAGGATAAACCATAGGGATGTTACCGTTTATGTCATGGAATCGACCACAAGCATGGAGAAAGAATCAACGACAGAGAGTGCGAACGTCTCACATTCTCCCGTTCGAAGTTTATCATATTTGGTGGAAAACGGGCATCATCAAAGCGAGGCAGAGCTTCGGATGGCGGCGCGATTCAGGAAACGGGAGATGAAGGTAACCAAGAACTTGTTTGTGGTGTTCTTCATTTTCTTGGTGTGTTTTTTTCCGTTCGCCGTGAGTGTTGCCATACCCGGGGGAAGCCTCATCAACATCTACATCTCTGTCCTGGTGTACTGCAACGCCTGTATCAACCCCGTGATATACTGCCTAAAACATGACCAGTTCAAGGAGGTCTTGAGACCCATGCTGAGCTGCAGGTGGGCCGAGATTCCGCAACCTACGAAAATACTAAGACACTTATTTCCTCGGTCGGGCTAAGATTCTCAGATGAGCAATAATTCTTCATTGACTAGATGAGACAAAAAGCTCTGCAACCCGATTTACATTACATACCAGCGCAGCAGGAGGATGTAAGCAATTTTTTTGTTTACTTACTACAGCCCATTATGTATCATTCGGATAACATCAAAGCTTTTGAAGACTTCTAAAGCGCAGGTCTGTAGATTGCGGTAGCCTAACACAGTGGATGGCTGTTGAGCCAATAGTACCAATTGAAATTTCGAATGGAATTTTCAAGATGATGGATTTGATTGGGAGTAGTAAATGAGTACAGAGATCCTGACAGTCGTTTGTAAATAACAAATATTAAATATTCCTCTTTTTAACAACGCTGACGGCAATCGGAATGAAGGCTTATGAGAAAGAAGGTTTCGTATTAAACGAAGCAAACATATTGAACAAATATTTTCTGCATTAAAGAAACATACACAAACATAATTAATTTGAATGTAATTTATTAAACAAACTTTTACTGCCATATCGTAAAATGACAATTTCACAATCGAAATCTCTATAAACACAATTAATCGTCAGTCATCTGATTTGATGATAATAAAGCTCTTTATTTTTAATCTCCTTTAGCATGTTACGTTACCTGATTATCTCAATTTACGATATAAAAGTAGCAAACAATTGACACATATTAATTCTGCGGCAAATATAAAATATGATTGAAATTGTAATACCACAACCCACTTTACATTATAAAAAGGGCATTCCTTTTTCGGGCAGTATTTGTCTTGTATTCTGATTTGTAATAATTCACATCAGTACATACTTGTGAAAAGCATTAGGTAAATATTGTAGTTATACCAACTGAAATTAATTTTTAAAAAAATGTTGTACATTAGTAGTTTTTCTGTATGACTATTTGGAATTGTAATATATCATCTATTATGATTAATGATAGATATTATGGGATGCTAAATGAAGTATTGTGCAGATTTGTGGTCGTTGTTAAGTAACATTAGGATTCGTTAGGAACGTATAGAAGGAGATTCTCCGAGTCGTGTAGCTCAGTGACTTTGTCTCTGCTAGCTGATTCTAGGATGACGTCACGAACGCTATCAGGTGATAGGTTGGGATTCAAACCAACATGGATCGCGGCAACACCTGCCAAAAGAGACATAGCAAACATGACATTAATATGCATCGATACCGGTAGTAGATCGGGGAAGGTGTGGGGTAGGTGAATGGCTTGTCTGCCCTATGAACCATTTGGCCAATGTCAAAGATTCCATAGACTTGCGTCCCCAATCCCACAAGAGATTCCTGAATCCGCCACAAGTATGGATGAGGTGAAAATTGAGCATTTGTAACAGAATCTGTCTGCACTGCAATGGATTTTATAGCACAATTATATTTCACAGTGTCATGGTTATTTCATAGTAAAAAATAACTCCTGGTATGTATATCCTTGATTAACGAGTTTATGTATTCATGTCAGGAATGTCATGATGAGATATTATGATAGCTAAGTTTGGCCCTTGGGTAAATTAGTTTCTCTAATAAATTGCAGTTTGAGAACCGGATACCAATCGATTAATATGTAGGTCAATTTTGGTTATCGGAATACGTTTTTTCAGTACTTATTTTAACATCCTCAAACCCATGCACTCAATTTATGTAAATTGTATATTCCATAATGAGGGCAATGATAGGTCAAATTCCATACTAATTAGATTCGTACTGTGTACAAACGATGCCCTTGACGCCTCCGTGTTTTCTTCAATAAATGCCATTAGTTAGAGTGTTTTCAAAACCATTAGAAAAGAGATATTTTGATTCCTGTCTTTCAGGTTCGGCGGTACGGAGCACTTTATATAGTGTGCATCTACTTCATTGTACAAGGAAAATGGCTTGTAAAACGTGTCTTCAATATCTGACCTATATCTATTTTATCAATAGCTCACTTGAAACTCGGCTCAATTAACGTTACATCAGCAAATTGGTATTCTAAAAGCTCGGCATTTTTCTATAAGGCAGGGGGACGCTAAGCGCAATATTAGTGATGCTTTAATTATGTATGCTTTTAGTGTGCGAATAATATATGAGTGCGGTCGTCCCAAATTCCGTTTTACGTCACATGTAATAAATTATCTACATACACTTCTATAAAAAATAAAAACACTTACATTTATTATTTATCAGATTAGTCAATAGAGAAAAATGAAGTTCTTTGTTTTAACAAACCCGGATCCATCCCACGTATCCAATCACGTAAATTTGTACCGCGAAATCTATAGTTTTCTTTGAGTGAAAAGTGAGAATGCTTAATACAACTCTTACAATGCTATGTCAATTTGTTTTCGGGGGGGGGGGGGTGTCTGATGAGGAGGTTAAAAATTAATTATGACACGCTAATTATTTTTATAAGGCTTAACTCTACGACGTACCTGCTACGTGAGGACAAGCCATACTGGTACCACTCAGGGATCGGTAACTATCATCGGATCGGTAGTCAGCGCTCAGAATACCACGTCCGGGAGCGAAGATATCTACGCATGCGCCCCAATTTGAAAAGTAGACCCTGGCATCATCATCTTGGATCGCGCCAACTGTAATGGCCTATTAGAATTGAGAATTTATTTAGACAAAGAGCAAGCATGAGATAAGAATCTTAGACAATTATCGATGAATAATCGTGAACTGGAGACCTTAATGAAGAAGATTAGAGTTACATACACGTAGATGATCTTTGGAGGGAAATGTGCCAATTCAGCAATCCCGTTTTGGGGAATGTTTTGACTGTGTACTTGGTACCGTTTATGTCACAAGTCCCCCACTCATGCTACCGCAGCAAACATACTTTAGGGTATCATTACTCAAACAATTAACATTCATTCATTTTTCCTGTGTTTTAAATACATGTGCCAGAAATAAAACACAAACTCCTGTATAATGGTATTCTAAACAATAGGCAATCGTAAGTGATTGGTAGCGGTTGTGACATTATTAGAAAGGATGAGATGTTGGCAAATAAGGAGGAGATCAAATTCGTCATGTACTCTTTTGTTTTGGCGTTATGATAATCTTAATCATTGAACTGGTCCATTGTGTTTTTTTTCTTCTTTTCCTTCGTTCGAAAATGATGTGACTAAATTCATTTTTCTTCGATTTGTATCGTTTACATCAACATGTTTGTACATTTTGTATTCATGTTGTAGGGCCTCCACGGAAAACAGTATTTAACTAGAGCCACTCAACTAACAAAAAGACTATTAAATAAATGAATAAAATAAATAATGTGAGAGAGAAATTATATCGATACCTCAGGAGCTCTGGCAGGAGAAGAGGTGCATGCGTCGAGGTCGCTGTTACCAGCCGCTACCACCACTGTTACGCCTGCCCTGTGTAGGTTTCCTAGTGACTCGTCTACAGCACGTAGACCTCCTCCACCAAGAGACATGCTCGCAACGGCTGGACGTGCACCATTACTAGCTACCCAGTCCATGCCTGCGAGTTATATTGTGATAGAAAGGAAAGGATAGGTGGACAATTAGATAGAGGGAAAGATAGAGCGAGTAAAATAATTATGAGTCTATGAAAACCTTAAGGAGAGGTTAATTATTAACTTGTAGAGGCAAATATCGGCCTGTAGGAAATTAATTCTCATCAAAAATCTCACATATGAGAACAATTCGGGAATAGAAGCCGCACAGTGCTACCTCTGAACTTAGGCCTAATTATTATTGGGCAATTTAAAAATCCTTTAAACAAATTTTGTCAATGAATATGTACTGACCATCAATGATGGCAGACCAAGAACCGTATCCATAACAGCCAAGCACTCGGACAGCGTACACTCTAGCGGCCTTGGCAACACCGTATCGCTTGCCTGCGATTGTGCCGGCACAATGCGTCCCATGTCCCTGACAGTCACCGTCATTCCCCTGTCAATTAAGAACATTTCCAACGGTTTAAAGAAAGGCGGATTCTTTCTTTTGGTATATCTTGACCCTAGCACTTACCGTCAATGACTGCTGACCATGACCCAGACCCGTAACAACCAAGGACTCGTACAGCGTAGACTTTAGCGGCTTTGGCCACACCGTAACGCTTTCCTGCAATTGTGCCGGCACAATGGGTCCCATGGCCTTGACAGTCACCATCGTTACCCTGTCAGTTCGGAAAAGGTGAAAATTTTGTTTTACTATCACTGGGTAGTAACGACCCTCTTAAACTCACCATCGATCACAGATGATGTTGACCCTGACCCGTAACACCCAAGAACTCGGACGGCATACACTCTAGCACCCTTGGCGACACCGTATCTTTTACCAGCGATCGTACCTGCACAGTGAGTCCCGTGCCCTTGACAATCACCATCATTACCCTAGTGATTAGGCAGATAAGTGTAAACATATCGAAAGCTACCTGGTGGGGTCATACTGTCGGCTATTCCGGCCATTGGGAAAATTAATTCCTTAAACAAATATCATAATTAACGCATCATCCTGAAAACCATTGGTCGAATGAGTAAATACTGTTGACGGTGACAAAATAATTAAAAGAGATTTTTGGTCAGTTATTAGAGGGCCATAAAAGAAACAAGAATCTTGAAATAAATTTCGTTCCTGGATACAGCTGAATTGTAAAATAATAGCCAGGACAATTTCCATTAAAAGTTATTCCAGGGGGTAGCTATCAGGACATAATCGTTCTCTGGCCTGTGGTTCAATGTGTAGATTTCTGGGTTAGGAAAAACGTAAACTGGGTCGTATTTATGCATATTCTTTTCCCCACAAGTGTGGATTTAGCATTGCATACAGGAGTTCTATTAACTTACAATAGCGTAGTTCATGGCGTCATAGCTGAATTCCGCCCTGCCCTCGAAGTCCTCATGAGTGGTTCTGATCCCCGTATCAAGGACGTATACATTCACACCACTCCCATTACCTAGGAAAGATTGATCAGGTTGAAGATTAGTCGATGTAACTCTTTATCATAACCAACTCACAAGTGAATATGCGATGTAAATCAAACCATAAATCGCTACCTGGAGTTGTGTCTGAGCCGTTTTCACATTATTATTGTTAAGTATTTGGCGTCATCTCTGTTCGGGAGGCGAAAAGCCATCTGAATCACGGTAACCCACGGTATAATTGTAGGAGGACCACTACACCGGGGTTTCCCCCTACTCTTATATGGATAGTGCAGTAGGTTCTTAACGTGCAAAGGTGGTCACTCTCCTCTACACGGGGCCTCAATTTAACGTCATTTAACATGCATGTTTCTGATAATATTCATGACTCATGATAGTGATTACATGGATTATATAGGACTGGATCTCGAATGTTGTCGTCATATTAGTAACTTGCTATCAGGGTTGAATAAACTGTCAATAATTTCGAAGCACTTATGAAATAACTTACCGGCAGGAGTATAGCTATCATCAAAAGGAAGATCCCTTTGGTTGATCCTGTCAAGACCCCAGATCTCTGAAGCGTATGCTACGCCATCTTCCTCTACGTACCTCACAGATGGGTGGGCTCGCACCTGTTTGCGTGTGCGTGTGTGTATGTAGTTTGGTGTGCGGTATGTGTGGGTGTGCAAGAGTATGTGTTTGACAAAGAAATATAGAGAGAAAGACACACAGAGACAGAAAGAGAGAGAGAGAGAGAGATAGAGAGAGATAGAGGGACAGAGAAAGGTAGAGAGAGAGAGAGAGAATGGGGGGGGGGGAAAATAAAAAAAAGAAGGTTTGTTTATATTAAGGCATATCTTATTCCGAACATTTAAAGCACACTTGAAAGAATACATTACTCTCTCACTGATTGATGTGAAAACTATGACATTTGAGAAATGTACCTATCTATCGGAAAAAACATTTCCAACGACTAAGAACAACCTTCGAATATTTAAAAATAAAAAAATAAAAGAAGCTCATGATTCATAATCTGGCGTATCGGCATACATGTAGGAAAGCTCATCCGAAGAAGCGTTGTAATTAGAATGCATTCAGTAATTCAATTCTTTACCTTTTGATATCTAGTGAAATTAATCACATATCTGAAACAACTGACAATATTAAAAACTAGAGCACGGATATTATGTAGCTTAGTAATAGTAGCAGTAGTATTAAATTTCCGTATAACCCAACATGAAACATACGAAGCAAAATATATACATAATAATACATACAGATGGAAAGCCCCGCTCAGCAACAACAACGTACTATCGCTGGTTTTCAGAAGGGTTCAGAGCGTTAAAAAAAAATCTGAAACAGAAAGGACAATTAAAATTTAAATCCATGAGGGAAGAAAACTTACCGCTGCCAATGTCTCTTTGGATAAAGAGATTGCAAATCCGTTGAGTACTCTGTTGTATTCTTTCAGGGGGTTGCTGAAAGGTACTCTCTTCAGCTGGGATTCTTCACGAAGAGACTGCAAAACGCTGGGAATCACTGCATTTTTCTACCAAGTGAAGAAAGAATGTACATGTATTGTGTTTAAAGGTAAAACAAAGTTTTGGTAAGGGGTCATGAATTTGGTTCAAATGAACCAATTGGAAGCGTATGCGATCCTACAATATCCAGTGATCGTTATCGCGGTTGCAATCGAGTCTAAAGTTATGAAATTATGAATATTAAACTCTTTATGTCGTATAGCTCCCTCTCAAGGTCAAGATATTAATTAAGCTATTAAACAATGTTTATTGACTAAAATCGACCGATTAGCTACTCCCGTTTGGAAATAATATATCACAACTACATACTCTGAGATTTTCAAGGTCGTAGCTACCATTGTGCGGCCGTAGGCGCTATTTGAAATTTATCCAAATTTACCGGGAGCACCGGTAAATTTTTATATTCAATTTTCCTCGACAGCAGAACTTTTTTAGGGGCTTAATTTTCTAGTGCTTATAATAAATCTACAGGGGCATCCAAATATATCAAAATTGTAAAAATTCACTATCCACCCAATTTTCAAAATTTCCCCTAAACTTTGTATTACCTTTAATTAACTTTTTCATTGTCAAGGTCTTTTCTCTGAATGTTACGATATTCATTTTTCTATTATCTCCAATAACATTGTTCAGAGAATGCTGATGATAATATAATTCAAAATCTAATTGTAATTCTATTCTCTACATTTATTTCTGGTGGTATTATATATTCATATTTGTATATATGTATATATTCTATGATACAAGTATAATCATTTGTTGTAATATTCATTATTCTCTTATGTTCAAATATATTGATCAGATAGAGGCTGTCGGAGGTCCCCCAAAATGTTTACGATGTTATAATTTTGTTGGAGGTCATTTGTACCATGAATATCACATCTCGCATAGGAATTTTTTTCCACCACACACAGTGTTTCCCTTCCTACTGCCATGTAGTTTTAATCATCACACTAGGGACTTTTAGATTTACACGACGAGAGCGTGGACTGCCGCGTGTTACATTGTGTTAAGGCACTGGGCCGTGCCCGGCAGTGCCTTGAAAGGACGTCACATTACCTTAAAAGGATGTCACACGTGGCGGTCCACGTTCTCGTCGTGTAAATCTAAAAGTCCCTGATATAACTGCAAGCAAATACACGAACATAGAACATAACTAAGCCTTGACTTACACAATTTCGATCATTTACTGTTAATTATGACATTATTGTACATTGACTTGCACCATAACATATTCTTGTCAGAATAAAAAATAATACTCCTTTCAATTGTCAGAATGTTACTTTCCAGTAGGCAGCAAAATAATTTCTGTTCCTTGTTTTATTGACTCATTGCACATAATCTGGTTTTATCCGTAGTTACCTTTAGGACCACAATATACTGTCCCTTGATGGCGTCCTTTGTTCTAAATAAAGAAGCTCGACGAGCGACCACACCAGACACCAAGATAGAGATTGCGAGGATGAAGATTATACCCCGCATCGCTGACGTCATCCTTTAAAAAAAATCAAAGAGAATAATGTATTATGCCGTGGATAGAGCTTGCTTCCCCTGCCTAACATTATTTTGATTGGTTACTTCCGAGATTGATACATCTATGTGTGTTTACTATTAAGAGTTAAGTTTTATACTGATGTAGGTTAAAGCTAAAATTAATCTTTTAAAATGTTGATTAAAACAAATGTGATTCATGCTAAGATATATATATATATTTATATACATATGTTATAACGAATTTACGAATCAGGTGATTTAAGGCGACTTACAGAGTTAGAATTTTGTATGATATTTCTATTTTCCAATATTTCTCTTGCTGCAATGTTAATAATTGTTTAATTTCACCAATATAATTGTCGTTTCCCCCCTAAAATTCTTTCGTGGTGATTTGATATTCTTTTATAAGCGAAGTTGTGGAAAAGGCTAAACAACTCGTATTTCTGATTGAGTTATTGTTTATTTAGGGATAAGAGAACAATGCGGACACCAGCATGATAAGACCAATGGAGGTGTTTGATTTGAAGCAAATGTTCAAAGTTCGTCTTTGATAATCGCCCATTTACTGCAAAATAAATAGAATTTGCTCTAATCAATGCATACCGTCAGGGGCCACTTAAAAAAGGTTCTTAAGACACATTATTCCAATTTAGTCATGATATATTATTATAATGGACTTATTCAAACGAATTGAATATAATTTAACAAATGTAGTCTAGGTATAATTGCCCCGTTCCAAATCTCCGCATACGAGCATATCGTCTTGATTTGTAGATAATGTACTCATTCATATACGTTATATGCACTGACAAAATCAAATTTAACAAATTTAACACATTTAACAAGAAAATCTCAAAGCTTTTCTCAAAACCTTATACAATCCCTTGACGGAACACATTAAATCAAAATGAAAAACCTCTATATAATGGAGTTAAAATAACCCCATCAATTATTGGAGTATACCAATTCAAAGTAGGTCAACCGAACGTTGTTTTTACCTCAATTTTGGAGATAAAAATTAGTACATAACACATTAATATCGTACCGAACGTTTATTTAATCATCCGACATTTTATCAACAAGGATTGCTATTCCTGTAATGCTGTACAATCACATTTCTGTGAATCATAAATACAGAAAAAAACATTTACAAAATATCCTCTTGGCCGTAATGTCCAATTACTAAATTGCCTTCACAAGTTCATTATCCAAATGTGCCTTGGTATTAAATAGAGTAATACTTACGTTATTTAAGAAGAACAATTATTACACCAGCAAATGTCGTTTTCATTCGTAGGCTCAGCAGTCGTATCCCGAACGTGCGCAGGCTGCTTTCAATTTCGGACTAATAATGTATCCACGATTAATCCTAACACTGTTTCAAGCATATAATTATATTATGAACAGATTCAAACTACCGACTTCACATCTTTGCCCTAATAAAGCGATTAGTAGAAAGATTTATCAATCATTTACGCCCCAGGCCGAAGATAATACTCCCTCAACAAACTTAATGAGATAAAGTAGGCCATTAGATAAACCGTTTATTTGTTAGGTATGCATCGTAATGACCGTCGATAAGTCTTTTAAATTCAACAATTTTTATGATATTTGTAGTTGATACTCGTAACAGGTGGGAATATTCATTTATGTTCAACTTGTAGATAAAATAGCGAAGGTTCTGCACTAGTTTGTATTTCAACATGAACGGATATTTTATTCTTAACTATTTGCATTACCAATTCGTTATCCTTGATTTTAGTGGATATTAACTTTAAGCATATCCTGCTGGAATTGAATTTGGAGGGTCAACATTGAAATCAGGTCTTGGTAAATAATCATGCTGTTTAATTCCTCCCTTGATATGACAATCAAATAAAACATTGTATAAGAGATTGCGTATTGCGGACTGTGGCATCTGTCCCAAAACAAAATTTTAATGATACATCATCTAATGGAGTTAAGGACTTCATTCATTATTATGTTTTAACGAAAGTAAAGAAGCATTGTGACTTTGCTGTAAGCAATCAAATTAGATTTAGTGTTAGTTCAGATTAGTCAAGTTTCTTGAAATTGTTAAGATTTAGGCAGATACATGATTCAAGCCCTCAATTATTTTGAGATTTATGGAAACATAAATCAGATTTGATAATTATGTCATAAGTAAGTTATTTCGAACGGATATATCAAGCAATTCAGCTATGTGAGCATTTGATCCGCGATTACATTGATATTGATATGAGTTTTTCTAGTAATTAGATACAGGTTTTCCTCTATAAAACGACTCAGTGTCGAATACTTTGGATTGAGACATCAAAAATCAACCAAGATGTAACTAGATTTATACAAAGTCATAAATAAAAATCCTTACATTGCGTTGCTTTTGTTTTATGATAATCAATTTACTATCAGTAAAAATATTGAAACAGAAATTGATTCATGTTTGATAAGATTAATTTATTCTTACTTTAGAATTAATATTGTGGCTGGCCACAAAATATGTAAGGGACTTTCTCTTTTATATTCATACATTTTGTATTATGTTCACCGGAAAGAAAATATGAAAGGACTAGAACGATGAAAGGGATAATATCATAATATAATTCTAACACACAAGCGCTTACGCGCATACACTGTATCAACACACGTACGCACACACTAACAAACCCACGTACTTCAGAAGGGAACTATAGAAACTTGTTGACAGTAAAAACAACAACGAGATATAGATTTGAATGAGAAATTTATTAGAGATGCATGAAAAATCTAGAACGTGAGTAAAACTAATGATGAGTACCTCTTTTAATATGTTACATTCATCCAAAATGATGTTAAATCTTGTCTGTTTCTTCTTGAATATCTTTTTTTAAATGTGAAATTTTACCCTTAACAGATGTTAACACAAAATAATTGTAGAGTCATTTGTATGCAGATAACTTTATGCGTACTTAACGTCTTCATTCTTACAAAATACATGCCTTAGTAAATGTGATGATATTCAAAATCGTTTAAAGTGCATTATCACCCTTCTTATCAGGAGTTAGATTAACGGAGCAAACAAGAGTCTGCAAAGCACTACGCGTTTAAACAAAATTAATTCAATGTTGCAGTTATATTGTAAAAAGTAATGTCCGTTGCACACGAAGCGTTATTTCTATTTTATTAATCGAGCTCAGGAAAACAATCCACGTGTGTGGGTTGTGACAGTAATTTAACGCAATGTTTCCACCTGTCTTTTTTGCGTTCACGGTTTGTACGATGTCGCTCTCATGCGATGCGTTTAAGTCCGCATAAGTCCTGACGCAGTCGTATGTCAGTAAATGACGCTTCGTGTACACTAGGCATTACACGTTAAGCATGGTTCAATATTCGTTGGGGACGTATAGAAGGAGATTCTCCGAGTCGTGTAGCTCAGTGACTTTGTCTCTGCTAGCTGATTCTAGGATGACGTCACGAAGGCTATCAGGTGATAGGTTGGGATTCAAACCAAGATGGATCGCCGCAACACCTGCCAAAGCGACACAAACAAACGGGAGTAGAAAACATTGATTTCAAAACGTATCAAGTGATAAATGTAGTCTATACAAGTCACGTGTTGGAAAATTGATTTAGACAAAATAAAAAATGAATTTTATTTGTACCTAGTAATTAGCTTGAAAATGATATAAAAGATATTTGTGTTGGCCAGTTGCGCTCGTTGAGCAAAATGGTCCATCAACGGCATACAAGTATTCATTACGCTAGCATTGGTCTTTAGCTTTGGATGACATTTCGAGGTTTTTCATCAAAATATGACAAACCTGCTACGTGAGGACATGCCATGCTGGTTCCACTCAACAGTCGATACCCATTATCAGATTGGTAATCTGCACTTAGAATGCGATGTCCGGGAGCGAAGATATCTACGCATGCGCCCCAATTTGAAAAGTAGACACGGGCATCGTCATCCTGGATTGCGCCGACTGTGATGGCCTGGAGGGGGTAATTGGTATATGAAACAAACATGAAAATATAGGTAGTAATTGAAATGTTACAACACAAAGAGGATAGTTTTCATAAAGGTTAAATCTCTTTACGAAAGTCATGGCGGTAATCAGGCGCGTACTCATGATTTTTTCAAGGGGGGGGGGGGGTTAACATTTATAAATCTGGCCGAAAATTTCGCAACGACTCAGCGAGCCGCTGAATAAGCGGGGGGGGGGGGGGGGGGAGGGGGGAGGGGGAGGGTAAGAGGACACTTTTTTTTTTGGTCTTGAAATTTGAAAATTTGACATTTGGTTACGTTGGGGGGGGGGGGGGTTTACACACATAAAAATACCAAAGGGGGGGGTTAACCCCCACCCCCCCCCCCCCCGTGTACGCGCCTGGCGGTAATTAATTTCGGCATGAACAAATTTGTTGTACAGAAAGAAGAAAGGTTTAAAGCTTATCTGTACAAGTTTAAAGTAGGGATTAGACCATCCTGCAAGGTCAGTGGACAGATTGTTATCTCGTCAACTCAGCTCTCAATTAACATAAGAAAAGAGGATCATGGGGGACCAATGGTCACCGAATAGGCACTGTTTTCTATATAGAGGGAGCAAGTAGCTACAAGTAGTACAGTGTGGCTTTAAAATTAAATGAATGTATGGTAGTTAAAACCATGTTGAGAGAGATAACACAATACCTCAGGAGCCCTAGCAGGCGAAAAGGCACATGAATCTAAATCGTTGTTCATAGCGGCTACTACCACGGTGACCCCATCTCTGTGAAGGTTCCTCAGTGACTCGTCTACTGCTCTGGTTCCCCCTCCACCGAGTGACATACTCGCAATAGCTGGACGTATACCATTACGAGCAACCCAATCCATACCTGAAATATGAACAGTTCATAGGAAGTGAAGTCAGATAAAAACCATGCAATCATCTAATATTGATGGTATAAATTGACTTTAAGTAGGTTTTAATCGAATGTGATTTGCTGATATTAGGTCAAACAAAAATACATGTAATTTGGATCGAAGATGGCGCCTTTCTAGAAAATAACACACGAGCCTCTCTTTAGCAAAGTTTTGATCCAACAGGACTTTTGAAGGCCTTTTCAGCTCTGATTTTACTGCTCTTTGATTTAGTGTTTCCTAATGCCGGACAAGAGATTAAACTCCCCGTCCAAAAACGGTGGATCGATCGAGAAAAAGCAAAGAAAGTTGCCCGTTGATTGTCAGCGATCCAACGCCATGTCTCCGCCAGCCGGCCCCGGCAGCTCCCGGGTGAGTGACGCGGCCGCTGCAGCCCCTGTTTGGTTCATAGAATATGAAAGGCGTTTGGATTCAAAGTTTGATGACCTGCATAAGAGACTGGATTTTCATGAAGCTGCTTGTGAAGAAAAGTTCCAACATCTGGAAAAGGAATTGGCTGCAGCTTTTGATAAGATTGACGACCTTGAGAATAGATCTCGAAGAAACAATCTAATCTTTTTCAACTTCCCTGAAGGTGAGGAGCCTGATTCTGCCAGTGGATGCAGTGAGTTGATTTCATCTTTTTTGGCCTCTATTGACAAGAATCTTGAGCATGTTCAGATCGAGAGGGCTCACCGCACGCCGCCAGGTCCACCATCATCTCGTGGACATCCCCAGAATGGCAGCCAGTACAAGCCGAAGGATCGTCCAATTCATGTTTGCTTCAGTTCGTTTCAAGATCGAGTGAGGGTCCGGAAGGCATGTGTTGCTGCGTTCAAGGAGGGGTTCAAGTACAAAGAGAGATCAAAGTTGTTTGTTGCAGAGGATTTCAGTCATCGCGTTCAGGCTCGCCGTAAAGCTCTCCTGCCTGAGTTAAAGATGTTGCAGCAACAAGGAAAGCGAGCATTCTTTGTATACCCTGCGACAATTAAGTATGTCCAAGATCACCAGCTGAAGGTTCACAAGCCAGGTGTTTGAATTGCAACTGTAGTACACCATAAAAACACTGTGATTATCATAGTGGCTGTCTCGTACAAACCGTCTGACTTTCACAGAAAACTTTTATATTTTACAAGATAACATGCCTTGAACTTAACGCGTTTTAACTTGCTGGACACCAGATTAGTTTAGTGATGTCGGTCTTTTTAAACATATTTTGTTCACTTAAACTTTTTTAGGAATTCTCGGGGTGCCCTGGAGGTGCCTTGTTTTTGGTTACCCACGATTCACCATTGGGGATAATAGTTTTTATTGTTCTTATCCTTGTTGGTACTGGTTCATTATGATTAATTATGAGGCTCTAAGGTTTTCTCATTCTTGCCTCATACCGTTGGCTGCCTTTCCAGTTTGTTTTGTCTTTGGTGGGTGTTTGTGCGTATGCTTTCTTCACTGAGTGTGTGGTGTGTGCCCTTTTCCCAGGGGTCCTTTATCGTGAATCAAATTGTGTACATTTTTAGGATATTACTTGTTTTGTCAACTCACTGTTGCTACTCTAGGTTTTTACTGTTATATGATGTTACAGATTAATACTTTTAACTGCATAGGTCTGCATGACAATTTTAAAAGAAAGAAAGTTTTTAATTTTTTAAGAGAATTTGGGTATGATATAATCTTTCTTCAGGAAACCCACTCTAGGATAGATGATGAGAAGCTGTGGCGTACTCAGTGGGGAGGGGAGGCAGTTTTTGGCAGCTATTGTTCCAATAGCCGAGGTGTGGCTATTTTGTTTAAAGCTTCTTTGAAAATATCAGTCTTATCTTTTCACCTGGATCCTGAGGGAAGATATATTATCCTCCATGTTAATGTTAATGATGTACACTTTATTCTTGTCAACTTATATGGTCCTAACAAAGACTCACCAGATTTTTTTGTTAATGTTTTTGCTAAGTTAGATGAAATAGGTAACTCTCATGTTATTTTAGCAGGAGATTTGAATATTGCGGTAGGCCCTTTAGATTATGAGGGTTCTAATGCAACCCACTCTAATGCTCGTGCCAAAATTGCTTTTAATATGTATGTAGAAGAACTAAGTCTTGTAGATGTATGGAGAAGAGATCATACTCATGATAAGATTTTTACACGCCATCAGAAAATTCCATTTGTTTCCTCCAGGTTAGACTATATTTTTATTTCTAGTGATTTGTTGAATTGCGTAAAGAAATCTAAAATTGTGACTGGTATTTGTTCTGATCATTGTATGGTAACACTAGCACTGTCACTAAATGATTCACCTCGGGGCAAGGGATACTGGAAACTGAACACTGCACATTTGAAACATTCAGAATTTTGCAATTTCATTAAAGACAAAATTAAGGAATTTAAGGAATTTCATGCTGAATGTGATCTAAATTCACATATTATTTGGGATGCATTCAAATGCACAATTGCTGGTCATTGTATGGAGTATTGCAGTAGAAAGAAAAAAGAAAAGAATTTGACTAAGAATAATTTACTAAAGAGTATATCCTTACTTAAAGAAAAAATTGGTTCATTGAAAAAGGATAATAGTTCAAATGGAGAACTGCAAGAATTATATAGCAAATTAGAAGTTGAAGAAGCACAGTTGAATGAACTTCTGGATACTGAAACTGCTGGCTCTATAGTAAGGTCTAGATTAAAGTGGGCTGAACACGGAGAAAAAAGCTCTAAATACTTCTGCAATTTAGAAAAACGGTCCTATGAAAGAAAAACTATACGCCAACTGAAGGCGAACAATGAGCAAATCATCACTGATCCTAAAAGAGTACTTCAGGAAATTCATTCGTTTTATAAAGCTTTATACTCTTCAGAGGTATCTCTTGAGGATAGGGACACTATCAAGGATTTTATCGCCCCTTTGAATATACCTACCTTATCAGATGATTCAATTTCTGCTCTAAACAGACCTTTAACCAAAAATGAACTTTGGACTACTTTAAAGAATATGGGAACAAATAAGAGTCCAGGACTAGATGGCCTTCCTTGTGAATTTTATTTAACCTTTTTCAATGATATCATAGATTTATTACTCCACTCTTATAATTATTCCTTTCAAGAAGGAATTTTATCACAATCTCAAAGAAGTGGAATAATCACGCTTCTTCCAAAAAAGGGTAAGGATCCATTGTTAGTGAAGAATTATCGCCCTATCTCTCTACTGAATGTTGACTATAAATTATTAGCCAAAGTTATGAGCTCCCGTTTGAAGTCTTGTATAAATTCTTTGATACATACAGATCAACAAGGGTTTATGAAGGGACGCAACATTGGGGCCAATATTCGGGTTATAATTGATTTAATTGAATATACAGACTATATGAATGAGCCAGCTACAATTATTTTGTTAGATTTTGAGAAAGCGTTTGATAGAATAGAACATGATTATTTATTTTCAGTCTTGGACTATTTTAATTTTGGAGACAATTTTATAAGATGGATAAGGACTTTTTACAATGATAGAACTAGTTGTGTGTTAAACAATGGTTTTATGTCCAATCCGGTTGCAATTAAAAGAGGAATATTCCAGGGGTGCCCAATATCCCCTCTTTTATTTATACTAGCTATTGAAATTCTGGCTATTTCAGTACGACACAATCCGGGGATAAAGGGAATTTCAGTTGGCAACTTTGAACAGAAGATAAGTCTTTTTGCAGATGACACAACTTGTTTTTTGAATGGGGAAACAGTTTCCTTTAAACATTTATTTGAAACGTTGACTCAGTTTGCAAAATTTTCAGGTTGTCGCATTAATTTAAGTAAGTCAGATGCAATTCATATAGGAAAGCTGAAAGGCAGTACAGTTATTCCACAAGATGCATTAGGGTTGAATTGGAAATCAAAAACGTTTAAGGCTTTAGGAGTGGTTTTCTCATTGAACACAAAAATGCTTTACGAACTGAATTTTGTTCCCAGACTTGTCATTATAGAACAGATTTTAAATTGTTGGCGGCATAGAAGCCTATCCTTGTTGGGCAAAATTGCTGTTGTAAAGTCGCTTTTACTCCCCCAAATGTTATTTTTGTTTTCAGTATTATGTATTGACCTGCCAAACTCTTTCTTTAAAAGATTAAATGGTTTGCTTTTTAAATTCATTTGGAGCAATGGCAATGACAGAGTTAAGAGAGATTTATTATGCAATGATTATGAAGAAGGGGGTCTAAGGATGATTAATCCTTTAGTTTTTGCACAAGCGCAGAAAGTTTTGTGGATGGCTAAACTATTAGACGATAAATATGAAAGTTGTTGGAAAACAATAGAAATATATATTCTTTCTACCTTTTGTGATGACCATCTTGCCCTTTTTAAGGCAGATGCCCCTGATTCGGTTTTGGCAAAACTTAAAAATTGCCAGTTAACAGCGTCTATTAAGACATGGTATTTATATAGGCAAGAGATGAAAAGAGAACTAGGTTTATGTCAGTTTCATTTACAAGATTTTATTTGGTGGAATAGAAATGTAAGATTGCAATATAGAACACATTTTTTCTATCCAGTTTGGTATGAAAGGGGTATTCATTTCATTTTTCAATTACATAATGGTTTTGGTAATCCCAAAACATTTGAAGACCTCGTAATTGAGTTTGACATTCCTATTAGAGACCAAAACAAAATATGACTCCCTCATGAATGGCATATTTTTGGAGTGGTTTGATAATTCTCTTAATGTGGATGAGAATATATTTAATCAAATTTTTAAAGATCTATTAAGTCAAAAGAAAATGTCTAAGTATACATATAATATTTTGCTGAAGAAATATAGTTGTACTAATGCCAAAAGGGAGAGTAAATGGGAGGAACTATTTGGCCATCAACCCAAAGAGAAGGATTGGTCGATTATTCATACGAGTAACTTTTGTTGCACGATTGAGACTCAGTTAAGGAGTTTTTATTTCAAAATTTTCCATAATGCTATTGGTTTTAATGCATTTTTGTTCAAGATTGGGAGAAAGGAGTCTGCTAATTGTTGTTTTTGTTCAGATTTTCCAGAAACTTTAGATCACTTGTTTTGTGACTGTAGGAGAGTTGTACCACTGTGGGAAAAATTGGTGGATAAGATTAACACTGGCACTGATCACAGTTATAATCTGACTTTGTCAAAATTTAATTTTTTGTTTGGGATACAGTCAAGGGACAAATACGCCTCTTGTATAAATTTTCTCTGTTTATGTTTAAAATATTATATTTACTCATGTAGGTTTCAGGGAAAAGAACTTATTTTCGAAGCATTTGTTTCAATGGTAAAGTTCAAACAAAAAATAGAATATAAAATTGCCCAAAAGAAAAATAAGTTACAAGTCCATTTTAAGAAATGGTCTATCAAGTTTAACTGAAATTTAGGAGTAGTCTTGCAAAGCTCTGTTGTCATTAACATCTTCATTGACTTTTTGAAATGTAAACTTGCCCTCTGGGAAAGTATGTGAGTGTGTGTGTGTGTGTGTGTGTGTATGTTTATGGGTGCATGAGTGCGTGCCTGTTTTGTAGTTTTAAGATGATATTATATTTTATATTGCTGCTTTTACTCTGTTAATTTTTCAAAAATAACAATAAAAACAGAAAAAAAAAGAAAAAAAAATACATGTAATTTCATGTAACTGTATGCAATGAAATGATTTTCCAAGGAGGTTAGGGTTTCATCCAGTGATGAAGCATGAATTAATGGTTTCTAAGACGACCCCATTGAGAAACTATTCTTCCTTCTGCACAGTCATCTAGACTACAAATTTTTGATCAGACATTGTCCAAGTTAAAGCATTGCATTCACTCATGCTTTATTATCAAAGAAAAAAAGTGATATTTTTAATTTAGTTTACTGACCATCGATAATGGCAGACCAAGAGCCATAGCCATAGCAACCAAGAACCCGTACGGCATATACTTTAGCAGCCTTGGCAACACCGTATCGCTTGCCAGCTATGGTACCAGCACAGTGCGTCCCATGCCCTTGACAGTCTCCGTCATTGCCCTGTCAGAAGAAAATAAGATACACTTTTGTCATTGTCTTTCTTTCGAAAAGGGCCTTATAATACGAAATCATCTATGACTAGCGACAGTTGCTTAGAAAGAGAAAGAAGAAGAAATATATATATTTTTTTAAATCGATGGGGGCACAAGGGCGTAAGGGCATAATGATAATGGAGAAACGACATGCTTAGGGATTTACTTGAATGGAAAAAGAACGCAAAGGGGAAAGACGACGACCATTTAAAACTGGGATAGAGTCTGATTTGATAGGTGACGTAACACAATCAGAAGGCTCAGGATAGAGAAGGATGGAGAAATGACTAACCCAAAAAAAAACTCGGATCAGTGACAAATGACATTTTTTGTTAAAAGCTATCAAAATCCTAGGCTTGCTTCTGGGTTATCAGCAGATTTGTCACAGATTTTTGTCGTTTGTCATTGAAAAAAGGCTTTGTGAAATGGGGCCCAGCTAAATTTGCAAATTTGGACTTGCTCTCTGGTAAAGTAAGAATAAGAAGACGACTACAACTAAGAGGAATGAGAAGAACGAAGAGGAGGAGGAGAGGATGGTGGGGGAAAGGAGAAGTAGAAGAAAAGGCAGGAGAAGAAGAAGAAGAAGAAGAAGAAGAAGAAGAAGAAGAAGAAGAAGAAGAAGTAGAAGAAGAAGACGACGAAAAAGTAGAAGTAGAAGAAGAAGAAGAAGAAGAAGAAGAAGAAGAAGAAAAAGAAGAAGAAGAAAGAAGTAGAAGAAGAAGATGCACTTACAATAGCGTAGTTCATGGCGTCATAGCTGAATTCCGCCCTGCCCTCGAAGTCCTCATGAGTTGTTCTGATCCCGGTATCAAGGACGTATACGTTCACACCACTCCCATTACCTAGGAAAGGTTGGTTAGATGGAGAATTGCTACTTAGATTTTTAATAATCATAAGAAGACATCACCTTTAAGACTCTCCCGACAATTCAACTAGTATGAGTGCACGTCGCACTCTAAGCAGACTTACTAGCATGAATTTTGTCGAGATGCATATCTAGTTGTATTGTGCAATTTAGATAATCAAGGTAGTCTACAGGGTCTTAAATAAGGGGGGGGGGGCTTTTAGGCAGTTGTTGTCGAATTTCCCCGCCCTTTTAAAGGCGAGGGATCACGTCCCTAACACCCCGCGTTTTAACGTCCTTGGAATAATTATGTAAAGCTAACCGTCATATTTCATCTACATTTACACTGTTTTGACTGAAATGTTACACATTTACCAATAGGAGTGAAGCTGTCATCTAGAGGAAGGTCCCTTTGGTTGATCCGATCCAGACCCCATGTCTCCGAACCATACGCTACGCCATCTTCCTCTACGTACCGCACAGATGGGTGGTCACGCACCTGTGGGGAGGAGGCGGAGGTGGAGGAGGAGGAGGAGGAGGAGGAGAAGGAGAAGGAGGAGAGAGAAAGAGAGAGAGAGAGATAGAGAGAGAGAGAGAGAGAGAGAGAGAGAGCGAGAGAGGGGGTGGTGGGTAATTTCAAGTTGTTTTAAACAGCAACAGTCGATGTAGAGAAAAAAAGACATTACTTGAATAATTTAAATTGAAGTTGGGTATACATTCTACAGCACCCAGAAATTCATTATAAAGCATAGTTATGAAGACAAAAAAGAAGACTTAATCATGTTAAGCACAAAATATTCACGTTATCGGGAAAGCACCCAAGAGCATTACACAGCTTAAGTATAATCGGTCTATACATTTCATCGAAAAAAAATCTCAACTTCTTGATTCAAGAAAAAATATATTTAAGAGGGTTACTCACCACTGCTAAAGCTGTTTTTGACAGGGAGATGGCAAATCCGTTCAGTACGCTGGTGAATTCTTTTATCGGATTGTTAAAAATTACCACTTTCTGGTTGGATTCTTCGCGAAGGGACTGAAGAACGTCTGAAAGCACTGCGGTTTTCTGCAAAATTAAGACAAGTACACTTCTCAGTTTCAATATTGATTAATTTGTTTAAAAGTAACTAATATGTTGTTAATGATGGACGTGATATCCCTTTTTGAGAATTAAAGTTGATAACAAAGTTATGAACCTATACAGAAGTAAGTAATATCGAACTGCATCAAAAAAATAGAAGAGTTAAAAAAATATATTACCAATGATGCAAATATAAATCTGTAATTAAGTGTTAAAAGATACCTGTCCAAATGGTTGTGTGATGGCTATGGCAACTACAGTCTCGTTTGTATATGTTCTTTAATTTCATGGAATGAATTAACTTAGCGTTCTTGCATTCTGTCGTAAATTTTATCACATATCTGTCTCTAATATACTATTTGATCCTGGAATTTATCCTTTCGGTAATTATTTACAATTCTCCACATTACGAATCTCTAGCAATCACCTATCTAGGTTCAGCTTTAATCTTTCAATGTGTAAGACAATGAGTATTTCATACGTACTTGTTTAACATTTAGTTACCTTTAGGACCACAATATACTGTTCCTTGATGGCTTCACTTGTTCTGAGTAGAGGAGCTCGACGGGCAACCACGCCGGACACCAAGATGTAGAATGAGAGGATGGAGATTACACCCCGCATTGCTGACGTCATCATGAAGGTTGATCCTTGTTTTTTCTCTTCAAAATATGAATATTGATATGTTCGGAGATTTCTTTTTTGTCCTGATGTGCTGAGAATAAAATAACGATTTGTCCAGTCTTTTCAAGTACATGCATTTGTTGTCAATCTTTGTCTATTGACTATTTGATGTTTAGCCAATTTGCCCAGTTACCTGTTTGCCAGTATATAAAAAAAATGTCGCTTAATTTTGCTTCGTTATCTATATCACCTTTTAAGTTGGACCTACATGTTTCAAGTAAATGACCAAAGTTCAGTCTTTACGTAAACAGAACAATATAATGTAACGACAACCCTCTTCAAATGGTAGATACTGGTGGAATACGTAATATAAGATGTGATTGCAATACAAAATAATGTTTTTCTTCAGCCAAATCGCTTTTAATTTAAAAAAAAGAAAAAGGAAAAAAGTATGAAATCATATGGGACTGCTCCGAAATGAAATATAGATTTTCCTTTGGAATTAGACATGCCTTTTTTACGAGATGAACATATAATGATAAAACTCAAAGGAATTAAGGTATTGTAAATTTTGTTTTTATGTATATTGTGATGTATTAGTTATTTGTAAACGATTTTCATAATGACGTTTTTAGAGATAAGGAGCACGTACACTGTACATTTACGGTTTTAATTGATTCGTATGATATCTTTTGATCATACAACTATAAAATTCTTAAAGCACATATAATGCAAATTAAAGTCACAACCTCGCCGGGGAGCATGGCTTTCCTTCTTTGTTCTTTCGAAGCGATCTGAACAAGTAATGATTGCAGGTGCTTACAGAACCGTAGCTCAAAAATCTGGATTCCAGCAGGTAGTAACGATACTGTGCCAAGGAATGATCTAATTTGTTTATACTTACTGTATTTTCGAAGACGATTGTTACGATTCCAGCAGTAATATTCCAATCTTTGATACCCAGACTCTAGCCTCCTGTAAATATCTGAAACAAAAAATATCCACACTCTACGTGCTCTGCAGAGTCCCGATTGACAAGCCATGAACAAATTTACATAACTTACGCTATACATTTGGACTCCACACTCTATTTTCATACAGCGATTAGGGGTAGGGTTTATCATCTATTTACACGACTAACAAAAGATTTTCTCGTTCAAACAATCGTAATGGGGCCATTTAAAATTCCAAAATGTTATTTGTTTATGTATGCCATGTATATATTATATCTAGGGGAATGCCTTAGAAGACGTTTAGGGTGTTAATCGATTACCCCCAAAAAGCAAACTTAAAACATACAAGGATATTTTAGAATAAAAGCTATTTGTTTGCGAATTATGTTGAAGTTTCTCCGAAAACCTTTAAAAGGTCATCTAGACGATTCATGTCTACGTCTATAGTACTGAGTTTCTGTAAATGGTAGATGCTATTTCTAATAAATGTCTTCAAGAATGTCTTGAAGAATATGATATAATTGTAAGTATGGCACTCTCTAAAAGGTAACAGTTTTTGAAACAATAAAGCCACAACCAAATGCCTTAATATAAGGTGATTTTATTGAAAAGTCAGATTTACAGAAAGAAAGTTTTCAATCATCATGCTACGATGTAAAGGATAAGAGTAGAATTGGTTTTAAAAATACATATTATTGCCGAAGATTCGTTTAGTAGAAAAAAAAAGAAAATCAGAAACATGGTTAGAAAAATAAATCTAAGGAATAATGACTTAGTAAGACTATATTTATATATATATATATATATATATATATATATATATATATATATATATTCCATGTCATTAATTCGGCAATTATGACGCAAAAGAATATACACACGTTTTATCATTTTTCTTTAGTTTTCTTAATCTGGATGTATTGGGCTGTGTATGGAATGGGCTGATGTTGATTCCACGGGTCATACTGGTAATAGATTTTAATTTAACACTAGCTGGATTTTCTTGACATTATATATTATCTGGCTTCTTACATTATATAGTTAAATTATTAAACACCATTATTTAATAACCTTATTGCACAACTACAGTATAAATGATAATACAACTTTCATTCCTAGAAAGAATATTACTTTTACAAAATCGGATAATAAGAAAGTTATGAATTTTTGATGACATGAAACTTTGAAAATCACAAGACAACTTGGGAACTCACTCATGAGTCTATGACGTCATGACCTCACCATCCAATAATTATTTTCTTTATATTGATGATATAAATTTTCCTATTTTCTCCCTAAAAATCTTATTTCTTTATACTAGCATCTAAGTTAGGTTGATAGTAATATCTTTTTGTGTGGATGCACTAATATAGAGTAATTTTTTTCCCGGTTAAATCATGAAAAATGTGAATTTTGATAAACTATTTATATAAAAATCAATAATTATGAATATGCAATATTCGTAGAGGGCAGTAATTCCATTGTTCAGTCGGAGGACATATTGTGTATGATCGAATCTCTTTGCGTTAACATGACAAGAAAATGTCCTGCTAATGACCATGTCTACTTTAAATAATGACTCTATTTTCACTTCATAATTATGTCTGTCTAATGACGCTGTAAGGTATATACAGGTGTATATATATATATATATATATATGTATATATATATATATATATATATATATATATATATATATATGTATATATATAATTTGATACGTGGTGTGGTCTAATCTAATAGTATGTTATATTTCTTGAAGCATTCTTTTTTTCCTTCTGTTTCTGTTGAAACGACCACTGGTATTCTTTTAATAAGCATCGTACTTTATAGTTCAACTTCGAACTAAAACATCCCCATGCATCAAGCATTCAATAATAAAGTTAACAGTGTACAAGTAACATTCATTAGCGCCTTGTTGTCTGTCCAAGCCAACACTACCAGGGGAACCGGGAAGTCCTTGCACTAAGAATGTAGGAGTGAGAGAGTACAACAGTCAACCTGCTGAACGTCATTCATCTATACTATGTACATAATTAGAGCTTTGCATTAACGGTATTGGAAACTTGTATTCGATTGTGGGTGCTGTACTTTCCTTCAGAGCATTGATTCATTCTCAACCATTTCACACTTTGATCCTTTCATCTTCACTCTGTCTGGTGATGTCGTCTTTGACCTGGATGATGTCGTTGCGGATACCTTCTCAAGGCATGTACAATAGTCCCGCCAGAGCTTGAAGACACGCGTGTTGCAGATGAAGGCAATGAAGATATAGACTCCCTGGAGAGAGCCGATGATGTTATAGATATACCAGAGAACTGTGACGTCAGCAAAGCCAGCTACGAAACCCACTATCCAGGTGAAACCGAGCAGTGTGGACATCTGTTTTAGGAGAGGACAGAAACAAGTAAAGAATATGGCCGATCAGCACCCGAGCATTACATGGATCTGATATTGTAATTCATGTATTCTATACATAAGTGTGCCAGAGTTGTCATTTTGTAGCAAAGATTATAGATGGATGATAAGTTTATCGAGATATATCAAAAATAGAACATATTGATACAATTGCTAGCTAGTTTCGTAAAGGTTTCCATGATAGGTAAACATGCTGTCAAATATTACATAAAACCAAGTTTTCCATTATTTGCTTTTTGCTCAGGCATTTCATAAATGAAAGAAATCTTCTTCTAGATTTTGTTTGATATTATACACTTCTATATATACCCCGTGTACTTTGACTAATGAATACTCACCTTTACGTAAATCAAAAGGTCAGATCGGAGACTAGAATATTTGCTCTTGTGTTTGTTGACAGGGCTCATTCTCTTCTGAAGAAGACCGGCAACTACCATGACGAACAAAATGAGATTGACAAAAAGAAAAGAACCGACGGGGATTACAAAGACATACAAATTGGCCCTACCATCACCGATCCAACAGAAAACTGTCGTCCTGTAGGTCATGTTAAAATGTGGAAGCTTGGTGCCGCTGAAGTAGATTCCAAGGCAAGGAACAACCACAAGGAATGGACATCCCCAGGCAAACAGGAGGAACCTTGAAAGTACAGTAGCGCCCTCATCGGTGAGGCCAAATTTCGTTGCTATTCCGAATCGACGGTGTAAATCGAAAGCAAGAGCCGTTGTGTGAGAGGAAACTGCGAGCCACATGTAATGACCCAAGATGGCAAATGAGAGGCACATATTAGAATTCATCGCGGCTAGTCCACCAAATAAGAGGACAGATTGGGCAAAGATCATACTTATGCAGAGACTCATGATTAGTGTGCTCGATATGGCTTTCCGAAGAAGGTTGAATTTCAGATAAGTAACAACTGTTAGGATAAGAGCAATTATAGACAATGAAGTTCCGATGTGACTTATAATAGACAGAGCGGAGTTAGTACGAAGAAATCCAGCAACAGACTGATCATTTACCAAGACGTAAGAGCAAACTAAAATTGTGTCATTTCCAACATCCAGATAGTCATTCGGCGCCAGGGTTATGTTAAGAGGCGAGTAAAGATAAGATCCATTGCCAAAGTCAACAAAAAGTGATACGTTCTTTGATACTAATGCACAAGTTTCAGATGGAACTTCACATCCTTGTAAACTTTCTCGTTTTAAGTTCATCTCCGATGATTTGATATCGTATTCAATTACATAGAGATATTCCACAAGGCTGTATTGTGTCTCTCCAACGACAAATACCTGTCTTGTTGAATTTTGGTACGATTTTATAACTTTATCTTCAGACACGATTCTGTTGGGACAACTTTCATTTAGGTTGCTGCATCCAATAGATATCATGAAACTCAAATTGCTGCATATGTCATTCACAGAAGAGTTTTGTGGGCTTGTGGAAAAGAATACACTATCCAGGTTTTCTTCCGAAACATCTACATTCATTCTAAGGTACCCCCAAATGTCCAAGGTCTGAGTACATACCGTGAATGAATCATTCCCCTGTATTTCGGCTTGGAACCTACTAACGCTAAGATTCACTGAGGATATATAGTTGCCACTGATTATAGACATTACGTAATCTTTTAAAAGCATATCAGGATGACAATTTGATCTGTCTACCACATATGTGCACCTCACTTCGATAAGCAAAGGCATTGTGTCATAGAGCGTACAATCCGAATTCACGGAACGCCTTTGACAAGTATCATTCATCAGATCATATCTCACTGGGCATGTTAGGATTGAGTCTTTGTTAAACTGGTCAAACGTTTGATCATCTGAGCCAAAAACGCTGACTGGGGGTCTTTTCTGGGGGAGTCCTCGACCAGATAAAAAATCAAACTTCACAGAAATGGACTTACGTATGGGTTTACTTATAATAATTTCATCATCGAAACGATTTAAGTTAGAAGGACAAGTTCCGGAAACCAAATTTGAATAGATTTCCTCCATCGTTTGATTGTAGACTGAGGCTTTGTGACACATAAAGCAGTGAGGGTTTTTGAAGATACCGACAACACCTTTGTACGACTCACAAGCTTGCGCCAAGAAAATAATCGTATCATTCTTTGGATCTACGTCGCATGAAACGATTGCTGAATTTCTGCATCGCCTAGCTGCTGTTGTTGACTCTGGCTTCTGGAAGTACCATCCAGGGCAGTCCTTCATAATATCACCGATTTCTTGGGCAGAGAATTCACTTCGTGATAAATTTGAGTATTCTTCAGAGACACATGTATTAAGGTCGATTTTCCAGGGTGTAATGTCACTGATATTCTTGTTGTTACATACAGCACAGTACACATTCTTAAATGTGATACTCTTCAAATATTGGACGGGGATTGAGGTCAGTTTATCTTCATCCACTGCCTGCCCCTCACACTTGGCTTTCATCTCTTCATTACTCCATCGCACATCACACTGGCTCACCATCCAATACTTGTCATTGTAACGGGGATTACCCGCTGGTTGCTCGCAGGAGAACTGACTTGGATCGATGCCTTTAGTCGCTTCACGGAAGGCGTCATCAACAAGGTTCGTTCTACACTCATTAAGATAGTCGATACAACAGTCCTTGAAATAAAAGCAGTAAGGATCACAATGGCATCCTCCCAGCGACTTGTAGCGGGTAGTAGAACATGATTCGTCGTCGTTGCAGAGAGAAGAGGCTCCGCAAATTGGGGCTGTCCAACCGTTTACTGTGAAGTTACTATACGAATTATGGGGACTGCCTGAAATCGATACAGAAATATGGACAAAAATATGTTAAAAAAGAAACATGTTCGTGAACCGGTAATCTTTCTAAACATTAAGCCAGCCCCTCGAATTTGTATTTTCCGGATTGCTGTTTTCCTAGACTGATTATTGACTTGTTTCCAGTGCTTTATGACATGGTGGTATCATTAATATTTTTTACTTCACCTTTGTTATGCTTTTTAATTTTCTCCGATATCCAGGTCGTATACCATCGTACATTGTATACAATACATATTTGAGAAAGTCGAAGTGCTCGTACAGACGAGACTAGTCATTTGTGTATTTATCGTGCACGTAAACACTGTAAAAAATGTTTGTAAATTTTACAATCCACCGGCTGTAAAACTCGACGAATATTTATAGTGTACGTCTTTTACAGTGAAAGGCCTGTAAACTAGAGTGTGACGTCATAGTTATCATGTCGGAGCGACTTCGACGCCAAAAAGTTGTAAAAAAATGTACTGGTCAAAATTAATGTTTAATTCGCGCGCTAGATATTGGTTTATAATTACGGTAATATTGCTGTTTTTTCGCGCGCGCAAGCGCAATGAATAGTATGTATAAAATCTACGCGCACTGCATCGTCGTAACTTGGCAACGCGAGTCGAATATGCAGCTAAGCCGTCCCGACACGAGCGAAACCTGATTTGTAGGTAAGAAATCGGCCTAAATCTTATCCATCTTTACAAAATTATTTCAATTTTTAATTACATTTCAATTACTATATATACCTTACGTCATTATTAAAATAATTTTAATACCCCTGACCTCTTCGAGTTTGACATGACTCCAATTAAACCGAAAGATGTTAAAAATGTGTTAAGACGGAAAAAAGCTATGTCAGCACCTGGAAATGATGGCCTTATGTACGGAATGATAAAACATTTGGACTCTGTGCACCACTTCCTTGCAACCCTGTATAACAAGATTCTTGACTCTGGTGACCCGCCCGAAAGTTGGTCAGAATCTAAAGTAACGCTCATATATAAGTCAGGGGATACCGATAAGCCAGAAAACTTTCGTATGATTTCGTTAACATCTTGTATCAGCAAAGTTTTCCACCAGATTATTGCTGAAAGATCAATGTCCTATCTTACCGAAAATAACTTCATCGATAAAACAGTTCAAAAGGCTTTTATTGACGGAGTGAACGGATGCATCGAACATAATATTGTTCTACATGAAATTTTGAGTGACGCAAAGTGCAAGAAAAGATCGCTTCACACTACATTCTTCGATTTGGCGGATGCATTTGGCAGTGTAAGCCACCAGCTGATCACATCATCAATGGAGCGTTACGCAATACCGATGCCAATTGCGAGATACGTAGCAACGCTGTATTCACGATTGAAAGACAGAGTAAGAGGCCCCGGATGGATAACAAAACCCTTCGAATTCAAGCGCGGAGTATTTCAAGGGGACCCCCTGTCTCCTACAATTTTCCTAATGTGTTTTAATCCCGTTCTAGAATATCTGAAGGAACATCAGGATCAGTTCATGTACAAATGGGGAGACAGGAAAATAATAACGACACCCTACGCGGACGACTTTAATCTGATAACGGGGAACAAACTACAACACCAAAAACTCATGAATGGCATCAACGACCGATTGAAAAGTATGGGCTTGACATTGAAACCGAGAAAGTGTTCATCTTTGTCTTTAACGAGTGGTAAACCAAATATAGTAGACTTTACTATCGGAAGCGATGTAATATCCTCAGTCCACGGACATCCAATTAAATTTTTAGGATCACTCATCACATTCTCGATGAAAACTTCTGAAATCTTCGAATACCTGAAAGGAAAAATAGAATCCACTCTCGAAAATATTAATAAGTGTAACATTCGAAACGAATATAAATTATGTATACTCACTAGATATGCACTCCCATCTCTCCGTTACATGCTTACCGTTCATGATGTCCATGCAACGCATCTGAAATCTCTTGATATAATATTAGATAGATATATTAAGATGTGGTTAGGAATACCGTCACGTGGTGCCAATCTTGCTGTGGTCCACGATCCTGATGGCTTAAACATACCTTCCATTTCGGACCTTTACCGTACCTGTCATTGTCTGGCTTACAGTAGATCTAGGGTCAAAGGCGACGATGTTGTAAATCACGCCCTTGACCGAAGACTAGAGAGGGAAAGGGGATGGTCACGACAAACGTCGTTCTCTTTGGAAGCACATGAAATTCACTCAAAAATACCAGGCTCTGTAAGCTGGAACCAGACAAAAACTGTGATTAAAAAAGCAGTTCAAGATGTATGTAGAGAAAATTGGAAAAGAGTGATCGAACCTTTACATGTTCAGGGAGAATTCATGAAAGTTGTTCATATGGAAAGTACTGATGTAACCTGGAAGTCGATTATTTATAACTTACCTCAGAGTGTAATGAAGTTCAGTGTTAATGCAGCAATAGATAGTCTTCCTACTAACAAAAACCTGTACCGGTGGGGAAAAAGAATATCTGATACATGTAACCTTTGTAATTGTACTGGCACTCTGCATCATGTTCTTAATAACTGTGAAAGAATGCTCGACCGATATACCTGGCGCCACAATAACATACTACGCATCATGCTCAAACACATTAAAAACACTTCAAACAATTCCACCAAAGTATATGCAGACATAGAAGGAGAAAGCATCAATGGGGGCACCATACCACCAAACATAATACGTACCCAACACAAACCAGACATCTGCCACATTGTCAACAAAAATAAGGACATTATCATCATCGAACTCACAGTCCCCTTCGAAACTAACATTGACAAAGCACATCAACGGAAACAAGACAAATACGCAAGCCTCACACATGAAATAACATCAACAGGGTGGAAGAGCAAACTAATCTGTATTGAAATCGGTTCACGTGGACTCATAACCCCACAAAATAAATACCGCCTAAAGGAAATCCTCAAAATCACTGACTCAACTAGGTACCCAGAATCCAGGGACGAAATATTGAAGGCCGTTCTTTTTAGTTCTTATGTAATATTCCAAGGTAGACGTGAGCCAGCATGGCAATTTGATCAATACCTTTAATTTATCAATCTATATACATTAATTTTTCATATTTGTTTTGTCAATGAACTTGTAACCATTCTGTACCAAACTGACAATATTTACCGTAATACGCAATTTATATCGATTCAATTATACACTATTCATTTATGTATCTTGTATGGGGATCTTCTAGCTTCCTCACCATAATGTTACAATCTTCTTCTTTTACCCTGTTCTGTACTATACCACTTCTGTTTTCCTTTCCTTTTCTCCTTTTCTCCTTTTCTCCTTTTCTCCTTTTCTCCTTTTCTCCTTTTCTCCTTTTCACATCTTCCCTTTCGCTCTCTCTTTATCCTAGTGCTCCTTGTTATCACATATATTATTACACTGTAACTTGTATTATTGTTAATGTACTTTGCTATTGTATGTATTGTTTATTATAACCTGCCGCCTGAACCCACTGGGTTGACGGACCTGGTTTTTGTGTACATGATCTCTAATAAAGACTTGATTTACCACCACCACTACCACCCACCATTAGAACAAATTAGACATGTGAAACAACCGTAGCGATCAACGTGAGAATCGTCATGTACGTTTGATTGTGTAATGCATGAGTATGCGTATGGTATGGCGCCCCAAGTTTGCGCAGTGCCCTAGCTGGCCTTGCATGTCTGCATGCGCACACTTCTTCTTAAAATTTCATATTTTTTGCCCTATTTTTGATGAGATTTATGGCACACTTACTCTTCAGAATATTAAAATCAAGTTTTTGGAATTCTCGTCGAATTTTAGAGATCTAAGTCAAATTTTAGCATACAATGATACATGTAACTAAGAATGTAAGATTCTAGGCCGTACACCCCTTAATTTTGATAACTACCCCCGTAAATCTACCACAGAGACAACTACCATAGGAAAACTACCCCACACAATAGCTCTGAAGATATTACCCATAAGTAAATTACCCACCCCCTATGACATTTACTTGGGGTTATTTTGTGAATTTGAAGGGTGTATAGGTTTTTGGTTAATTTTCCGAGGTGATAGTCTTAGGGATAGATGTGTCCTGGGCCCTGTAACATAAAGATCAACTTGAATGATCCCGCTACAATGAAAGTTGACTATGTATTGTGTCTATCTGTATCATAAATCTGATGGGTAGTTTCTATTAATTGTAAAGTTACAATTGATTGAAGGAGATACGAATAATTTAAAGGAGATGTGATTGATCGTGGGGAAATAAAATTAATCGTAACTTGTTATACTACATGGTCCATGCAGATATAGTAAATATAACGTATTTGAAAACAACTAAACTAAAAGATCTTTAATCATTAAAACATTATCTTTGAGATCGTAATAGTTGATGAATGGTCCGACTGCCAACAAATTTAATCATCCAGAAAGAGGCGAGTTTCTTGGGGCCCAAATTTAAATTCAGAGCAGGATTTCTCGTTAGATGTTATGAAAGTTGGCAAAATTGACAAAAAAGCGCTATAGCAACATCATTTTAGTTAAAGATAACGAACAGGTATAGTATCACGAATTTGATAAAGATGACATCAGTCAACATGTCAAAATTGTCATGCACTCTCATCAAAATATATGAAACATGAAATCGTTTTGACGAACAGACGATAACGTCTTTTTGCAACATTTTAGATCGGATTTTTTTATTCATAAACGTCATTCAGTTCAGTTACATATCGAATAACAGAATCAACAATCATAGCCATCAATTGTAAATGTTTAGGCCTACATCATTATTGGAGTAAATGCAGTCAACAACTTACCAGCTGCTAACATGAAACTGAAGATCAAAAGCAAGTACACGCTTTGAAACAAAGACGCAAAATGATCCATTTCATGAGCCATTTTGATTCACCTGCACATTTCGTAGGACTTAGAGTAATGTCTAGAATGATGTTGTACAATATAAAAAATTACGTGCAACTCACAAAGAAATCAACCGAACAAACAACGAGAGGACGAGAGAGAGATATTTCTATAGAGAGAGAGAGAGGAAGGATAGGGAACAAACACTTTTGTTAGTAGCAGTTCCGCTCCAAAAATGCGAGTGATCACAATAAAGATCTCACATTTCTCAAATTTCTCATTTCTCTTGTAACAAAAAGGTTCAATTATATATAGCTTTTCATCGCCTATCGTAACCTCGATTATTCAAGTTCGGTAGTTGAAGTTCAAAAAAGTTCGCTCAGGCAAACAACAATATCATCTTTTCAATGTGACTATGGGTTAAGAGACCATAATATGACAGTGTGAATTCTACGCGACATCATGTATATCATATGAGATGGTGCAGAATCGGGGGACGTGGGTTGTACAGGCCCCTTCCTCTCACAACGCTTGACGAAGAAAGGAGGAGGAGAGAGAGAGAGAGAGAGAGAAAGGGAGAGTTAGAGAGTGTGAGAGAGAGAGAGATAGATACAGAGAGAGAGAGAGAGAGAAAGAGAGAAGAAAGATAAGGAAAACATGATTGAAGCGACCCCTCGAAGACTCATAACATGCCCCCTCCCCCTCTCGACCTCCGCAGCACGAGGCCAACGATACGCCATTGGTAGAAGTTAAGCGATTTAAGAGTTATATCGTGTACGTATATATCGACCATCCACATTTATGATGATTACGATGTATTTGTCCATAATTAACAATAATTTTACTTGTATGAATTAGCCTACCTGGAACATTTTCTAAGTGGATCCGTGAAAGAGTAGAACTGCAATAACAAGAAAGGTCAAGTTGAGTGCTTTGTCATGCAATCAGATTGTAGAAGAAACTGCCTGGATGCAATTTGAGGATGGTTGATTATGTAGTAAAGAGGAATTAGTGTCTATTGTGAGGTTGTAGAATCCTCAAATTGATGAGTAATTGGCTCAATTCTGATTAAAGGCCCATTCACTGCCCACAGGAACAGTGGGACTACGGGACTACATATTAATGTGGCATGACTGTTTGGTCCAAACGATTTGGCTCATGTTTTGAATGGGATGCATGTGGCGAGCGATCCCAGTCAGCATGTTTAGGGAAATGTTGTTCTGTGTGATATTCTTTCAAACTTGCGTATATTAAAAAAAAAAAAAATCTCTCATATTTATCATCTGAACCAGAACTCAACCTTTTTTTAAAGGTCAAGTTAAGTACTGGGATGTGAATGTGAATTAAATAGCCGCATAATGTATATAATAATGTGTCCCGATATCGGGGTGAATAGGGACGAAAAGACGATCCCAAAGACTTTCGAAAAATCATAGTCAGGGCAGTATCAATACCATATTGAAGTGACTACGCCAGGAGTGTCAAGTCTGACAGATATGAGTGCTATATAACAAGACTCCACTATTATTATTATTATTAATACGCACGTAAGGAGATTCAATGACAAAGGTCCATGTTTAAACATGTTGAATATAATTATTACAGGCATGAAAGTGGTATTGTGCGTTATAGACCTTGAAAGTACATACGTATAATCTCGTTCTTTTAGGCCATATTTTCTGCATTACGATCTTGGAACTTCCGGTTAAAAAACCATTTGAACAAAAATATTTATAAAATTGCTTTGGGTGGGTGTACATAATTTTTGCGGGTACTACATCTTTTTTAGACATCTCTCCTTCTTTATAAAGAAGAGATCAATGTCAAAATCTTACCCAGTATTAAACTGTATTTAAGCGACCCGGGGCTGTGAAGGACTCACCAGATGGAAGCTACCCAATATTACAGTTATATAAAGAGTCCTAGTAGCAGTTATAACAAGAATTAAAAAAAGGCACTCACGTGACAGGTTCCTTAAATTTAGTTGCTTCCGGTAGGGCTTCTGTTCCAAATATTGTTTGCCAACCAATGGCAGGACGGGTGCAAGAGTTCTTCTTTATAGGTGCCTGAAAATGATTTTTTTTTCTTCTTTTCTTCTTCGGATGCTGTTTAGTTTTCAGGCTTACAATATCTCTATTTACCTTTATAATGACAGATTTTATGTTATTTGTTTACCATGTCTGGCACGTGATATGTATTCATGTGCTCTTGGTATTGGCACAAAATATAGTTTGTACTTCCTCGGTAATATTTTGCTGTTCACGTCAGTTTCTAACAGCAAAAAAAAAGGAGAGAGAAAATAAAATGTATGTACATATTCGACCCTACATGCAAGAATACGCTTGCGTTTGAGTTCCTGGTGTAAATATGAAAGTCAAAGGTATGTAATACTCTCGCGCATTCGGCCTTTTTTCGTTAAATGACAAGTCTTGTATCAATGCAATGTAATCGTTTTTTCCCCTTTCCAAACTTTGAAATGTTGCATTTATTACCAAATCACCAACACGTTAATTCATCTATAGTCAATACAAAATCAATAATATTATTTGGTAACTGGAGCTACATGTAATAACAAATAGCAACATGGTAATTGAGGTTTAATAGCCCCGCTCTATATCTTTAATTATTTCAAATTGAATGCAATCACAACATTTGTTACTAGGTCTGTACGCAATTAATGTTCATATCTTACAAGGAGCGTATATGCACTTTTTCCAAATAAACTTTATTAAATCATGTATCTTTATATATAGCTTCAATAGAGATTTCTGTAATGCTCAGCAAAGGCTTCTGCGGCTTGTAGTATTTCTTATATTGCTTGGAAGATTGTACCATGCTATAGAACAATATTTTAACAATAACAATTCATTATACACATGTAGACATTTAAACACAACTATCGTTTATACATTAAATCATTCTTTATGTACAAACAATCAAGATTTTGCTAACATCACAACAAGAAGACATAACAATTAAAAAACGACAAACATGACGTCATCTTATTCCATTAAAAAAAAGATGCGGTCAGTGAGTTCAAACGGGACGGAAATGTAATTTTACATTGACAGACATGTGATCAACTTCAATTTTTTTTACATTTGTCTATACAAGTCACGTAGAATTATTTATTTTTAAGATCTATAGATTTGACAAGAGCCAGTTAAATTATATTCAAGATTTACTTCAATTAGGCTTAAAGGTCCGTATTTTTACAATTTAGTTGAACTCGACCCTGGTCTAAAATTATGTTTAACAAAAGGAAAAGCATAGACTTACCATTATTCCTCCTATGTTAAACCCGTTTTCAACCATAACTAAGCATAAGCCAACCGTCGGGTTTTAATGTTTTGTTTCGTCTAAGGATATTTATTTACTTGCCATGTACATCTTCATAAATATATGAATTTTTAACATAGTCATATAAAATCAGACATAAACACAAAAAAGGTCGTCATAAGCAAAACCTGAACTGACGTCCTTGCCAAAGGTAAACATAAACATGTATATACAATATTTATACATAATTTTATGTAAACAATGCATAATGGAATAGCGATTGGTCAACCAAAAAATAAAGAGAGAGAGAGAGAGAGAGAACGAGTGAAAGAGAGAAAGTAAGAAAGAGAAAAGGAGAGCAAAGAAGTGCATTCACAAATTCACAAAGGAGGTTTGTCGAAAAACCGAGGTTTATGTACGTCATATGACGCGTTTTGACGCGTTTTTTTACAAACCTGGTTTGTAAAAAACAAAAGGAGGTTTGTCGAAACAAAGGGAGGTTTGTCGACAAACCTCGGACAAACCTCCTTTGTGAATTCGGGCCTTAACGTCTGTGGATACCGAGCACCTTGATAACATTCCTGGCAACTAAGATTTTTATGTTATCCGTACAGGAACAAGGATACATGCTACATGTATGATGGCTGTAGGCTCATGTAATATTCCATGCATAAATACCAATCTTAAAGATGGAGACAATAGTACTACAAATTGTCCTCACCGAAGGCCCCATCTACAAACAACATTGTAGGATGTACCTCCAATAAAACTCCCGCTATTTTAGTACGTTTCTAAGTGTGGAACATGGGGATAGATTGGCTCCGCGATCTACAATGTTTCGCGTCAAATGACCAATTATTGTTTTGCTCTAAAATCTTATAATTTACGATTTGTGCCTTCCACTGCTGAACATGAATTTCATTAAATAATGCATGAAATACTTATAGCAGCTTCTATCAAGGCCTAAGACATCAATTTTTAAAATTTATTGTGTAGCCAGTTTTGATGCTATTCCTTGTTTTCATTATTTATTTATATTGATTTTATTTTAATTCTGCATTTTTTTCCAAATAAAATATAACTGAATAACAAAGAACATATAAATGTAAGGTATAATACAACATAAACAATAATTTCTTCATGTCAAAATGTTTTGTTTTCATAATATATGTACATATAATAACGAAACTTATTATTTCCATAACATATTATTAGGTATAGCACACCAAAAATAAATAAAACAAGCACATGTTATTTGATGATTGCAAATGATCAAGTTTCATGAAAGCTTCAAAAAACAAAAAAACAGAATTGAAATCGGTCAATGCGTTGTGATTTTATACCATTTTTTTGATATCGCAAAATTACCGAAAAACCTGCCAGAAATGGTCAAATTGGCAAAATTGGTAAAATTCGACAAAGTTGACAACTTAATTCATCACTTTCTTGGAGACAAATAACAAATTAAATTATCAGACACTAAAATATCATCTTGGTGGTAAAAAATACAAAATCTATTACCATTTTGAAAACAGAAGCCAACAAAATAAGTCATTTTTGCCATTTTTGCGAATCTGCAGATATGAAAAAGTTGTGAAAATAACTAAGTCCGCCTAATTAATATGCGCATATGTAATCAAATCAAAACCGAACATGATGCATCAATGAAACCTTTGTATATCAGACAGGTATGGAAATATATTTTTTTTAAGAAAAAAAAATCATGAATATTCATCAAATATGCAAATTAGGTAATTTCAGCCAATTATATATATAGTAAAGTCAAACTGTTCATTTTGTTGGCATTTTTTTAAATCATATATTTATAGATCATATTTACACCAAATATTAACATTAAATTCCAAATATTTTTGCAATGCCAATAAAATATGGCGATGGAAATTACTTGGATCACCGTTACAGCTATTTCCTCATGTGTTTCACAAATCATTCAGAAAAACCGAACAAGTGATAAGAATCTGCAGACTTTCAGCTACATCACAGTATAGTTTCTTTAAACAAAATTCAGATTTGAGGATTTATGACGATTTTCCGAGAAACCATTCAATCCAACAGGCCTTAACATTCCACAAAGACTAAATTTCAGAGAAAACAAATTTGGGTGACCCCAGTATAAGTGTGGCTACCTTGAGTGTAAATTACAAATTGATTTAATGAGAGAAACACATGAGGATATTGCATTTTGTAGGGGAGTTTTATACATTGAAGTGCATTTTCACCACGCAGAATAACAGTCAATGGGCGATCAACGGGCCATGTCACACATGGCTGAAAAGACAATATTCTAATTAATAATTTAACATATTTCCCACATGCCTATAACAATGAGACTACACAGAATTGTAGTTAAAGGTATGCTTGAAAGATATGTGAAATAAAAATTTAAAAATATTGTTATGTTTTTTTAAAATAAATTTACGAAAATTGCTATTTCTACCAACTGACTGCTGTTGTGTGTGTGTATGTGCATGGGGCAGACTGTGTGCACAGGCAGTCTGATCACCCTAATATTATCATAAATTTAAAGTATTATCTGAACTATTCTGTTGGAAAAGTGCAGGAGACCGCAATCAAAAGCAAAGCTTTACAAGGATGGCGGCCCATTTCGTAGTGCTGCTTCCAACACTGATGTAGTTTTTTTTTCACTCTTAAGAAATTCAATCAGTCAGCCGCACCAGCTCGATCCATCCGTGCCAGAAATCATAAACTGCCACAAACCACTAGACCAACGTTTCATGAGAAACTAAACTATAATTTATCTATATTTCCAGCATCTTTATTTTGTGGTTCGAATGGGCTATCGGTCTCGTGGACCTTTCAGGTTCTTCACTTCTATATATCTTGTTATGCATTTTCTTTGTTTTGTCGGTCTCGTCAGTGTTGTGCCCTTCAAGTGGGCTTTCGGTCTACTGGAATATCCCTTGGTAGATGATTGGCGATTGCTGAGCTGACCATTCTGCACGTGTTCTTTTAAAGCGTCGATTCGCTAGTTGTCGTTTTCAGTTCGATTTTTTTCATTGTCGCCATGTCTGATGAAGTCGCCCTTGACTTGGAGGACGACGTCGAGGAGACCCTACCGAGGCATGTACAAGAGTCCCGCCAGAGCTTGAAGACACGCTTGTTGCAGATAAAGGCAATGAAGATATAGACTCCCTGGAGAGAGTTGAGGATGATGAAGATATACCAGAGAGCTGTGACGTTAGCGAAGGCAGTTACGAAACCAAAGACCCAGGTGAAACCGAGCAGAGTGGACATCTTTTCCAGGGAGGGAAAGCAAGAAGTAAAGAATAGAACCAATCATAGTTTTAACAATGAATGAAAGAAAAAAAAAAGACGTTTGTAGGCAAGCATGATTATTTTTTCAGTAAAAAGAGAAAAGACATTTCATCCGTACATTATGTTTCTTTAAGCATATTTTTTCTTTGCAGAGAGTACACTCAAAGATATGATACAAACTCTATTATGGGATGGTATATATTAGAAATGTTCTCCCCTACGGAGCCAAATACACTATAGCCACGGCATTCTTTACGATAGTCATGATCACTAAGGTTTTAAGCTACCTCTCATAAAATGTTTGAAGATTAAAAAAAATACAGTCTTTCAGAATACAGCACCGTATTTTACATACCTCTTCCAATATCGTTTCCCCCTTTCTCTTCTTTTCACTGGTGTCCAAAAACAAATGAGACTGTATTTATTACGCAACGGCCTCAGATCTATCTATCCAGTTCAATTTTTTACTCACCTTGATGTAAATTAAAAGGTCAGCTGACATGTTCGAATCTGTACTCTTGTGTTTGTTGACAGGGCTCATTCTCATGTGGTGAAGACCGGCAACTACCATGACGAACAAAATGAGATTGACCACAAGGAGAGAAGCGACGGGGATTCCAAAGACATACACATTGGCCATACCATCACCGATCCAACAGGTAACTGTTTTATAGGTGAAGTTGAAGTGTGGAAGCTTGATGCCGCTGAAATAGATTCCAAGGCAAGGACCAACCACAAGTATTGGACATCCCCAGGCAAACAGAAGGAACCTTGAAAGTACTGCAGCGCCCTCATCGTTTCGGCCAAATTTCGTTGCTATGCCGAATCGACGGTGTAAATCGAAAGCAAGAGCCGTTGTGTGAGAGAAAACTGCGATCCACATGAAGTGACCCAAGATGGCAAATGAGAGGCACGCATTAGAATTCATCACGGCTAGTCCACCAAATAAGATGATAGATTGGGCGAAGATCAGAGTTATGCAGAGACTCATGATGAGAGTGTTCGACGTGGCTTTCCGAATAAGGTTGAGTTTGAGATAAGTAACAAATGTTCCAATAAGAGCAATTATAGACAAGGAAATACCGATGGTGCTTAAAATAGATTGAGCAGATGTAAAACGAAGGAATCCTGCAGAAGACTGCTCACTTACCAAGACGTAAGAGCAAACGAAAATTGTGTCATTTCCAACATCCAAATAGTCATTCGGCGCCAGGGTTCTGTTAAGAGGCGAGTAAAGGTAAGATCCATTGCCCAAGTCAACAAATAGTGATATGTTCTGTGATACTAATGCACAAGTTTCAGATGGAACATCACATCCTGTTAAAATTTCTCGTTTTAGGTTCATCATTTCCGATGATGTAATATCGTATTCAGTCACATAGCGAGATTCCAGAAGGCTGTATTTTGTTTCTCCAACGAAAAATACCTGTCCCGTTGCGTTGTCGTATGATTTCATAAATTTATCTGTAGACAAAATTCTGTTAGAGCAACTTTCATTGATGTTGCTGCATCCAATATATATCATGAAAGTCATATTGCTGCAGACGTCATTTACAGCTGAGCTTTGTTGGTTGGTTGACAAGAAAACACTGTCGAGGTTTTCTTGAGAGACGTCTATATTGATTCCTAGATACCCCCAAATGTCCAAAGTCTGAGTACATATGGTGAGTGAACCATTCCCCTTTATTTCAGCTGTGAACCTACTAATGGTAAGATTCATTGGGGATACGTAATTGCCATTGATTAAAGATATTACGTAATCGTGTAAACGCATATCGGGGTGGCAGTTTGACATGTCTCCAACATTATACATGCACTCCACTTCGATAAGAATGGGGATGGCGTCTTTGAACGAGCAATGGGGGGTTGCAAGAAGCCTTTGACAAGTGGCGTTAATGAGACCATACCCAACTGGACACGTAAGATTAATACAGAGTTTATTAAACGTATCAAATATTTGGTTATCTCTACAATAATGATCGATTAGTGGCTCTTGGCTAGAGAGCCCTTCAACAGATGAAAAATCGAAAAGGACAGAAATAGGGTAACTGGGGACAGGAATTTTAGGTGGAACAATTACACCTCCAGTAGTAAAAGGGGGACATTCCATGTCAATCAAAGACAAATAGATTCTGTCCATCGTTTGATTATAAACTAAAGCCTTATTACACATGAAGCAGTGAGGGTTTTTGTAGATGCTGATAACGCCTGTGTACGACTCACAAGCCTGCGCCAAGAGAACCATCGTTTCATTCTTTGGATTGACGTCGCATGTTACAATTTCCGAATTTTTGCACTGCCTTGCAGCCGTTGGTGAGAAGGGGCTCTGAAATTTCCAAATGAGGCAGTCCTTCATAATTTCACCAATTTGCTGGGCAGAGAATTCACTTCGTGATAAATTTGAGTATTCTTCAGAGAGACATGTAGCGTCAATTTCCCAGGGTGTGATGCCACTAATGTCCTTGTAGTTACAAACAGCACAATACACATTCTTAAAGGTGATACTCTTCAAATATTCAACGGGCATTGAGGTCAGTGGATCTTCATCCATTGCCTGCCCTTCACACTTTGCTTTCATCTCTTCATTACTCCATCGCACATCACACTGGCTCACCATCCAATAGTTGTTATTGTAACGGAGATTTCCCGCTGGTTGCACACAGGAGAACTGACTGGGATCGATGCCTTCAGTCGCCTCATGGAAGGCGTCATCAACAAGGTTCATCTCACACTCATTAAGATAGTCGATACAACAGTCATTGAAATAAAAGCAGTAAGGATCACAATGACATCCTCCTAGCGAATTGTAGCTGGTAGAACAGCTGTTGCACACTAAAGAAAGCGGGCATACGGGGACCGTCCAACCCTGTACTGTGTAGTCCTTGTACAATTTCACAACTTCAAGTTCAAAAGGGAAAGGGCTGCCTGTAAAAAAAAAAAAATGAACATGACGAAATGAACATAACGCTTGTAATTAAAAAAAAAAAACAAGAATAGACCGGTTCGCGACACCCCCTCGCCAAAAAAATATGACCTCTTATCCCCCTCCCCCCCCCCCCCCCCGCCTATTCAGCGGCTGGCTGAGTCGTTGCGAAATTTTCTGCGTGATTTTCAAATTTTAACCCCCCCCCCTCGAAAAAAATCCTGCGTACGCGCCTGGTGAGGCTATTGAGTGTTTTCGGCATATTTTTCTTTATATGATGATACAACCACACATTTTCACTAATTATAATAATGATAAAAGTAATACTTTTATTTACCCAAGGAAAAACCTTCAGCACCCATGCTGCTCTTTTTGAGGGCACTGCAATTATAATCCCATTGACAAGTACCCATTTACACTTTGGTGGAGAGTGGCAATTGTCAAATAACGTCTTGCCAAAATACGATACGGGCTGGGATTTGCAGTGAATTAACCACTATACCATGACACTTCCACACTTCATTAAAGTATCAAAACATAAACAGATTTGGAACTAAAAAGTTGATTTTGGGCGAGCGACGTCAGCCCCCTGAAAAATTGTATTTGTACACCTATGACAAGAAATACGGTATGAAGTAAACCAATCAGGACAGGTTTGGAGGCGTAATTGTCAGAGGTAGTTGTGCACGCATGTCAAGTAAAGGGTAAAGAATACTTTGGTAAATTTAACTTTTTGAAAAATGTACTCATTTGCATAAGCATTTGCATTAGCAAAAAAGGTCATGAAATTCACCTTTTTACCCATAAATCATAATTATATTCTTTATATTTAAGCATTCTTTTTCACTACATGTATTCGTTAGACAAAACAATATGGAAGAGCTAGGTTATTCCTTATTTTATCTCTTGATTTGATAATTTCTCATGTATTTCATTGTTTTTAAAAAAAAGGTATTTTATTGTTTTTGTTGTTTTATTTCATTTCTAACTACAATTCAACTATTTTGACTCCCAAAACAAACACCTAAACTTTAAACAAGACCCAATAACCAATGCTTTAAGTCATTTTTCCTAAAAAGAGATCTCCATATGTTTTGTACACAAATCACGAAAATGTCCGATTTTCGGGCTGACATGCAAAAACAAAAGGTAATGTGACTTTGTAACTGTAGGTCCGAATTTCATGAGAATTATTTTAAAAGATGCGCAAGACTCGAAAGAAAAAAGCCAGCGAGCGGCGGGGCGCCATCCGTATGCGTTCCCGAACAATCAGAACAATCGCGGAGGGAGGGGGGCGGCATAAGGGGGCCATAATGCCCCCGGCCTTATAAGGGTTAATACGTGCTTTTAAAACACCTCCGTCACACCGAAGGGACCGGCACCAGACCGAAAATTGCATTACTTCGAATGACAATGAATCAAGCGCTTTGAATTCGTTGTGGAGTCACTATGGCAGTGTGAATGAGGTATATTAATGAGTTCTAGGAAACCTATACCCTGGAAATCTACCCCTGGGCATCCACCCCAGGACGATGTAGAGTAGATGCCCTACGGGGTAGTTGTCCTAGGGGGTTGTTGACTGGGGGTGGTTATCCGGGGGTGGATGTCCACGGTAGGTGTCCGATACGATATTAATGGCCAAGAATCTGTCGGTTTGGAGTCGACGTTCTACTGACGTTCTACTTTTGTAGTCAAGCCCCCAAACCGACTAAAAACACAACGGATACTGCCCTAGTTTGGGCCGTATTTTGTTGTTGTTCGGTCTGCAGTCGGTCTGCTGTTGGCCTCAATAGTGTGACAGTGGTGTAAGCTGATGGGGTAAACAGCATTTCTAGTTTAAGATCATGAAGGGAGGCAATCAACCTGTTCATTACTAAAAAGCTTTCAATAAGACGCCAGTCTTTTGGTAAATCAGTCAGCGATAGATACCATAAAGGTTTACTCATGATAAGAAATCCCGATAATTGATCAGATGAAGATAATGATATAACAGATCACCCATCCCCAACGGAGTACACATATGATCTGCAAGAGTGAAATAAATAGGCCCTTCTGCAATATGTTTTTTTTACCAGAAAAAGAAGGTGCTAAAACCGATGTTGAACTTCTAATGACAGAGTGATTGGAGTTGCAAACTCATTTGATAAAACACCATGCGCCTCAGTTTCTAACACAATTGCATGGCCGTCATGCAAAGTCGAAAGCAATTAATAACTTACCACCTGGCAATATGAAACTGAAGAACAAACACAAATACACACTCTGAAACCATGGAACAAAATGATCCTTTTGATGAGCCATTCTGAGTTTAGGAACTACGTCAACGTTTAGAGGTAGACGGTATAGAGCTAAATACCAAGTGCAGCTTGAACACAAACTTTGCAATTGACTGAAAAGACCTAATGATGCTTCCAGTATGAGAAACGAGCAATATCAATTATGACGGATTCTTTATACACTGTATTTCTTTTAACAAAAGAGTTATAGAAGCACTCCATGCCTTCGCTTTGCCCTGATATTCACGTTTAGTCGTTAAAAAGTCACACCTGCAAACAATTGTGACATCACTTCTTTTGCCACTTCAACAGAAGTCGTCGAAGCAAAATATAACGAATGATGGAGTGATTTCAAGAGCCACTCGTGGTAGAAAAAAGATTGCGTAACTTTGGGCATCAGTACGGGTGCTGGTAGTTGCACGTGCCCCCAATAATAATGATACTGATTTATATAACAAGAAGAGGAGAAGGAGAGAGAGAGAGAGAGAGAGGGAGGGAAAGAGTTTCTGTTTTTTAAATATTGTTCGCCCTCCAATGGCGGAACGGATGCAAGAGTTCTTCTTTTATGTTTAGGTGGCTGAAAATGACTGTTCAGGGGATGCCGTCCAGGGTTGTGCTCTTGGTATTAGCTGAACATAATTGTGTGTTAATTTGTTGCTGTTCACGTTAGTTTCAAGCAGCAATATGGACAATTCATTTTACCAAAAAAAAAAAAAAAGCAGCAATATGGACAAATTAAGTGCATAAACATATTTAACCTTACATGCAAAGATACGAACATTCGACCATTTTTGACAAAATTACACATTTTTGTATTAATCTATAATGTGTTAGCGTAATTCCCCTTCCCAAATTTTAAAATATTGAAAATAGAACCAAATCCCCGACTTATTGGTTTATTTATGGTCAATACAATATAAATAATGAATTATTTATAAGCTAATACAAAAAGCAACAAGGTAATCGAGGTCAGTCCACGTTAAAACTTCTTTAATTGTTTCACATTAAATGCAATCACAAAATTTGTTAGTAGGTCTGAACGCAAAATGATGTTCATATCTTTCAAGGAGCGTATATACACTATTTACAAATAAACAAAATTAAATCATGTAGCTTAATGTACAACTTCAGACGATCAGTATGACAATAGTTCAGTTATTCGTCCAGTAGAGATTTCAGTAATGCTCAGCAAAGGCTTCTGGGGCTTGTAATATTTATCATATTGCTTGAAAGATTGGTTTTAATCATAAAAAATTCATTATACACATGTAGACATTTCAACACAACTATCGTTTATACATTAAACAATCAAGATTTCGTTTATATCACACAAAGAAAACATTGACATTTAAAACGGCAAATATGACGTCATCTTACACCATTTACGTCTGTAAATTGGCATCTTTTGGAATATTTAAAATTGGGAAAATTAGGAAACTACTTGACCGACCCACAACTGCAAAATTAACCCATGCCTTTGTATCCTCCCACCTTGATTATTGTAATTCATTTTTTCTGGCCTTCCGCATTCGTACCTTCTTCCATTTCAAAGAATTTAGAATACTGCTGTAAGGCTTGTTACTCTCTCGATAAAATTTGAGCACATAACCCCAATATTGCGTTCTCTTCATGCACCATCGTATAACATTTAAAGTTCTTCTTCTTACATACCAAATTGTCCATGGCCAAGCCCCTAAATATCTTTCAGATTTGATTTCCTTACGTTATTCTAGTTCGTTAAGACCTCTTCGATCATCATCAACCTTGCAGTTAACCCTTGGACCTCGTACCGTTACAAAATATGACGATCGAGCTTTCTCAGTAAATTCCCCTATCCTTTGGAATAAATTACCAGCACATTTTCATAATATTCATTCTCTTAACCAATTTAAGTCCTTGCTGAAAACGCACCTTTTTTAATTCATGAATGATATTCTGCAGTTGTGAGCCGGTCAAAAGAGGTGCACACCGTCTTATTTCTTGTTTGTTCGATCTTATGTTTGATCCTATGTTTGACCTTATGTATGTTTGATCTCACTCATATTTTTATTATTATATATGCATGATTTTATTGAATGAAGAACAGATGTATAAGTTGTGTGTTTATCATAAGTTTTGGTAAATATTTGTTTAGTCAGACTATGGTGCGCCTAATAAATGTTGTGTATTATTTTTATTTTTAAGAGGCGGTCAGTGAGTTCAAACAGGACAGAAATGTAATTTTACATTAACTACTGCATACAGACATGTGATCAACTTCAAATTTTCTACATTTGTCTATACAAGTCACGTAGAATTATTTATTTTTAGAATCTATAGATTTTGCAAGAGCCAGTTAAATTATATTCAAGATTTACTTCAATTTGTATAGGCTTACCGGTCCGTTTATTTACAATCTAGTCGAACTCGACCCTGGTCTCAAATAACGTTTAAAAAAGGAACAACTTAGACCTACGATTAACCTCCTATGCTTAAACCAGTTTTCACCATTACTAAGCATTAGTAAACCGTCGGGTTTTAATTTTGTTCCGCCTAATGATATTTATTTACTTTCAATACACATCTTCACAAATATATTCTTAAGATGGTCATATAAAGTCAGACATAAAATAAAAAAGGGTCGTCATACAAAAGCAAAACTTGAAATGAGGTCCTTGTCATAAGTAAACATGTACATGTATATACAATATTTTTACATAATATATGTAAACAATGCATAATGGAATAGCGGTTGGCCAACAACAAATGAAAGAGAGAGAGAGAGAGAGAAAGACAGAAAGTAAGAAAGGGAAAATGAA